TGTCTTCGAGAAGCTTGATCTCACGAACACGAGTGGCACGATATTTCTCCGACGTGCGCTGCAGCTTCTCCTCCATGCGATCAAGCCTTTCCTTGCATTTGCGCAATGCCTCGAGCTCGCTCGCCATATCCATGTTGACGATCTCGAGTTCGCAGTACTGCTTGACGAGGTCGTCATGACTTAATGCGCTGATTTTTTTGACGTGGTCGTCTGATGAATTGATGTACGAAGACATCGAATGAATGTACAGAGTACAGCTGTGATTGTCCTGGCCAGGAACTTAAAGCAATACGCTGTAGAGTGATTAAACTAAACTAAAAGAAAAAAGTTTAATATAAAGAGATGTACTCTTAATATTATTGAACGTTCACTTGAGAGTATGACAGTTAGTAATTGAAGACCCACTGTCTATGAATGAACGAATCATATAAACTTATTTATTTATATGTATAATGATTGGTGTAACCAAGAGGACATACCTTGAGAGTATGACAGTTAGTAATTGAAGACCCACTGTCTATGAATGAACGAATGAAGTGATTGAGTGCGCGAAGCGACATCAAAACACTTTGGAAAACGAATCATTCGACTCTGGAAGTTCCTCATGTTACACATCAGCGTCTTAGGCGAATCTTCGTGGAGATTGGTGATCCATCGCCGCCAGGGGAGGATGGTTTTGGGGAGACCCGGTGAAGAGTAGACTTTGCCCTCGAAGGTGAGGCCGCTGTCTTGTCTGCTCTTTCTCGTGGGGGCAGACTACGATGGGTACGACCTGAATAACCTTCCATTAATCCACCTCATGGCAATCATTGTCAAACTCAATATTATTTATTTAATAATAAATCACTTGATTACCAATGGTTCCATCTCGTTGACGACTACCTTGTGTCCGATCTCATCGTACTCCTTTCGTTTGTTGTTTCGTATCAGCTTGTCAACTCGCTTAACAAAGTACTGAATGACCGGTACAAACACATCCAATATCCAAAAGATATCGAGCATTGCAAACATTACACCAGTGACAATCTGTCCAAATGATACAGAGTAGGAGTAGGTCACATATCTAAAGAACACACTCTTTTCAATGTTGATCTTGAACGTGAATGACGAGGGTGACTCGTGGAATTGATTGGGCTCCAAGTATGATGTTGAGTTTGATATGAAGCTGTAGTCCTTATAACTCTTCTTATCAAACAAACACTTCTCCACCATAGGTCTAACCAATGTAAAGTCATTATTCGATGAATGTATCTTACAAGATGTCATAAATGTTATCTAATTGTGATCAATGATTGATTGAGTTAGTGAGTGAGTGAGTGGACCGATCTATCAATCAATCACTCTTAACATACCATTGAAAGGACTGATACTGTTGCCTCTGGACGGAGGACTGTGTGGACTTGAGGTTGGACAACTCCACTGACATAGGAGTTTCCATTGTTGATGAATGAGTCATTGTTGAGCGTTGACACATTGTAAATGATCCTCTGTGCATAGAAGTAGTTGAAGAATGGTGTGATTGCAAATGAGAATGTGGACGTGTCGCTCAGTTCCAAACCTTGATTGAACGTTGCTTGGAATCTACATGCGGCCACATTGTCCTCCACTTCTGATACATTTGATTGATAGGCCAATGTTTGAGATGTGAGTATGTACTTGCACTCGCCCATATAATTGGTTGTTTGACATCCAGTTACAGTGAGCAACAACTCATCTTGTGTACAATTGCCAGTGTAACCAAACTAAAATATGATTGATTGATTGAATGGTCGAGTGAGTAAGTGAGTGGAATAGTACCAAGTGATTGTGATTGTACATACAATGTCAATGGTTATCTGTAGTGGACTAGAGTCAATGAACTTTAGGTACTGTGCCTCGGTGTATCGCTCTTTGAGTCCGAGGTCTGTGGATGCTTGACCATAGGCACGTAGTTCAAGACTGATGTCTTTGTTGACCTTTTGGAACTGGATAAGGAAGAGGATCATCAGACCAAGCATCAGCAGTAGATACAGTGTGCAGAAACTCTCGACAGCCTTGGTCGGCTTGATCTTGGTCCTTCTCTTTCTAATAAATATTCCGGTCTTGTAGCGCTGGCTACCCGCGCCAACATTTGAGTTGATGCCCATGATTGGACCCTCGGCCTTCTCGATGTAGTCCTCCTCCTCGGTGGCCTCGGCGCCAGTCCAATCGTAAAAGTTGAACTTTAACAGGAAAGTGACTAGGTTGGTCTGGAAGGTTTGGAAGCGCGGCCACGGCAAACAGACGGCCACCGTCATGATCAAAAGGAATCCAAGCAGCACGAGGAACCAAGGATATGAATTATAGAACGTGCTCTCAAAGTCCAGCGTGTCGGTCTCGATCGGGTTGGGAATGGATGTCGACACGTACTGAACGGGTATGTTGTCGATGGGCCACACACTGCCGTATGGACAAAACTGTGACGTCTCATTGCACTGGGGATAGAATGACTGGCAGGCATCGATCGATGTGATGCCCGTGTTGTTGCCCGAGTAGTAGCCGCCCGGACAGAGGAAGCACAGCTCAAACGAGGAGCTGGCAGCCGGGTTGCTCACGCTCTTGTATTGGCCTGTGGGACACTGGGCGCACTCTTCCAGCGCAGAGTACCATTGCTGGCCGGTTGGACACACAGAGTATGCGTCAAAGTCGTAGTTGACCATGCTCTGGTCCATTGAGACGAGCATCAGCTCGCTGCCCGAGAATGTTGTTACAAAGCCGTAGCTGTAGGTGGTGCGGTAGTTGAGGCTGGGGATGGACGCCTGGATGTTTACGCTGGTGGGCGTGCCGTTGACGCCGTCGAATATCTCGTAAAAGTAGACGGCTCCCGCCTGTTGCTGGGTGGGCGAGCCGGGCGCCGACACCACCAGCAGGTTGTTGTTCAAGTCGAGCACTGATCCAAAGCCGCTTGTCGTCGGTTCAACAATGCGATCAAAGTATGCGTACTTAAACGTGCCATTGATGCTGTAGAATAAGTCCACGCCAGACTCTTCATTATAGCCCATGGCAATATAGTTACTATCAATTGATATAGATGATGGGCAGGACCTGAGGAGGGTAAGGGTAAAGGTCAGGGGATAGTTCCAATCATTCAATCAATCAATCCAACTTACTTTGTCCTGTTGTAATTGTACACAGTGTTTAACAAGGTGATGTCGGTTGGACTGGTAATGTTTAGAACTACAAAGGCGCTGACGTATTGTACAGAGAGTCGCGTCGTGTTGGTGGGCATCATGCAGACGGCGCAGTAGGAGAATGTGACGATTGGACCGTCTAGATCCAGTGCAGTCACATACAATTGTCCACGTGCCGTTTGACAAGGATTGAATTGATCATCCCAATAATCCAATGATGAACAATTGGTTGGATTACTATCGAGCTACACAATATTGATTGAGCGAGTTAGTGAATGTGAGATTGAGTGATTGAATGAGTGGACTTACATCAAGGAAGCATATTACAAGTGGAGCGTAGGTTGCATTCTTGGTCATGAGATTGTTCTGACATGAGCTGATGACAAAGTTTGGTCCGACGGCTATTTGATTGCCCATTTGGCATGTGGCGGCAGTCGCATTGGCCGCAGGCTTGGGCTTTGGCTTTGAGATTGTATTATGATGTTGAACTGTCGATGCATAAGCTGTTGGTGGTTGAAAGGAGAACAACTCGTCACAGTAGTTCTTATTGGAACAATCGTCCAGATTGAATATATAAACGGCGTTCTCTGTTGGTGATCCAATTGCACCAATAATGATTGATTCATTATTGATTGTTCCAGGACCAACTGCAACAGTTGCGCCAAATTGTTGCATCGGTGAACTAAGTATCTGTGTAATAATATATTGATTATAACTAGAGTATGGTCTATTTGATTGAGTCAGTATAGTGTCCATTCATGATGAATGAATGAATGAATGAATGAATGAATGTAACATACATTGATATATTTGACTTCTTGAGGAAGGTTACGTAGGGCATACGTGAGTTGGGATTGGCACCAATTAGTGCATAGCCATTGTATAATGATGTAGATAATAGAGTATTCTCTGGTAATGTTGTCTGAGCTAATGTTGTAACATATTGTTGTTGATGTTGTTGCAACAGTAATAACAAGAACATTGTGATCAACAATAAAGTCGTCATTGGTATATGTCTTGTTGTTGTAATCATTGTTGATATTGTGGTTATTGTTATCTGTTATACATCAATATATCTATCTTTGATTGATTAACTGATTGAATGAATAAATATAATATGTGCGATGATGAAGATGTTGATTATATTATAAACAATGTCATTGTTATTGTTGTTGTATGAATGAATGAAAGAATGAATGAATGAATGATGTTTATCAGAGACAGAGATTCAGACCCGAATGTCAAGTGTATCTGTAGAATGTACAATTGATACATTGATTCACCCCCAAAGAAAGATCATTTGCCAAGTCCGATGGTGAGAGGTGAAGGGTTGCACGACACTTTGTTTGAATCCAAACCATATTGTTTGACTTGACTTTGTAACAATGGGTAGTGGGTTACAATGAACTATTGTAGTCTGTGAACATGTCCCCGAGTATGTTCCCTTTAATTAATTAAAATTATAAATAAATATTAATATTAATATATTTATTATATTACCTTAAAAAGATATTTATTATTATTATTTATTAATGCAACTTAGTGATCGCTTTGAAAGAAAAACAAGAATCCAAACAAATACACACTTTCATTTTCATTTCTTCCACTTTCAAGAAAGAGAAAGAGAAGTGAAAGAGATAGGGATAACTCTATATTCATACATACTCATATATACTCATGGACTTCCTTCAAAGATTGTTGGGTATAAATAATCGAGGTGAAGGACAAGGACAAGGACAAGGACAAGGACAACAGGAACAAATAGGAGGAGGAGGAGGACAACAGGGACAAAATGATCAACAACCAAAGGCCGCTATAAAGAGATTGAAGAGACCTGTAGTGCACAGACATATTAATGATGTGTTGTTTGATAGAGAGTGGAAACATAAACAGAATCATTGGCCTCGTCAACATCAAGCTGTGACCTCATTAGCTTGGATACCTCCAAAGTCACACTTCCTCACCGATGTCAAAAAGAGAACAAAGACTGTTCTAAGTCAACTCATCGGTCTCTCACTAGCGATACAGAGACTAGACTATGCATTGGTATGTATATATATCATATCGAGACCAGTGTCGACATTGATTGATTGACTGACCCCAATGAATGAATGAATGAATAGATCAATGTAATACTTGGATCATTACATGAAGTTATAGATACGGACGAGAAGAAATGTATAGAGTTCGAGGAGCTACGAGGTGTAGACGTGTTATATGACTTTGTTGGTAATATTAGTGTAGAGGACATTGCACTTAACAAGGAGGCATTCTCAAAGGCCATGCACATTCTATACAAGTTCTCTTATGACTCACGAGATGTCTGCGAATGGTTATTCAACCGATCACACGCCATGCAGTTCCTCTTTGACACAATGAACATGTCTGATGATTGGTCAATCTTGGTATTCAATGTATGTACAGTACACATCATCGGTCGGTGATTGAATAAGACTAACATTCATTCAATCAATCAAGAATGTATTGACGATGATGCAACCATTCGACTTGAGGAAACTGAAGAATGTTAATGCATCAATTGAGAAGTTACCAAGTACAAAGTTATTCATGATGGTGAAGACCTTGTCACCAAGTACATTCTTGCCAGACTTTAATGACATGTCACCAATCAGACAAGCCATCGAGATCAAGACAACCATCGATCCAATATATTATATCAATCATTGTAAGACATTATAATGATGCGACCACGTCCAGAGACTAGTTAGAGAACTAACACATCGCATGCATGACTTAGCCATCTTAATCAACATACCAAGTCTGATACCAAAGATATGCAAGATGTTGAAACTGTCGATCAAGCCAACGTTTGTACCTCCATCGTTGAGACTGAACTCGGATGATGATGATGATGAGGGCATGTCTGGTGAAGCCCAGCAGATCCAGTTCAATGATGAACATATTCGCCAGGTATTCCAACAGATTGATATTAGAGTAGAGGCCACACAGATGACTATGACTTATTTGAACGACTTCTCCAAGGCGTCCTACCAGACTGAGTTGTTGGTGTTCCTCTTCACACTGGCCAGCGGGCCACGCAAGCTAGACGTTCTCTCTCAAATGCAAAGATATGACATGGTCGACATACTCTTTGATCTCTTCAAATCGATAGACTGGCAGAAGAAGGACTATGACGAGTAAGTGTGATGTCTTGCACCATACGACTGATTGATTGACTGACCTGACTATCACGCCACACTAAACAGGACACATGATCATGCCAATCCATTCTACATGCGAAAGATACAAGCATTCCGCATGATATTCCTATTTGTCGACTTGGAGCTCATTACCGCCACCAAGACATGTTACCTAATCTCAAAGTCAGAGTTGGAGTTTATCAACTGTATGTTGTAGCTCTCTTCAGATTGATCAAACCAACACCATCACTCACTCATTCAATCAATCAATCAATCATATAGCATATGTACCAGGAAAGATCCCACCACCTCAATCAAGATATTGGATTCCATCAATCTATGAGATATACACCAAGACCTTGCCAATGAAGGAGAGGAACTTCTTGACTTATTGTATTCAATCAACACTGCGAATTCCAAATTGCAAGATAAGCGACTATTACGCCAGCTGTGGACTGATACATTCATTGTTCAAAGAGGTCACAACAGGTCCTGCCGAGGGCTATCAAATGCACTTTGATCTAATGGGCGAGTTGGTCAAGAACAAGGCACCGTATCGCGTACTCAATCAACTGTGTCGAGAGAATGAGGCAGCCTTCAAGCGGCTCTACACCATCATGTTTGACAACATCATCGAAGCCAATGTATTCATTCGATCAATCATGCTTGCCAACGAACAAGTTGTCAAGACTGATGAAACACTCGATGTAAGTAACGGATGATCATCATTTGGAGTGGAGTGTCGGTAATTGGCTCACATACTAACTCAAGCATGCACGACAGTCTTTCAACAATGTGCTCGCACAGATATGTACAATCAACAACAAGCTACTAGTTATCGAGAAGGTCATCCTATCAGTGTCACCTACTACTCTATGTGTCGAGAGTAAGTCATGTCCATCATGCTAGTCCTGGCTCATTCACTAACTCTGTCTCTATCTTTTAGATCTATGTTGTGTCAACTCAGTAATCATTACATTGATGCTGGCAAAGAAGGATGGCCAATTGGATGTATGCTTCGAGTCAATCAAGAGGATGAACAGTACGAACAATTCGATCATTGGCGAGCTGTTGGAGTTGTTTACAATGTGGAAGGAGTTCTATATGTGCAACACAAAGGATGTGTTCAGTCTGCAGTCCTCATCCAAGTTATGCTTCCACGACATTCGAGCGATGGTCAATGAAACGCAGGAACACCTGCAAGCTCTATGCGATCAGCAGTAGAGAGCGTCCATCATCAATCAATCAGATTGGAATCAATCGTGTAGTGTCAATGTCATTGTTTTAGTTGTGTTGCTGCAGCAACAACATTGAGAGTATGTACAAGTAAGTGTGATGCTGCTGATGAAGACCACTGGACTATCGCGGTCTTGACTAGATCTCAACGTCTTTGCGTCTCTTTGTTCCAGAATCATAGAGTGGTGCCATTTCCTTGATTATCTCAAGTAGTAATCCAGGTGAGGTGGAAAGATCCTGGTGTATGAGTGATTGAGGATGTAAGTACATCTCATCATCCATCTTGGTCATTGCCATTGTCATTGGCATGATCGTTCATACATACCCTTTCAAACTCCTTTGTTCCAGCAATACGTTTGATTGATGATAGTATAAAGTTGAGTGCGTGCTTCTTGAGTTGCTTGCAGTTGTAAACATCTGAATGAGAGAATAGCAGTGGAGCATTGGCAATGTTGATCTCTCCAATCAGTTTCTGTTCACATAGTCCTGTTTGTTGTTGGAGTGATCGATCGATGATTAGTATCCATCCATGGTGGATGTATCATGTTGTCTAGGTCTCATTCATACCCTTTAGCGACTCTAATAGATATTCATCGGCTATGATGATGAGCTTAAGGATCATTTCCATGTCCTCTTCATTCATGGCGTCAGTATATATGTACTCAATCATCTTCCTAAAGACTGCAGGGCTATGCTCCTCTACCTTGAGCTCGCTCTCCTGGCTCTCCTTCATCGATCCCTGGAACATTGCTTTGAATCTTTGACATCTAGATGATAGTACATCTATAGAAGTTGATTGATTGGTAAGTGATTTGACATGAGTGACTGGGATCGTCAGGTAATAGCATACTCTTGTGTGATGGAAGTATTGAACCATCACTTAGAACAAATGATATATCACTGAAGCTTGGATTGTCAAAGAGCGAACCTATCTCGCAAACGAATGCGGAAGTGGCTGCCTTTACATTGGAGGATTGTGAGCGTGCTTTGGGAGGAACACGTCTAACCACGATAATGTCACCGTTCAACAGGCCAACATCGCCTGGACACTGGTCTGGCAACAGCTTCTCCTGGAAGAAGAACAACAACTCATTCTCATCGATGCAGAACCTATTAGAGACATGAACAAACAGTCTCTTGAACAGTGTATGCTTCCCTGTCGTATCGTAAACGTGTAAGTAACAACGATCATTGACTAGCTAGCTCCGTCGGACATGTCTCTTACTCATGAGGAATGGTGGCAGACATCCATAGGTCTTAATACCAATAGGATATATTGTAATTGTGACATCTTCGGTGGACCCTGATCCTGTTGTTGATGAAGATGAAGTGGATGATGTAGAGTTGGCCGAGGTATTTGTTGGCGTACCAAGATTCATTTGTGAACTGGCAGCAATCAAAGCATTCAACTGAGCAGTTGTAATATTATGTGCATTATTTGATGATGATGTAAGACTTGAAGCAGTTGGCGGTGACAAGTTATTTGTACTATGTTGTTGTTGTTGACTTATTCCACCTGAAGTGTTGATTAATGCACTACCAATACCATTTGTTGGTGTTGTAGATAAGTTATCATTCAACAAAGACTCCATTTGATTTGATTTGATTGTTGTTATGTTAAGTTGTTATAACAATGTATGTATGTATGTATGTGTAATTGTTTGTATCTCACTATTAGTGAGAAGAGATAATAATGACAAACAAGTGAAGGAGGGAACTTAGAAAAGAGAGGGGTGAGAATTGCGACTCTTTTGCCTTGTTTGGACGAAGAATCAAAATTGTGTGTTTCGTGTGAATGACTAACGAAAGTGTTGAACCCATCGAGTACATTCAATCAACATCTCTATCACTATTATCACTATATCTATACACAACAGATACAACAACAAATTGATGAGTGATAGATATAATACAATTATAATATAATAATATAACAATGTTCTTAACAAGAAATGCAAAGCAATATATAAATAATAGTCAACAATATGCACAAAGATACTTCATTGTACCACAACAACAACAACAGTTAACTGGTTTGCTATTACAGCAACAGATATACTCTTACTCTACATCAACTACAAGTACTACAACAACAACTGATAAACCAAAGATCACGAGATCTTCAAGAGGTGTTGGTGTAAAGTCATCGGGAGCAATTCCAAAGCGTAGAGTTTCATTGTCCTCTGCCAAGGCTTTGATGGAGAAGAGACAACAAGCTCAACAACAACAACAACAACAAGATCAACAACAAGGACAAGATGACTCAACACCAAAGTTATTAAAGACCCCGACTACTTCTTCCTCTTCTGTCGCCAAGAGGAAGGAGACACCAAAGCAACAGATGGACAGACTTGAAAAAGAGATTGAGAAGCAATTGATATCAAGAAAGAACCTTTTAAAAGACTCAAATACATTACGTACTCAGACTCCTGGTGAAGCTGAGGATGAGACAGAGGTGCCAATTGGACTGGAGGACAAGGAGTCCATCGACAAGGAATACCGCCGTCAGTTCTGGGCCGCCCAGATGACAATGCGCGAGTCACTAAAAAAGGATGGCGGTCGTTATCTATTCGATCAATCCGCCTACAAGGACACGGAGAAGGGCTACAACATGTTGGCCAAGAAGCTGATGGATGCCAAGAGCAGAGAGCGTGCACAGTTACTCGAGGCCAAGAAAGAGAAACACATGCAGATCATGATGTCGCGACAACAGCAACAGCAAGGCAAGTGGGCGAACTTGCCATCGATCGACGAATATGACATGGAAGAGGAGGATGAAGAAGATCTGGAAGACTACAACGACGGCCTGCCTGACCTCACCAGACTAGAGGTCGAGACTGATGTGGCCCCAAGTGTTGAGGCCATTGAGGGCATCATCCAGATGGAGAAGGAGAAGCTGCTGGCAGAGGCCAAGGAGAACGTGGACGAGGATGACTTTGACCTACAACGCAAGCTCAAGAGGATCGAGTTCATGTCAAAGAAGAAGGAGCTGCAGGAGAAACAGAGGATAGAGAGGATGGCCCGACTGGGTATCGTAGAAGAGGATATGGTGGAGATCGATCCGCAGCACTTTAAGCGATTCCAGGATGGCGAGATCACTGAAGAGGAGATGACAGCACTATCGCGCAAGTTTGTCCAGGATGAGGAGGACGTGGAGGAGCAGGAGGGTGGCGACTATGAAGAGGGCCCTGACTATGACTACCTCAAGCATTGGAAGATTGGCTCGATCGAGGTGCCCAAGCTGCTCAAGCGTAAGATATCTCAAGCACTCAAGGGCTTCCCAACGGCCGAGCTCAGACAAATCTCGGCCGAGCTGTCGGACAGTCTGCGAACAAGGACCCGCTCAGACAAGAAGCTGCAAGACAAGACAATGCCCTACAAGGTGGCACCAGAGGAGAAGCCCGTCATCAGTTATGGCAAGGGTGAGGCTCTGGCCTACATCGCCCATCGAATGCCTGGTGTGTACGCCTGTACTCATCGTGTGTTCTCAGAGATTGCCACTCGCCTGCCCAACTTCAAGCCGACCACATTGCTCGACTATGGCTCTGGTCCAGGCACCGTTATCTGGTCAGCGCGACAGGTTTGGGGCGAATCACTAAAGAGTATCAGGGCAGTTGAGCCATCAACATTCATGAGCGACATATCCAAGAAGATGTTGGAGGGCAACACGAACGAAATCAAGTGGTCTCAGTTCTTGATGCAGCCACCACACCTCAGCGAATCAATGCAGAGCGATCTTGTTGTAGCCTCATATGTGCTCAGCGAGCTGCCAGACCAGGAGACTCGTGAGAAGGTCATCAATGACCTTTGGCGCAACGTTAAGCCAACTGGAATGCTGGTGTTGGTGGAGCCAGGCACACCTATTGGTTTCAGTCTGATCAGAGCGATGCGACAGATGCTACTCGACCTCCCAGCTGATCAGGTGACGCCACAAAAGTCTTATCGCGCACAAGTCGTTGCGCCATGCCCACACTCTGGCAGATGTCCAATGGGCTTCAACTCATGGTGCCACTTCTCCCAGCGTGTTGCTCGTCCAGTGTTCCAGAAGCTGGCCAAGGGACCCAAGTCAACGGTGCCATTCGAGGACGAGAAGTACTCCTATATCGTGATGTCCAAGTTGATCGACTCGACCATCCCCAATCAAATGACCAAACAGGTAGAGATGTATGGCGAGGAGGAACTCAAGCCAAACAAACTATGGTCGCGTCTCAATGAAGCGCCATTCAAGAGAAAGGGACACGTCACAATGGATGTGTGCACTCCCGCTGGAGACCTGAAGAGAGTTACAATTGCCAAGTATGTATCGGGCTCTCACGCGCAAAAGACGACAGCATCGTGCAATGTTACTTACACATTACACTTAGGTCACATGGAAAACAATTGTACAAAGAGGCCAGAAGAACATTCTGGAGTGATGGATTGATCATTGATGAATCAGCAGTGGATTGGATACCATCCAGGAATCAGATTATAGAGTCGGCAGCAGAGATTGAGTTTGAAAAGTACGCCAACATTGAAAAGATGAGGAGACTCAACTCGCCAACGTTCAAGAAGAGCCAGACACAGGGTGAGCTGCAGAAGGTCATCGAGCACATGGAGACGACACCAAGAGACAAGAAGAGGAAGCAGGTCGAGAAGACACGCGAGGAGGACAAGGCCAAGATGAAGAAACAGGAGTGGGTCGAGGATCTAGCCCAGGACGACAGGAAGATGCTTGAGAAGCTGGTGCGCGAGGGCAAGTTCTCGATGGGCCAGGGACTGTTTGGCGAGAAACAGCGTCCACATCAGGACTACATGGACATGGGCAACGATGACGACATTGGATTCGAGGATCAGCGCGAGAGGCTGAAGAAGAAGGCCATCGAGGAGACGAAGGAGGAGCTACCAATGCGTCACAGCTCCAAGTCGATGAAGGCCATCAAACAGCGAATGGAAGAGGATATCGAGATGTTTGCCTCGCAGAACGTATCAGACGAGATTGTGGAGCAGAGCAAGCAGCAGAAGCAGAAGCAACAAGAGATTAATGCAAAGAAGTACATCAAGAAGGGCACTTTGGAGGCATTCCTGCAGGAAGAGACGACAGGCGAGGGCGCCGACCTCAGTACCAAGAAGTTGGAGACCGAGATTGAGCGAAGACGACGAGCACAACAGGCCAAGATGTCACAGTTAGTCGAGAACGTCAGGGGCATGGGTATCAATACCAAAGACAACAGAGGCAAGCGACAGAACGAACCACCCAAAGACATCAAACAGGATTAGGACAAGAATCATTAAACACTGTACCCTATATCTTATAATATTCTTTATTATTATAAATCTGTTGAATTTGGTGTCCAGATTGGTAGTGCCGAACAAGTACTTCTATATTAATGCCTAATAAAGTCATTAGGTAAAAATATTTATATTTATTTGAGACACTAATATTATCTAATGGTCCAAATATAGTCAATTCAAAATAATAATCATATTTAAGTCATAATAATAATATTGAGTAATAATAATAAACATTTTTATTAGAATAAAAATAAATAAAATGAAAGGTGAAAGTAAATTAGCAATGATAATTATTAACGATGATGACACACCAACTCCAACAACAACATCTAAGTGTAATATACACTTGAAGAATATTGAGTTTATTTGTTTTGATTGTAATCAATTGTTATGTCCTATATGTTTGGCTCAGAGTCATAATGGACACAAGTTAGATCATATTGATGTTATTAGACAGAGTATGTCTGAGAAGAATCTACAAACTTTATGGTGTACACCTAGATTGAACCATCTTTGGAAGACCCTTCAACAATGTTCAGAATTATATCAATCACTTCAGGATACACAATCAATGATCATCAGCCAATATGAACTTTTAGTTAAAGTGGCAATGTATGGAGAGAAAACAAAGAAGATTTCGTTACTATTACATAAACATCAAATTCAATTTACCATTAATAATATAGTCAAAGAACTTGGTTGTCTATATTCTACTATTAATATGATCAATCCAAACTCAAACTCTATTTCTGGAAATAATATTAATAATAATGATAATGATAATAATAATAATAATGATAATGATATTTATATTTCCAATATTATTCAAACAATATCAAAAAGCAATACAATAGAACAATTTATGGATTATATACAATTTGAACAACAAGGAACAAGAAATAGAGACATAATGAAACTTAGTGATGATGAATTATTATCAGTGATTAGTGATCACTTGAATCATATTACCAAGTATAGCTACAATGATTCATCATATAAAAAAGTGGTTATGGATATTGCCAAGTTAAATGGAATCAAAAAGCAGATTGATAGATGTATTGCATTGTTGACACCTGTACACACTCAATCACCTATGTTCAAACCAATTCCCATACATGGATTGAATAATCACATTTTGGTTGTGGACGAGAAAGATGGATATTTCTACTCAATGGATTCAAACAAATGGTTGGCAGCACCAACAAAGAATATAATTGACTTGGATCAAAGTTTCCAAATGGTTTATGCTCGTGGAAATATTTATGTGTTTGGAGGTAGTACTGAGGATAGGCCAACTCTCTACCAAAGGTATTCATTGGAAGATAAACAAAAGTATGAAGGAAAGATTGTTGGAATTGAGAGTTGCAATTATGTTGGAATATGTTATGATGGTGATAAATATATCTATTTGGTGGGAGGTGTTCGAGTACCTCCCCATAGAGAATCAAACAGAGTAGACAGATTCAACATTGAAACTCAACAGTTTGAGCATGTTGGACGTCTCTCTCAAACCTCAGTTCTTGGTCGAATCCATTATCATCAGAACCAGCTATTCATTTTCCAAACCGGAAATGAGGAGAATGTCTACCAAAGAATGATATTATCATTTAATGTTCAAACTGGAGAATCAGAGGATATCACTATGGACTTTGACTTAACCTATGATGAAAAAACTTGCTATGATCAAGACGACAATATATATATTCTAACAAATGATCATTTTAGAAGGTACTCAATCTCTACCAAACAATCAATCAACTTAACAAAATGTCCAAACTATCAAATTTATGGAGAAATACACTATGTACCTTTAGTTGGTATTATATACTTTGGACAAAATTCAAGCAATGGTATTAGTTGCTACAACATTCAAACTGACACTTGGTCCAAACTCATTGATAGAAACCCTATGTTGGTCAAGAAACACTATATTGTTTCCTGTTTGATCAAAGATTGATCCAATAAATAATACTTAGTTGTTATCCTTTTCTCGACGCCAACCCTAACCCTAACCCTCGCCCTCGCCCTAACCCTCACTTATAATATAGATACATACATGTTTAATTGATCATAATGGTCTCCTTAAGGATTGAGTACTCATTATCATCATCATCACCACCAACAACAACGACAACATTGTTATTGGTGAAGGAGAAGGTGAATGTCTTGATTTGGATTGGATCGAGTGTGACTGATAGGGGCAATGGTACAGATGCATTGAGTTGTGCGTTGGCCGTTAATGTGACTTCGGCCACGTTGGAGATGTCAAAGCCACCAAATAGTTGGGAGAAGGTAAGTGTGGCGGGTTGCGAGTAGACAGTGCTCTGGCCCAGCTCGTAGATGTTGATCACACGCATCAACACCTGGCCATTGTCAAACCATTGACGGTTGAGTGTGAGCAGGTGAAGGTTGGGCGGGAACTGGCTGCCGCGCAAGGGTACAAACTGGGTGTCGACCTTGTCACACCATATCGCGATCGAGTTGCCCTTGACCGGTGCGTACATGCGCAGCATCTCATTCTCGTGGACGAGAGTGTGTGGCGCACGCTCAATCTCCTTGAGCGCCTGTTGGCCGACCAGCACACGCGACTTGATGCGTGCGACACTCGTGTCGTTCATCTTCTCGTTGATTGACCACTGCGTGTAGTTGCTGCGACGGATCAGCAGGAACTCGAGCAGACCCGCAGCCTGGCTGCTGGCGCCCATGCTCTGTTGATTGAGCACCACCAGTTCGTTGGTGCCATCGTTGATCAGGCCCGTGTTGATGGCTGGGTAGAAATTGCCCGAGATCAGACTCCAGACGTGCGAGTCGTTGAACTTCTCTGTCCAAACACGCTGCATCATCTCCAAACCGTTGTTTGTGTAGAATGTGCCACCGTTCTGGATGGATGAGTTGAAACGCATGGCAATCTCATGGTCCAAGCCGACGCTAACCACATTCTCGATCTCAAAGTACTGGTTCTCCTGAGCCTGCGAGCCGGATGGCGCCATCGTGGCATTGTACACTGTGAACAACTGAGTGACATTGTTGCGGTAGACCACGGTGACCATTTGTACGATGGGGCCTTCAGTGAGGTAGAACTGTGCAGCAGTGGCATCCAGTGGATGTGCGTAGCCGTGTGTACGGAACTTGTAACAATCATCAGTCATTGAGTCGTACTCGACGAGCTCTTGGTTGAGCGTTACGACAGTGCCGCCATTGGTGAGGTCGACGTAGTGAGTTAGTTGCAGGACATTGTGATTGTTTGCGTTGGGCTGGAAGTGTAGCTCGAACAGGTCGTTGCCAATGGCGATGTCGATTGAGTCGATATCGCCCAAGTCGGCGAGGTTGATGGGTGTGGCGGGGGTGACGTGAGCGGGAAGTGGCGCTTCGAGACCCTCCAAGTCGAGCATGTGGAGTGCCAGGTCGTCATGGGTCACACCAACACACATAATGAAGTATGTCGAAGTTCCCAGCGCGGGCACGGACACCTCAAAGTACAGCTCCCACTGACCATCCTTATCTAGACGTTGGACGACTTGCGACTGGACTGGTTGCTGATTATAGGCGTACACGGCGTAGTTCTGCACGCCCACCGGCATGTGTATGTACTCCACACGGTTCCACGCCAAACTGTTGCTCACAGACACCACGACCACCTGTCCCACGGACATGCCTTGGAGGAGAAGGTCATCGTATGAGAAGCCGGTCTCCATTGACGCGTTGGCCAGCAGGTACGACACCATCTCGGGCAGCACGTCGACTGAGGCGTTCTGAGCCGCGTACAGCATGTTAAAGTAGTTGTTGCGCACGTACTCCTTGGCTGTGCCCGTGATAGCGTCGTGATGTGTGAGGATGCCACTCACGTTGCGGTGAAGGTCGAGCGCGCCAAACACCTTGGCGCCATCAAACGTGAAATGTTTGTTGTGAGTGGCTGAGGCCAGCGCGTACATTGTCTCGGTGTGGCGCAGGAGCGTGTCAGCATGGCGCACCGTGCCCTTGAGCACGGGGAAGCTCGAGAAGTAGCCCGACCAGTAGTTGACGCACGTGTTGAAGTTCTGGTAGTCGACACCCAGACACATCGTGTACGTGTAGTAGTCGCCGCCGTACAGGTTGGGGTAGTCCGTTGCCGGATCGGTCTCGGCAAACACCGCCTCAAAGTACTCGCTCAGCGTCGCGTACTTTATATTGACGCCGTATGTCTCGACGTTCTCGTTGATGTACGCGATCAGCTTGTCCATGTTGTCAAACTCCAGACTGGCGTTCTGGAAGCGGAAGTCATTGCCAAAGGGCAACAGCATGTTGTTATGGCGGTAGTATAGAACGCGCTCCTGGATGATCTGAACAAGTAGGGCAGCGCGCTCGGCAATGTTTGAGGCGTTGATTGATGGGTTCTGGCCGGGGTCTGACTCAAAGTCAAAGCCCGTGCAGATAGTGATGTTGGGGTCGGTCGCGTTGGGATAGCACAGCTGTGGCGAGTTGTAATGATTGTCGAGGACATGTGTGAACAGCGACAGGTTGTTGCCGTAGCTTGGCGAGGGGTACCACATGAACTCGAATGAGCGGTCCTCAATCATGGCGCCGCTGCCCACAATGTCGGGTGTTGAGTTGTACTGGTGCTTGAGTCGGTCGTCCAGGCGATTGATGATGTGGTACTTGAAGCCCATCAGGTTGAACAGTGTGGCGGTGAGGGTCGATGGGCCAAATGGATCGATCTGCCAGCCAGCCTCGGGGGCGACGCCAAAAGTGCCCAGTAGGAATTGATGTCCTATCGTCATCTGATTGAGCACCGCTTGATAATGTGTGACTGCCTCATCATTCTGAGCCCATCCACCTCCAACAAACTCGAGTTGTCCAGATGCCACCAACTTCCTGACCTGAGCCTGTGTCATATCCGTCTGATCCGACCACCATCTTGCAAAGTATATCCTATTGTGATGTTTTGGATGTGATGGAGTGAGTGAGTGAGTTGGCCATCCATTCATTGATCAATCATGGAACTTACGTCTCTGCCCAATTGAACTTCTTTGTTGGGTCATTCGACAAGTACTCAACCACATTGTCCAAGATAAGTGTAACATTCTCTGTGTAGTACTGTTCATAAGTTTGGACCCATCCAACATCTGTTATTTCCAGAAAGTTTGATTGATTGATGGGTTAGTGAGTCAGTGATTGATTGATTGAATGAATGAATGATTGACATCCAACTAACTTACCACAATGTGAATGAGGTATCAAGAATGCATTGATGATGTTGCCACCTTTCTTCTTTGCAGCCTCGACCACATTGAATGATGGTCCAATCAAGGCCACCAAAACAATGATCAAAACAATGTACTTATACAAAGATAATGATGACATTGTATAAGTTGTATTAATAATGAATGATTATTAAACAATCAGTGATGTTGATGTTTGTGGCTTCATTTGGGCTTAGTGGGACCTGTTTTGAATCAAGGCCCAACACAGATGTGGTCAAAAGGTCCCATAAATTGAATCTTTCGGAATGATCAACGTCAAACAAAGATTGATTGGTATGATGGATATGTACAAGTAATGTGATCATATATATGATCACTCTACTTTACTTTATTCTAGCAATGACATCGTTGATTGAGGCGATCCACTCTTCCTGCTCTTTGGCCGACGAAGCCATCAATAAATAATCCCTGGACATGCTCTTCTCGCTGACGCCAGAGCGCAAAATGATGCCAAAAGGCTTGGCCGTGTAGAGCTCGGCCTTGGCGGCTGCCAACACTATCACTCCCTTGGCCTTGGCATCCTTCTTCTTCTTGTAGTACGACAGCGTGCCGCCTGCCTTCAAGCAGAACCATCGCGTGGTCCAATTGCGGCGACCACCTTCGCCGCCTCCCTTCTTCTTTAGTATGCCCTCACGTATAATATTCTGATTTTGTAATAATTGATCACTTGAAGCCAATGTCGAAGTTGATGTTGTTGAAGTCGATGAAGTTGATGAAGTCGGCACCATCATATTTGAGTTGGGGCCGTTTGACGTGGAAGTTGTTGATCCTCCTATATTGCTGCCAGAGTTGGAAGTTGATGTAGTTATGTTGGAGTTTGAGTTTGTGTTGTTGGAGCTTGTGTTGGTGTTGGAGTTACTTGAACTTGATGTATTGTGTGAGAGTGGAGATGATGATGTTGAGTTGCCGAGTGATTGTGGACTGGTACTGCTGTGATTGAATCTCTTGTGGGAGACGATTGGACTGCCTGGTTTATGTGATTGTATGTCTGGTATACTTGTTGGAACATCTGGCAATGATGATAGATCCAAGTCCAAATCAATATTGGTGCGGCCACCACTCTGCTGTTGTTCCTTAATCTTTGTTGGTGAGGCCATTCCAGTGTCCCCGACTGATGCCCCACTAATATTATTATTATAATTCATGATTGACTGATTGATTTGTTTGATTGAATGAATGAATGGATGAATGATTGATTATATGTATATTATGTATATAAGTATTATGTTATGTGTATCTCTTTGATCAAAGGTATATAAAGTAATATTTAACTCATGTTCATCATCATCAATGCTATGACCCATCCATCCATCAATCCATCCAACGATTTGAAGCTGATGATGACTCTATCATAAACACTCGCCATCACATCAAAGATCCCACATTTGTGGAGCCATCCATCAAAAGGACCTTGCGATCCAATGGGTAAATCTTTGCACTGCAAAGATCAAATCAGGCTTTGGATGGATGTGGTGGTCCCAGGCGGTCACACTCGAGGGGGCTCACGTTGGACTAAGGGGGCCAAAACCAAAAGTCGTCAAAACATGTGGATTGCGATCACTTTTGTCAGGTAGCACTTTGTATTAGAACTTTCAACAACAGCCACAGACGTCTGTTTGTTGTGCAAGTGTGTTGTTCTTCTTCTTGGTTGTTGTTGTTATCTATCTATGCTGACAACTGCGCAAACATTGGCAGTTGGCAGGCTAGGCTTGAACAGCGTTGGTATGAACTGAACGGCTATCTTGTCCACGGCCAACTATCCAGCCATCTTCACTCAGTCGGTCGGTTGGCTTTGTGAATGGACCCGGGACCTTGGCCGTACCTACCCGAGGGCCATCACTCTCTCCGTGAGTGATTGATTGTGCGAGTGAATGTGATCAATCACTCGTCGTCAACAATTGAATGAATGAATGATCATCACTCACTCACTCAATCATTGAGTATGATATAGTTGTCTGGACGCTTCTTTCGAACAAAGTAGAGGAACATTGTKGGCGAATATGATGTCTGTGATGACCATGATTGGCGCGAGGTAGCTCATACTGTAGTTGGTGACGCCATAGACACCCTCGATGGTGAAGCCAGCCGCCAGCCAGATACCCACGAGTCCAATGGGTGCACCATACGCCCATACAACCTTGAGTGCATCTCTAATCATACGTGTCGATCGTCTTGAATTGTTGCCTCGATAATTTAGATGTATACGATGTCGCTTCCTAATGTGCTCGGTGGACAACAGCAGGTCCGCGGTCAGGATGACGGGCGGCACGTAGTGGATGAGGATGTTGAGCGCCCAGGCAAAGGCGACCGAGTGGTGCTCGAGGCGGGCTCGCTCGGCGATGAAGTCTGGGTTGAGGATGACCAGCAGCACGGTCGCCGTCACCATGACGATGTACGAGCCGACAAAGCTGAGCGCGTGCAGCAGCTGCACAAACTGATTGTTCTTGTTTGTAGACAGGTCCAGGTCGAACCAGAGCACGTGCACGATCCAGAACCAAAAAGTCAGGTTGGTGATCAGGAAGGGGAACATGATCACCGCCACCAAAAAGTATGTCAACATCAAATAGAAGAGTGCGCGGCGCACCATGAAGCGATAGGTCTCGCGCAGGATCTGTGAGCGCAGTGGCAGACTGGAGAAATACAATGTGCCACTGCCCTCTCTAAACGAATCGTCCACGCCTCCATTTATCAAACTAATATCTCTACTATTATCTCTTTTCCATAAATAATCATTATTTATCGATGATGATGAATCGTCATTTATGCTATTATTATTGCTGTTATAATTATTGATTGAATGATCTATTTTCTACGTTATTGTTGTTGTTGTATCTCTTTAAAAGTCTAGACTTTTCGTTTACTTTACTTGTTATTGTTGAAAGTAGAGTGAATGAGTAATTATCTTTATAAAGTATTTATATATTATGTTATAATGTATCTATCTATCTCTTTTGAGTATGAATGAGTAAATGAATGAAGTAATTGTTTTGAAAACCAACTTAGACAAGATTGTCTTGCATGAATGACCCAGACCTGGGGCTACGACCTCAGGTCGCCAAAATTGGTATAAACATGGGCCATGTTTATTTTATTCATACATTGAAAATAATAATAATATATATAAATATATAATCATGGTTTTGATAAAGACTTTCTCTTTTTATTGTTGATGTTGGACAATGAATGGGTCCTATCCATCTGGCCGGAGACATGAACTTAATCAAGTTTTAATATCGATGGAGTCCAGCCAATCATAAACAAACAATAGTGATAATTTATTTGAAAAATGGGCCAAAGTTTCATCGAGGGTCTGTTTGATTGTTTGTTTGTTGGTGAAGTGGGTGTGTATGTGATGGGGTAGATGGGTGGGTCCTCCGAGTGGTCATTGATGGCCCTCCAGGTGATGTGGGGGTTGGCAGTTGATCAATCAATCAGTCACCTCTATAAATCATTCATTTATTCATACATTCAACATCACCTTCCAACATCAATCAATCAATCATTTCATTAAACCTAAACTATTTATATTTGTATTTGTCAATCAACCAGTCTAGACTCTGACGCCAGACTTATGAATGTTGCTCCAAGCATAGGATACACGACAGCAACATCAATCGAGACAGAGACAGAGTAGCAAACATCAACAAATGGCGACAACTATACAGACGACAATGAATACATCAGCAACAGTACCAGTATCAGTACCAACGCCACCACAATCCAATAGTGGCAAGGAGTGGACGGATGTTACAAAGACATGTATTGTACTATTCCCATTCAATGCCACACACAAGTTCCAATTGCCATTGGCTGTTGGTGACCTTGTAAATATATATGCACAGACTATTGTGGATGGCGAACAGGGATGGTTCAGTGGCGTATCAGTCGCCACCCAAGAACATGGCATCTTCCCACAATCCTACGTGGCCCAACTACCCAACAACATTGACGAACTATCCATGCCACATAACGTTCCAATATCAACAAAGATGTATGTAATGTGTTTGATCAAGCATAGTTGGAATCATCCCACTGACTCCCACCCCTCCCCCAACCCCAGTGGAGCAACTAATGAACAGATGGCCAACTGTGCCATATTCAATGAGATAACAAACACGATTGTGGAGTGGGCCACGCTACTCAAGTTGTTCTCTCAGAACAAACAACATAATGACTTCAAAGTGCTGACTCAGAGGTTAACTCAGCTGATCCAGTTCCGCACTCAGCTGTTAACATTGTCCTCAGCCAAGGTATGTGTGTCGTCTGGAATGGAACCATTCCATCAATCAATCAATCAATCACACACTAACATGGACATTTAATTAATGAATACACAGGATATATCATTCGAGTTAAGAGATAAGATATTGACAGTGATTGATGAAGGAAGACAAGAGACTGGAATGACGGTGGTACTAAGAAAGGAGATGCAGAACACTCATTCCAATGCAACTACAAACCCACGCAATAGTAATACACCTCAATCATCACTCTCTGCCAGTGACCTAGTACTTGCCGACGCGGAAAACACAGGACTCTATACCCTATACACATTAGTAAGATCACTTCATCATCATGAGATCTCGTTGATTGAGTGCACTGACTGATCGATCAATCAGTGCACTCATATATCTTGATTGATCGATCGATCAGATTATAGATCTTAGATCTAACATGTACATTATATTACCATATATAGTATCAAGAGAAGCGATCAGGATCAGTGGACAGGACATTGGAGAGCATAAAGATTGAGGAGAAGATGGGCGGACAGTCGAGTAGTGGTAATCTTCAGTCGTTGGCTCCCCCATCAGTGATCGTGTCGTCGTCAGTTGGTGGCGGCACATCACCAAGTAATAACAACAGCAACACCACCACGCAAGTTGGAATGGTTGGATCGCCATCAATATCGCGCAGCGTCATCTCCAACTCCAGTACAGATCTCTCGTCACAAACATTCCAGGCGGGGACAATCAACAAGACCAGCAAGACGAATGCCTTTTTCAACTTCAACAGCGTTAGGATAAAGGGCAAGTCGCAGATCAACACATCATCCGGCGGCATTGGCCAGTCGATGTCGAACAGCTCGACCAACCTCACAGTGTCCAGCACATCGCCGCCTCCCTCGATGGGCAGTCCGTCGATCTACTCTTCGTCGCCCTCATCGTCGCCATCGATGTTTTCCATGTCACAGTCGATATCGACCAGCCCAATGGCTGGTTCGCCCCTCACAGGCAGCCCGCAGCTTATTGCCAAGGAGCCGTCACATGCCAGTGGCTTGACGCCTTCAACATCGCCAGGCGCTTCCTCACCCGGACCAAAGCCCGCGATTGGCGGCAGAAGCAGTCCAAATCCAATGTTAAACAAACCACATCTATTACCTACAACGAAGCCTTCGCGACAGGGATCATTCCTCGTGGCACAGCAACAATCTTCATCTGCCGCAGGTGGACCAAACCAATCCGAGGCAGCCGCGGCCAAAACAACCACATCACAGCTCCTAGTCTCACTCAGCAACTTCCTATATTCTGTAAGTTATTGACTAAGCCCTGGAATCATTCCATTCACTGACCCCCACCCCCCCACACCTGATCAATCAATGAATTAGTCTGGCGAGTATTTAGAGCTGATATTTAGTATATATAATAAGACGGATAATAAGTTCATCACAGAGAATTATTGTGGAATAGTTCCACCAAGTGGAATATTCGTGGAACCAGATAATCCTAATGAGAAGTTGCGAACAGTGTTCAAGGACCTTGAGGCCAAGGACTTGGCCTCAGAGCTATACCTCGTGGCCAAGATATACAAACGCACGTCCAACATCAACTCCAAAGACCCCAACAACTCTCCGACAATGACTCGCTCAAATGCCGCGATGATCCCATCCATCTCGCTGAGCGCCGTCGCCGCGACCTATCATCAAAACTCTGGCAAACAGTTCAAAAAGTACATTGGTTGTGGCGTCAAGCGACTGGATCTAGGCGCAGCGAGCACAGAGGCGCCTGTCGAGTTCATGATCCAGTTGTACACCAGCGCCAACGAGGCTGCAATGCCATCGCTGCACGAGAGCATCATCAACGAGGCGTCCAGCAGCTACGAAGCGATCGTGCGTGCCAAAGGCATTGTGTGCACGTTTCAGCACTTTGTCTGCGACTATGCGCAGTTCCTGGGCGCCAACCCGACGTTCCGAAACGTGGCGGCGTCTCTCAAGATGCAGTTGCCCGAGCTGGTGCTGCCAGGCAACGATCGAAACGACATCTACATTCAGATTGAGGACGGCGAGTTTGCAGACAAGAACATCGAGGTGGCCCTCGTGATCAAGAACGACGCAGGCGTCGTCATGACCGACTCGATCAAGTACGCGAATGGACAGCCCACGACGGCTGAGTACCGCACCAGCATCCAGACCGCCGGATCCAACGCCAGCAATCGCTGGAACGAGACGGTCAAAGTGTGGATGGCGGCCAAGACACTACCCTCAGCGCACATGTTCTTCGTGGCGCGCACATGCTCAGAGAAGCGCGACAAGGAGCGACAGACCATCGGCTACGGCTTCCTGCGATTTGTTGGCGACGATGGATCGGTGCTCAAGGACGGTGCACATACCATCACTCTGGTGCGCTCACCCACGGAAGATGTGCCCGTGGCCATCTACCTTCAGTCGCGTGGCGACCTTGACAACTCAGCTGGTGGCGCGGGCGCCAAGGCATCATCAAAGAAGACTCAAGACACGATGCGCATACGAACGACATTCGTCTCGACGACTCTGGCGCAGAACCATCACGTGGTCAACTTGACCAACTGGCAGACCTACAACGGCGAGCTCAGCGCGCTAATCAAAGACATCACATTCCTTGCGCAGCAGGACATCATTCGCAACCTCCAAGAGATCTTTTACAACTTCCTAGCGATCATGGACCAACAGCTCAACGACTCGCCGCTGTCAATGGAAATCTTCCGCGCGTTCACATTCATCATTGGTGGCCTTGTCGACTCGCGATCTGTCAACTACCGACCCGCACTTGATCTCTACGTGTCCAAGTACTTTGGCGCGTCAATGAATGCCAGCCTACAGCTGGTGGGCATTGCAGCCCACACACACCTGTTGCGCTCAGTCGTAAAGAGTCTCGAGAACTTTGAGGACCCAGCCAACACATCGCGAATCACCCTCTCGCTCAAGGCACTGGAGTACATCTTCAAGATGGTGGTGGCGTCGCGCACTCGCTTCCCCAACAAGGTGGACGCCGAGTACAACAACGAGACATACCTTGCCAACCTCAAGAGCGTCGTGGACACGCTGTGCGAGATCATGGTGTCCAACTCTCCAGCTCTGATTGGCGCGCAGACGATTGCGCTTAAGAACTTCGAGGGCATGTTTGCAGACATGCGCCGCTTCTTCACGATCGAGGAGATGGGTATCATCGCGCTCAAGTTCATGCGCTCAATCCAGCATCTCGAGAAGAACAAGCGATACAACCTGCTAAAGCTGCGTCTGCTGATCTCGTACATCAACGGTGACCTCATGCTCAACAAGGAGACACGTAAACAGCTGCACCCCATTGTGTTCCAGCTGCTGCTTACTCACTTTGGCAAGTCTTTTGAAGAGACCGACCTCTGTCTGGCCATCCTAGGACAAGTGTCGGACATCATGATCACCAAGGTAGAGCTGCGTGGAGACGACAAGGACGTCTGGCTAGTGGACATCATCTCATTCTTTGTTCAAATACTCGAGCTGCTGCAATTGATCAATAATAGTGTTGGATGTGCATTGCCCCCTGCAGACGCGCTGGCTCAAGCCGATCAGCGATCAAACTCAAACTCAAGCACCAGCTCACTGGCTGGCGCTACGACCTCTGCCAACCTCCTAGCAATCGTACAATTGCTCCCAGAGGACAGCCTCCATGACCTGCGTCTTAAAATCTACTCAATCATTCTTGGCACTGCCAGGCTTGCCGGCGCGCCTCAATGGGAGCAGATCAGCAAGACCCCCACATCGGTAAGTGAGAGTGGATGAGCATGCTTGTGAATGATCACTAACTGAAATCACTCAATCAAAATCAGAGAACCATGTTCATTGACTTGTTCACATCTCTGAGGCTGTTGCTCGAGTCACCCAAGTTCCCCAAGGACTTCTGGGCCTTCAATGTGTTTGTGTTGAAGACGATATTGAGGATGTCGCGTATACTAGAGGATGTCTCGTTCAATCCGACAAAGAATGGTGGAGTCCCACTTGACCTATCCATGCTACAGTCCTTCTTCTTGCTGACCACTGCATTCCTCAATTGCAAAGACCTCCAGACAGAGGTTGGCAATCCGGCCAAAGCAGTCTTCCTCAAGTCACGTTGTGGAGACGTGCGCATTGAGATGTCCCGTGTACTCGAGCGAGTATGGGCGGCAGTCCCAATCCAACAACGTGCCTCCTTCATCGCCATACTCATTGATCCAGTCATCAGGTTATTAGTTGTAAGTTGTGAATATCATGATCATCGGAACTATTCCACTCACCATCAATCAAACATGTGCAAATACAGAGCGAGATAATCGACGCCAAGAGAGTAGCAACAAAGATATATTACGATATATTGGAAGGAGAGATTGTGGCGACAGGTGCATACTTGGACCTGCTCAATCGTACTGTGGACACGTTGGTGGAGAGTGGCACAGGTGTCACTGATGGCCTGGCATGGCCAGTGGTCACACGTGGCATGGATGCACATCTACCATTCACTCACAAGACATTCGCGACATTCTTCAACTCGCAGTGCATGCAGATTGTGTTGGGCAAGTCCACCGAGGACACCAAGAAGAAGGCCGAGCAGTTCATCAAGGATATCATACAGTTTGTCTCGCTACTGGCCACATTCATGGCTGAGATCAAGAATCAGGACGACGAGGAGGTGTTCTCCGCCGTGTCCAAGCTCATCCAGTACTTCAAGGACAATCGTCGCACCAGCCACTTCATTCGCTTCGTGAGCATGTGCAGCAAGAGACACAGTGCCAATGGCAGCTTTGTAGAGGCCGCTGTTGTAGCAATGATGCACGCATCACTATACAAGTGGGATCATCACAAGGTGATCGACGCCATCGTCTGCGACTATGGTCCCTGTCCAATTCAGAAGGAGTCTGAGCGCAAAGAGGCCCTGTACAAAGAGATCCTCGCCTTCTACAACAAGGGCAAGGCATGGGACCTGGCCATCCCACTCCTCAAAGAGCTAACCCATCACTACACCATGAACTACTGTGACATGGCAGCCACTGCCAACTACTTGGTATGTATCATTCCCTCCTTTGCTCACTCTCATTCATTCACTCATTCACTCACTGACGCACGCCAACATGAACAGAGACAACAAGCGACATTCATTCAGAAGCTCAATGACACTGAGCCTGCATTAGAGGAGTACTTTAGAGTGGGATACTATGGCAAGAGATATCCGATCAATGTGCAGAACAAGGAGTTTGTGTACAAGGGCAATGATGGCGAGAAACTTGCAGACTTCACCGCCAAGCTCACAACAAAGTGGCCCAGGGCTGAACTACTAAAGTCAACAGAGCCACCAAGTCAATCAATAATGGACACTGATTCACAATGTAAGTTCAACTCTTTGTTGTGACGCCACTACCCCATGGAAACACGGAAACACACGGAAACACACGGAAACACTAACGGCAACACACTTGGAAACACGGCAACTCTTTAGATTTATTAATAACCCCTGTAAATGTATCAAGTATGAACAATGTACAAAGGAGACACAGTTTAAACAAGATTATAGATAGCTTTGGACCAAAGAGAAGGGTACCGCTGCGTATTCAACAACTCAATGCAAGATGCAACGTCAATGTGTTTGTACATGTCAAGCCAGGCTATAGGAGGCCCGGGGCCAGCGCTGTCAGGCCGGCCAATGACCTCGAGGACAGTTGGACACTAAACACCTATCTGGTGTGCGCCACACCCTTCCCCGGCACAGAGCGTCGCTCGCTGGTGGTCGAGCGCCATCAACAAGAGGTGTCACCCATTGAGAACGCACTCAACAATGTTGTGCAGCGCAACGAAGAGCTCATCTCACAGCTTGACAAGTACACTCAGGCACAGAGCAATGGAGCTCAAGAGAATGTCGCCCCACTCACTGCCACGATCGAGTCCGCCGTCGGCGGCAACACGGCCAAGTACGAGTACTTCCTGTCGCATAACTATGTCCAGAAGCATCCAGAGAGCAAGCATCTGGTCGAGTGTCTAAAGGTGGCGATGGACCAGCAGCTGATCGTGCTGGAGCAGGCGCTGCATCTGCACGCGCAGCTGCGTCCCGTGGACATGGCCGCGACACAAGAGCGTCTAGAGTCGAGTTTTGCCGCGATGAAGAATGAGCGAGCATCCTCCATTATTATTTAATGAACTGACTTCTTGCTTCAACTGTATCCATTGACTATCAAGTCTACAAACACCTTGAGGTAGTACTTGTCGAATCCACACTCTCTCTGCAGTCTCTCAAAGTGATTCTGGTGTTTCTCCAGCTGTTTCTCCAACTCTATGCTTCGTAGCGATAGTCTATTCATTGATGTGTCGTGGCGTGCCGTGAACGTTGCATGGCATGTGGCAGTTCATAGTTAGTTGGTTGTCGAGTAGGGCGTGGCATCCTTGATTGATTGACTTACGCCTTTATAAATACCATAACGATCATTCTCCAATGATTGGGAGACAGTGATGGTATTGGTCTGATCAATGAGAATGTGTGGACAAGTGATGCCATCTCATGTGATGATATATAATCTTGAAGGTCCAGTACCTTGACCACTGTTGGGTAACTAAATGATTGATTGATTGGTCGTCAGCTACAGCCACAGCCACAGCCATGAAACTGTCGGTAACATACTATTGTGATAGATATTGATTGAGTGCCATCTTGATGTGAGGCACTTGGTCGGAACGGATAAAGTCTGTGGATGTGTCGGTTGGGGATTTCAGGAAGGTCTCTGTCACTTCGGTGCGCCACTCACTCAGTGGAGCATAGACAGAGTGATAGTTTGATATTGGCAGCTGCTTGGACGCACTTGGCTCTAGGAATCCTGTCAGCGACTGATCCTCCACGCCACTATCATTTGAGTCCAGGTCCACATCTGATGGTAGACCTCTTGAAAGACTCTCCTCTGTATTTGCATCACCAAAGTCCGTGTCTGATCTACTATCATTCTGTATTTCTCGCATTATAACATCGCCAGTATCTTGTTGTTGTTGTTGAGTTGACTTGTCCATTATCTTTGCAGCCATCTCTGCTTCCTTGAATATGTCATGTACAGTTATCGCGGGTATGTTCAATGATGATGATGTGATTGTTGATTGATTACTTGAATAGGGTATAGTTGATTCTGTTGTTTGATGGAAGTTGGTATCAATTGGTGCCTTGTCTGCATCAATGTTCTCTACAATGTTCAAGTGTGCTCTGATTCATTCGTTCGTTAGTATGATTGATTGATTGGAATGGTTCCAGTGTGATTAATGACCTACTCGATGTCCTTTACCAGTGCATCTTCATTGATTGGTCTGATGAAGGGTGGGCCTGCGAGTTAGTCATTGATTGAGCTTGGAGCGCACGGAGCAACACAATATAACATACATGTTAAAGAGTCGTTGTTCAATCTTCCTGAAGTAGACTGGTGATGAGTCGATGCTGTGCTTGAACAACTTGGAGTTGGTCAAACATTCTGTGCTGCAATAGTTGGCCAACTCCTCTTGATCATAGACTCGTTGATCCTTTGTTGATATATAGTACTTGAACGGTAGTTTCTCTTTGACCACCTTGTTACACGTTGGATAGCCACATATCTTTTGAATGGCACGCTCAATCACTATATCCTCATAATGATTGGGTTGCAAGAATATAGCATACAACTTGAGTTGTTCCTCCGTCACTGTATTCTCAATCAATGTGGCCTGTGTCTCAAATGTCTTCTTCTCAATCATAACTCTATCCGTTATCAACTTTCTAACCTTATCTCTGTTGGGGTCATCTTGAACATCATCATTCTTCTTCTTTACACTATTATTGTTAACTTTGTTATTGTTGTTGTTGACATCTGTTGTAGTAGATGTAGATGTTGTTGTTGTATCCTTTAAAGGCCTCCTTTTGATCACCTTCTTGATGACTCGGACCTTTGGTCTTGATGGTGCAGTCGATGATGGAGGTACTGCCAGATTGCTCGTTGTTGGCAATATAGACTGTTGCTGATGCTGCTCCATCCTCTTCAATGTAAGAATAGGTCTATATTATGTATATATTGTTAATATATGTATGTAGTATATGTGTATCTATGTATGAATGAATGATTAAGTATGTATATGTTTGTTGTTGTATATGTTGTCTCTTCTCAAGATGTGTGTTATTTGAAATGTGTGGGTGACTGATTGAGATTGAATGAATGAAGGCAGGAAGTGCGAGGGGTGAGAAGATTGATTGATTGGTGATGAAGTGTGTTATGTGTACCTTGTGTTGGTCCAATGGGAGAGGGACAATTAATCTATCTACAAATAAAATAATATATACTATTATTATTCTCAATAAATAACAATTTTAAAATGTATTAAATAAAGTGGAAGCTGGAACTACCAGGGTCCACAGAGATTGAAAAGGCTAAGGCTTGGCTTCGCTTGGTATAGTGTCGGCTTGAAATACATGGCGTGAGTGTAGAGATTTATTCACTCAATCACTCAATCACTGATCGCTTGATTCGGTTCGTTCGGTTTGTGTTCGGGTTCGTTCATAAATGTTGTTGTTCATATCCATCCATCCATCCATCTTCAATAATCCATAAAGAGAGAGAGAGAGTGAGGTTCGCCAACATACTCACTCACTCACTCAGAGAGTAGATTTGGATCATGACTCGTGCAAGAGGTTCCATGCCTTGTTCATGTTCTCGTCGAAACAGTCTGGCATGAAGTTGTACCATTGCTCGCGACCATCGTAGAAGACGGTACCAGAGATGTTCATCCACATCTCTTTGGCTCGTTGTAGCTTGTGTCCATCGACCCACTGTTCATTGTTGATGGCCTTGAAGAATCGATCAGTGTGCGCTTTGATAAACTCGGCCGAGCGTGCCGATCGCTCCCAATCAATGAAGCGGAGGTTGCCTGGCGCGTTGGTCCACGTCGAGATGTTGCGATAGACGTCGGGGATGTTGATCGATTGATAGAAGCGCTCGAGTGATTGCAGGCCCGGGTAGCCCTGGCACCAGGACGACTCGACCAGCGCGCTCGTGTTGACCATTCTGATCTCCTCGGAGCGCTCCAGCGACTTGAGGTACAGCCACTTGATGCGCTCGAATCCATTGTCGTCCAACCAAAAGTCCACGTCGGCAGACAACAGTACACGGCCAATATTGTTCCTGCGGGCATACTGTATGATCTCATCAATCAACAACTCTGCCTTGTAATATCGATTGAAGTCTGATGGCATGATCTCATTGACCGTCGGCACGACCTTGAGTCCATTCTCCACGCTAAAGATGTTACCCTTGTGATGTTGTCCATGTGCGTCGCTTCAGTGATTGAGTGAATTAGTGAGTGAGTGAGGTCGATCAATCAACTAGTTGACATACCTTCCAAAATGTTCTCCACCTATTATACAATATTCATAACCTTCCTCTGACACAGCTCTACTTGATTGGATACTGAACAGTTTCTAATGTATGCGAATGGCAAGGTGGCGAGAGTGTCAGCGCGTGGGCATGATTGTCAGCCCCGACCTTTCTATACATACCTCACTTGGACAGAATCCTCTGGGCTCTCTGTCAAACAGTTGATGGAGTACATGGTTGGTGTGTTTGATGTCTTCTTTGACGAATCCATTGATGTAGGCGTCTTGATAGAGGTCGTCGAGACAGGGGTGTGCCAAGCCAGATGCGTGGAACGTTGATCCAATGATCTCTGATTGCTCCCAAGCCGAGAAAGTGCCCTTCTTTGCAGTCCTATATCTGATTGAGCCTTGTATTGAATGGTCCACACGTACTATAGCTTCCATTGTCTGACCAGACAATGCCCAACTGATTGGAATACCAAGATTTCCTTCATCATGTCCATACCATAAGCATTTGTCCTACATTCATTCATTCATTCATTAATTCATTCATTAGTACTCACTCATCGATCCCTTCAATCAATCAAATCAATCATACCATTAGTCTTGCAAGTTTGTAAGCTGGCTCATCATGTCCAATGTCAGCCCAAGGGGCAAAAGCAAACAATATTGGCATTGTTATTGTATTATAAGTATGAAWTAAATAAGGATATTAATATATATTGTATATATATGTATAAGTATAAGTATAAGTAGAAGTATGATTATAATGAATGAATGAATGAGTGAGTGAACATTGAAGTTGACAAGGTTACCCTTTGATAATTGTGTTTGTCCAATCTGCAAAGTGGTTGGCCCACTTTTAGATAAACATGGTGATGGTGGTACCCTTTTGAAGTGTCATTTGAATGATCTACACACTCTATCTCTTTAATTAATAATGTTAATATTATAATAATGTAGATCATTGCTCTATATCATATTACATTATAATGTACAAAGAGATAGAGTTAGAGAGAGAACAAACAAACAAACTTATTTATATATATATATTATGTCTTGATGAACATTTGAGTGGCGTTGAATGGAAGTGTCTCAATTATGTTGACATTCATTCAATCGTTCATTGACAAGAGAGAGATACTACATTGCAGCTCCACACTTATGTTCATCAAGACATCGACATCACATACAACAAGGAGACAAGTGTGATCGATCGATCATTCATTCAACGCAGGTGATGCATCACAAATATAAGAGTATGAATACAAGGAGTAATAGTAGTTTATTGATTTAGTTTGATAGACTTGTATGATGGGTCCTCAGATATGGTTTGATCGTCGAGGGTCCTCTTCGTCCCCATATGCTTCGTTCCGTTTGGCCTTGTCAATAGTCGATCAAAAATGGCCCTTATCTTGAGGTTTCCATTTGAGTTTGGAGCAGAGCAGAGTATTTTGTTCAAGTCCACCTTGACTCCAGCTCGTTGGTAAGGTGATGGTCCTCGTCGACCATCTGCTTGTTCACCTTCAAACAGATAACTTATTAGCTTGTGATGATTCTTCATTGATGCTTGTTTGATCGCATCAAGTGATGGAAAGTGTTTGTAGAGTTGCGCAGGTGTGATGCATCGCTGGTGAACAGCCTGGATGATGTCCAGACGACCTGCAATGCAAGCCCAATCGACCAAACGTACCAGTACATCGGAGGACTTGGAGGATTGGTAATGTTGGTCAACACTGAAGTATCCTTTATCAAGGCAATGATTGAGAACTGACTTGCTACAGTGCTCCAAGTTGATGAACTCGCTGGGATGCTCCTCCTTGGGGGCCAACCCAATAACATACTCCAATGATTGAATGTCGTCTCGTTTGATCGATGCATCAACAAGTTGTTTGAATAATGAGTTGTCCAGTTTCTCCATGATGAACTCATTGTTCTTGTTGTTGTTTTTGTCGAGGTCGGAGCAGTGATGTACAACCATCTTGATGGCAGCCAGTGACTTGTTTGATGCAATGATCAATAATCTGTTGAGAACATATCTTGAGATTGACTTGGGACCCCTCTTAAGATAGCCAGAGACCTCGACGAATGCACTCTCCACTTCTTCGAAGTCTCGCTCGTGCGAGTCAGTGTTATAACCATCCAAAAGAATGCAAAGGTCTTCGCCGTTGAACCCGACATTACTTTTAACATTGCCCAGCAACCATTTGATCGTGTCCATGTCGCCCACCTCCAACGCCTTCACAAGGGCATATCTATAATCTATTGTGATTGGACTGTCATTCTTGAGGCGGTTGTTATAGCTCTTGATGTGCGCATCCTTCATCATGTTGATCACTGGCTTGATCCTGTGCTTGATAGCATCGCCCATCACAAAGGATAGCTTGTACTTGATGTAGACAGGCTTTGCGATCAAACGCTCAATCAGTTCGACTGACATGATGCTGTGATGTATGCTATTCACAATACTTGGGGTCACTCTTTCCTTCTTCTTGGTGGCCTCTGCTGATGTTGTTGCTGCTGCCAGAGCAGTGAGACAGAGGTTGGCAACGTCCATATGTCCAACGATCAATGACTCTTTGAGTATCGTGGCCAATAATGTACGTTCGTTTAATGATGTACAAACGATTGGGAGGATCGTCTTCTCCAAGAGTTCCAAACTACCATGTTTACCAAAGGCTTGGACAATATCGTTTGCTATCCAAACGGTGTATTGGCTCAACCATCCAGCCAATGAGGTCCGAACAAAGTGATTGATGACTGGTGCCACATTCAGTTGGATTGCCTTGATAAATAGTGTCGGGTGTATTGTGGCGTTGAGCAGATTGTGTTGAAGGAGCAGTTGGAGCATCTCCTGTGCCCATGGCTTGTCAAGCCATCCTCCGCCACCACATATCTTATTGATATCTTCTGTTGTATGCATGGCTTGGAGTTTGACTCCACATCGTATGAGTTTGCGAAAGAATGATGGATGTTGGATAGATGACAATGAGCCAAGTTTGTTGATGTCTAGATCGAGGGCGTTGCTTTGGAATAGGAACATCATGACCTGGTCAAACATCCTCTCCCAATCAGGATGTGAACATGTCGATACATTCGAGATAAATGATTGGTAGAATTGTTTGTTATCGATAGTTGGGAGTGACATTATTGGATTGGCGAGAAGCACATCAACCACTCTTGAGTCACACCTGGTCATTGCAGAACCCAGCAGTCTGAGGTTAAATCTGATGGAACTGTTGAATTGTGATGGAGAGTATGCCTTGAGGAACCATTCTGTTGCGCCATACCTGATGTAATCATTCAAACAATGTCGATCAATCAACTGTGCACCCTTGATCACATGTCTGGCCTCAACACCAAGTGACTTGTGAACTACTCCAACTTGTTCCATGATGATCATTCCAAGCTTCCTGTTACCAAACACAAAGTGCACTGCTGTTTCCAACTGTCGCGAGTATGATGGTTCAATTTGCATCTTTGAGTCCACCACCTGTTGTTGTTGTTGTTGGCTAAAGTTGACGAGTTAGCGAGTGATCAATCAGTCTTTTATCCCAGTGCACAACAACATACTAAACATCATTGTCGGTGATTGATTTGATGTGATCACTGCACAGGTTGATCACTCTTGTCATTCCATGCTCATAACCAATGTTCTTGACTGCGTATATGGTTCTCAATCGATGTGTGATTGGCATGTTGGCAAATGTTGAGGAGTTGAAGTAGAACTCAAGTGAGTGAATGGAATTCGTCTCGGCCATCTTGATGAGTGTGTTCATGGAGGGACACGCCATTGGCATGATTCTGTCTTGACCAAAACGTTGAAAGAGTGATTGAACAACATGTTGTCTATCATATATAAATGATTGATTGATGATTCGTTTTATCAACTTGTCATCCAACTGATCGTCTTTGAACTGATTGATCACATGTTGAAACACTTCCTTGCGTTCATTCAATGCGGCCCACATACATATGTTGGGGATTCGTCTAACACTCTCAATGTGATCCAGTAAGGATGTGACGTCGTCCAATGATTCTGATGATATATACACCTGTGCATATTGCTTGATATCATACTTCAGTTCGCTCTGCTCCTCATCCTCCTCATCCTCCTCATCAAGTTTGTCGATATCCTGGATCTGTTGGCGCAACTCGATGAATAGCAGCGCCAATGTTTCGCGACATTTCTTCTTCAAAGCCTTCACAAGATGTAAGAGTTTGTAGCTGGTGCCGTAGTGAGTGTGGACTTGTTTCATGATCTCGGCTGAGAAGCCCGCGGCGTACTTCATCAATGTTTCCTCAACTTCGTAGTTGTGGTCTTTTGTCGGATGGGTGGCGATGTACTGGGCGACCATGTTCGCTGTGATGTTGCTGCCTAACTCTCCCGCCGCCATGCTCATGTTGAGAACTGCGATACCATGAGGCAATCTGATCTTTGAGTGTGGACTGAGGACATACTCTGCCATGGGCTTTGACATGCGTTGGAACATCTTGATGCTCAATTTAATTGGAGGAAGATCGATTGGGTGAGACTGGACCAATTCCAAGTCATTATTGCGGATCACTGACAAGGGTGTGATGCAGAATGGTCCGGCCAAATCCAGATGTTGATGTTGTTGTTGTTGTCGTAAATACTCAACGATTGATTGATGACCATGATCATTCGCAATTGTGATAATGTCTGTGATTGAGTTCTTCTCGATGAAATTGGCTACAAAGGGCCACTTGTTGAGCAATTGGAACATCAACATGTTGCCGGCTTTGGCACATCGTCCAAGACACTTGCCGATGAGTATGTTGAGCGCAACATCTGGTTGCGATGGTTCGGGCCATGGCATGTTGTCAAGGATGTATTGCACACTGTCCATCATGTTGCACTTGATCGAGTGCATGAGTGCTCTGTGCCATAGTTCTGTGAGACCAAACAGAGAGTTGAACTCCTCATGCAACACTTTAAGTACGACGACACCGACGCCACGTCTCTTGAACTTGACCACGGGTGAGCAGTTGATTGCTTTATCATCAAGTTTAAAGTGTTGGAGGAACAGACGCATTATATGTTCGTTGCCAGTGTCCACAGCCAGTGGGAGGCAGGACACGGCGGTGCTGGGCAACATGCGATCGAATGTGTTGTCAAAGAAGTGTTGGAGCATCTCGATGTGGCAGTTCCATTTGAGGTATGATGTGAGTGCAGTAATATCCATGACCATGGTCATTCTCGGATGTTTGCGCAGATGTCTGAACAGTGTTATGTTGTTGAAGGTTATAGTGTTTGACCAAAGGTTCTCATTTTGTGGGTAGTCTTCTGCGACGCTGTCGAATGCCTCGATGAACATCTGAGTGGCATTGTATGTCAACATCTCATTGAGATCACCGTTGGCATGTAGTTGAGCACCCTTTATCGTTGACATTATCCTCGTTCGATTGATGTCATCTGCATCATAGTGATCATCAGTGATGCGTGGCAATGGCAGACTACACCATCGTCGATGCATCTCACTGACATGCTTAAAGAAAAGTCTACACAACAATTTATTGTGGAACACTTCATGTATACTACTCTTATTGTTATTCATTATGTATGAGTGTGTATCTGTACCTGTATATGATTGAAGTAAAAAAGAACCGGATTAGCCATCAATGTTTGTTAAGGTTCCTAAATGGAACTTCAATTCTTAGAAAATATCTTCAATTTATGGGTTTCAAAGATATTTGAGAATTTCTCAACTTTGACTAGTTCATACTTCCAAGTTTAATAACAATAGGGCATTCAAACATTATGTCAACAACATTATTCAAGTGCTTGGAGCATGTGTCTTAATGACAAGGAGATGCCCACATACATACTCAAGCATGGCGACATTGATGTACTCCAACACTACCTCACAGTAACAGCCAACCGCATGTTGCCAAGAGACTTGTTGCTACAACTTCACCTCGCGGTGGACAGTGGCAACGAACAGTTTGTACGTCTGCTCCTCCAACACATTCATATCGACCTCAATTGGGCCTGGTTCAACGCCAACAATTTCAACATTAAGTTCAAACAACTTGGAGTCCGCGTTGGTATGCTCAGGTTGCTACACGAGGAGTTCAACTGTTTGTTTGGTCTCAGAAGTCTGTGGGAGGTGGCACTCACACACTCGGTCCGGTGTAACATGGTTGACAGTGTGCAATACATCTTGGACAACTTGACTTTAAATTCTGAGTTGTATAACATGCTCCCAAAGTGTCTACGTCGATGCGCCAAAGCCGGCAACATCAACATGTTCCAACTGATCTGTAGTACGCCAACTTGCAAACAATTCCTCATGGACAATTTATTTGACGCGACGATTGATGTTGCAGTCGATCACACCCAAGAGCAGTTCGTCAACATGTGTATCAACTTCATTATGGCAAAAGAACAATCTCAAGTCGGGCCGAGGAGGTTCTCAATGCCAGTCTGGTGTTCCCACCTGCCCACAGTCAACATCAACATTCAATGGACTTGTTGCATCGGGCAACACTCCGCATCACACCAATGGCCGCCATTCGCAACGATGACATTGTGAGTGTCCAATCATTCCTCAATATCAACGACCCACTCATGAAGATTGTGTTGGATAAGAAGCTTTGCCTTAAGCTATCCGAGTCAATGGTAGCATTGCTCTTTGGTCCACACACTTCATCTTTCAACCCTCTTAGCCCAGTCTACGGCCTTTCGTATGTCAGTTTTATCGAGTGCATTGGCCAGCCTGGCAGCAACATCACCGCGAACATAGTATCCCGGTTTATTGAAAATTGTCGGCAAGAGCTCCCTCGTTTGGATCGAGGTATCATGGAGTCTGCAGCAAGACACTCGGCTGCGGTGATGATGCAACTCAACATTCGGGCCCGAAATGCTAGCTATTCCTATGGATGTCTGTTCAACGCTTTGGATATGAGATGTCGCGAGACAATGACTTTGCTCTTTCAAAATCTCAATACAAACAACCCTGATGAGGATGGGATCAATCAACTCAGGGAGGCAGCATACTCATACATTGGCGCTGCTGAAACATCATTGGAGGATGTCATTCACATGCTGGAGCATATGAAGTTTGTTTGAGAAGATATCAACATTTGTCAGTGGGCCGTCTGCAATGGTCGCATGGAGGTGCTTGAATACATGATCAACTTGTTCAAAATAGATCAGTTTGACGACTCTGCTTTGAAGGTCATATTGGACAAGGCACTCGTATATGACCGAATTGACTTGGTACAATGGCTACAACAACGCTTTGGACGAGACAGGACACTGTCGTTGTCACCAACACTCGAGACACTTCTTGAGATTGCCAAGAAGAATTCCCTTCGCTCACTCGAGTTCCACTTCAACTCAACCAAATTCACAAACATGACCAACACACACAAGTTGCGAACTATCCACTCAATCATCAACAAATGTTATAAAAGTGGATTGACACGAGTGATCAAGTTGTGCGCTGATCTCATCGCTACCATCTCACATCAATCAGAGTAAGTTCCAATCTCATGGATCTATTCCATTCAATCAAACATCACTCATACAACACTCACTCACTCCAAATACAGTCTTGCACCCCAGATTGACACCAATCAATCAATGATTGGTTTGGATGACTACGTTCCAAAATGTTTACATCAGTATGAGAAAGCATTCCATTCTGTGTTTGGTAACAGGCTTGGAATGCTGATCATGGAACAAGTTGGAGTGGTTCACAAGTCACTTGGTGTTGAGGCCAAGCATGTGATAAAAGGTGCAGAGTTGATTGATCGACATTGTTTGAATGATTACATCAAATATGGCGCAACTGAATGGTTCCTCAAGGCATACTCTCCATCATCATTGGCAACAAACTCATCAAACTATAACACAGTATTAATGGAGATGGCTGTGATCAAATCTGACAAACGGGCGCTCGATGCACTCCTGGCCAATCCTTTTATGACTTTGCCGGCCAAGATGGAATCACTCTCTGATCAGTTCATCAATACTGTGTCAACATGTTCACATCCAGAATGGGAGAGGTTGTTTGATCAATACATCTTGATTATGCTCCAAGGTACCAAGCCAGAACTGGACGTCTGGCAATTTGATGAAATCCAACATCCGTCATTCCTTCACAAACTCATTCAATGTGGTAAAACCACACCCAGTAATCTCGAACCAATTAGTCAAGTCAGAGATAGCATGGAGAGCTGGCTGTCCAAACCATGGGCAATGGAGATGATCCAACTGCTTGATCAACTCACACTACTTCATCCCGACATACACCTTAATATTCTGGTCACTGCGATTGACGATGATATCACATCGTTGTTCCACCACTATCTCCCCCACATTTCTACAATGTACAACTCGAGAGCCAACGTATTATTACTTATTGATCGCTGTTGCATGCATGGTCGATTGGAATACCTTCAGAAGATACTACAACTTGTTTCAGCCTGATCAAGACAACCAATAGGCCATTCTCTCCAAGGTCAATCAATTTGGCACTAACCTACGGTCATCTAAATGTAGTCAACTGCATCCTCGATTCACTGTCCGCTAGCACCAGCACCAGCACCAGCACCGCCATAATCAAGTACGAAGTGAATATCATCCATCACAGTATCTTGACAATCGACTTGATTGAGCGATTGATGGTACATCCCAACTTAAATTGCAAGTTTGGCAAAGTGATGGGCATTGCGATCAAACATGGAATCAAACCAGTGATCAATAAGATGATGGAGCTAGCTACACAGGAAAGAACCAATCACAACAGATTATCAATATGCGCTTGAATGGGCATTTGAAGTGTGCGACTTGGACACAATTAGATGGATGGTGAATCATGATTCAGGTATAACTCCGCCCATCAAACTCTCTATTGACATATTTGGAAAGTTGTTGTCCAACTACAATAGCGACTACCAACTCAAACATGATATCTTCAATGAGTTTGCCAAAGTTCCCGAGGCAACACCGCAAACAATTGCCAAAGTAATGAGAATTGCAGCCTCAAAGTCATTGTCAGACATCAAGATTGTCTATGATCACTTCCACACTTATATTCGTCCGATCAAGGCTAATATAATCAAGTGTATGATTGAGGCCAGTACCGAGCGAGATGATATCGAGTCTTTGGATTATCTGTTCGACCTAGCTGGTACCAAACCAAATCCTCACCACCAGACATTGAATCCACGCGACCTCATCCCCAACCTTAGGTCCTGCAGCGCTTCAATCCTTTCACATTTCATTGACAAAGGATATATCAATGTCGACACCAATACCCGTGAACTCATTGACTTGGTGGATTGGGCTTGTGAGCAAATACGCTTGGACATTATCAAGGTTGTCCACCAGCGATGTCTCACTCAAACACAGATCAGAAGATATCTTCCCAAGGTAGGCTCAATCAACAAAGCAGCCGAATGTAACCATTACAAGTCACTCAGTTATCTGTTTGAGGGCAACGAGCTGGGGTGACATTGAACATGGTCAACTTGATCAAGGAAGTCCGCCATCATTCCATTCTCGTTGGCAATCTCAAGATAATTGATATGTGTGATCGACTGATAGCTCAACATAGCAATGTTGTCAAACCTCTTTCACGTTGGGCTGGACATCATGGCGTGAAGAGGATTGAGCGTGATGAAGATACATTGGAGAGTCAGTCAGAGCATGGCTCACAATCAAACAAGCATACAAGAATAGACCCATAAATAAAGAATCAAACCTTTGATCAAGAGAATTCGAGTGATTGAGTGTCTTGGTTGTTCGTTTTCATTCAAACAATCAATTGTTCATATTCATACAGATACAGGTACAGATACACACTCATACATTTACATAATAACAATGAATAACAATAAGAGTAGTATACATGAAGTGTTCCATAATGTAGTGTTGTGTAGACTGATCTTTAATCATGTCAGTGAGATGCACAGACGATGGTGTAGTCTGCCATTGCCACGCATCACTGATGATCACTATGATCATGATGACATCAATCATACGAGGATAAAGTCAACAATCAAAGGTTCAAAGCTGCATGCCAATGGTGATCTCAATCAGATGTTGAGATTCAATGCCACTCAGATGTTCATCAAGACATTTGACAGCGTCGCCCAACACTACCCTTTTGACTACGCACTGTTGTCTGAAGCGGTAATCCATAACAACACTACAGTGTTCAGACATCTTTGCAAGCATCCTAGTATGAACTTGATGTTAGATTCTCTTCCATCATATCTTCAAAGCAAGTTTTGCACATTAGAGATGCTCCAGTACTACTTTAACATCACAGGTCCGAGGAAGTTGCCCAAGGATAACATGGCCCTGCTCCCCATTGCCGTCGACACTGGTAACGAACATGTTGTTCGTCTGCTGCTCCATCATCTCAACATTGTAGACCATAGTCTTGAGGACTTCAAGAAGTTCAAAAGACCTGGCGTCAGTGTTGGCATTCTCAGAGTTCTGCACGAGGAGTTCAACTGTCTGTTTAGGTTCAAGATTCTCTGGCAAAAGGCACTCACCCATTCGGTCAAGTGCAACATGATTGACAGTGTACAATACATCATCGACAACATGCCGTGGCCCGAACCATATCCAAGTGCATATGATCAACTTATGTATACGTGTCTCGATCGTTGTGCGAAAGCATGCAACATCGACATGTTACAACTGCTATACAAGTCACACAGTATCGGCCAATTCATCAAGGACTCTAAACTACGACTCATTACACATGCGATTGACTATGGCCATCAATCATTCGTCGATCATCTTACCCAAATTGTAGGCTTGGGCACCAAGTCTATATTCTACATCACACCAATGTCTGCTATCCGCAATGATGACATTGTTGGAGCCGAGTCGCTACAGGGCATGCAGAAATATGATGTCTCAGTGAGTGAGAGGTTGTTCCGACGCATGTCGAGGGCGATGGCAGAGTACTTGGTCAGTCCGCAAAGCAAGATAAGATTGGACAGCAACAGTCTGATCAACATGAGCGAGGCCGTGGGCAAGCCCGGCAGCCACATCACCGCTGACTTGGTTATCCAATTCATAGCCAATCATACTTCACCAAACGACACATTCATGGAGGAAGTGATGCTGTCCGCAGCTGGGTACTCGGCCGAAGTACTAAGACATATTGTTCTTCGTTTCCCCTTCTATTTCGAAAACGAACATTTGATCAAGGCGTTGGATCATGGGTGTCAAGAGACTATTGTATATATCATTCAGACTATGAAGTTGAATCCGAATGCAGATGATAAATACAAGCTCGAGAAGAGTGCGCTTAGATATTTGTCCGCTGGATCATTGGAGATAATCACAATCATGCTGGATCGCATTAAGTTTGTCAGAACGAACACACACATCTTTTTGTATGCCATGATGAATGAAGATCCGAAAGTGTTTGAACATGTCATCAACCTGTGCACTCTGGATCAATTAGACAACTCGATATTGGAACTTATCATCAATCAATCCTTCCAATGTAATAAGCCAAACAATTTGAAACTGCTCCAGGATAGGTTTGGACATGAACACATCCAGCCCATAATCCCATCACTCAAGCTACTTCACCATATGGCCGAACTCAATGCCTATCATTCATTGGAGCATCACTTCAACACATCATCGACATTCACCAACATGCCAATCACTCATCGATTGCGAATCATCTACTCAACCATGAATGCTGGTTATAAACATGGTATGACTCGAGTGATCAAGTTGTGCGCTGATCTTATCAAGTCAATCAATCATTCATTCAATCAGTAAGTTGGCACAGCATCAATAGCTGAATCACACTCACTCACTCACTCACTCACTGACTTTCTATCATCATATTACCAGACTGAAACAAGTTGACAATGTATGCACTGTAACATGTTCACGACAGGTGGAAACAGCAGTGCACTTTGTGTTGGGTGACATGAAGCTTGGTATGCTCATCATGGAGCAGGTTGGAGTGGTTCACAAGTCACTTGGTGTTGAGGCAAAGCATGTGATCAAGGGTGCACAGTTAATGGATCGACATTGTTTGAATGATTACATCAAGTATGGCGCAACTGAATGGTTCCTCAAGGCATACTCCCCATCGTTGTTCTCCAACACATACCTCTGCAATACAACATTGTTGGAGACAGCCTTGGAGAGATGTGAACCAAGAGTGGTAAATGTACTGTTGGCCAATCCCATCATGACAGTCCGAGACATCCCAAAACTCAATATGCGCTTCATCTCAAAAGTTTCGTCATGCTCACATCCTGACTGGGAGATGATGTTTGATCAATACATTTTGATCACATGTCAAGGTGACACACTGGAGTTTGAAGATGATGCTGGCGTGTTGTCTTGCGTCCAACATCCATCATTCCTTCGCAAGCTCATCGAATGTGATGTCAAGCTGAAAACCATTGGAAAGTCATCATATGAGTTGGACAATATCGCTCAAGGTTGGCTGACCAAGCCATGGGCTATGGATATGTTCCTTCTTCTTATTCAACATAGTCTCATTTCACCTGACCTACATTATAATTTATATATTATGGCAATCGATCACGGAGTCACATCGATCTTCAACTATTATTCAGAGAAAGCACTAGTTGGCTTGTTGAACAAAAGTATTGGCTCAAAGGCTGCAATGGATATCATGGAGCACTGTTGTATACATGGAAGACTGGAATACCTGGTGTCTGTCCTCCCAATGATCAACGAGAGGTTTCCAATCAATCACACTTCATCATTCTCAGTGGTTAGTTCAGCATTGGTTGGTGGGCATATGGATATTGTCAACTTCATCCTGGACAATCTATCATCCTCTTCTTCATCGACAAAGGATGGAATGCATTTGGTGAACAAGATCCACTATAATATCATGTCAGTTGAGTTGATTGATCGACTGATGGCACATCCTCACATTACATGCAAGTTGGCCAATGTGATGGGCGCGGCTGTTAGGTTTGGAAACAAGCCAGTGATCAGAAAGATGATGGACCTGCACAGCAACAAGATAGTTTGCACTGATTACAGATATGCACTTGATATGGCAATGAGAGTGTGTGACATAGATTCAATCAAATGGATATTGGAAGTTCAAGGAAGTTATGTTCAAACTTCAGATCTGTTCAAATCACTTGAAGGACCAAATGATAGCCTTAGACTAGAACACTACAAGCTCTCTGAGGAGGTGTTCCTCGAGATTACCAACAACATTCAAAAGGGTAAGACTTACATGCCCTCATTGATATTGTCCAAACTATTGGGTATTGCATCAAAAAAGTCACTGGCCGCCATCAAGATGGTCATGGATTACTATTCAAGAATCGGAATCGATGAGATCAACAAACTTGGCATATCAAACTTCAGTTCATACATTAGTAATAGCATCCACCGTGATGATATCGAGTCAGTGGAGTATCTGATCAAACTTGCCAAAGTGGAGACCAATGATCAATACTACCAACTAATAGAATTTGGACCTCTCAGCAACGCATCAATACTTTCACATTGTTATGACAGAGGATACATTAGTGTTGATGACAAATCTGAAGCACTGCTACAAATGGTGGATAACGCCTGTTGTCAAGGATACTTGGACATCATCAAAGTAGTTCATCAGCGATGCATCACTCCCGCTCAACTCCTCAGACACCTCCCATCATACCTGGCCATCATCAAAGCATCACTCAGCAACCATCACATGATGTTAAGCTATTTGTTTGAAGGTGATCAAGTGGATGGTGTATCATCATTCGAACGAGCACAGGTCAAGTTCAACATGATCAGATTGCTACACACAGTTCGTCATCACGCTTATGGACCTGGCAACCTAAAGATCATAGCAATGTGTGATCGATTGTTATCAAGAGCACTGTCATTGCCTCGCTCTCCGTCACCAATTGAACAATATGTAGGAGTGAAGAGGACTCTTGAGACTGATGAGCCAGCCATATCCCCGCCACATAAGTCCTCCAAGCATTCCCATAAATTATGAATAAATGAGGGAAACACTCAAAAGTCGTTGTGACTTGTGCACACTTTCATTCATTCATTCATTCTATTCATACAAATACATATACATATACAGATACACATACATATATACAATGAATAACAATAATAGTTGTATACACGCAGTGTTCCACAATAAATTGTTGTGTAGACTTATCTTTGATCATGTCAGTGAGATGCACAGACGATGGTGTAGTCTGCCATTGCCACGCATCACTGATGATCACTATGATCAAGATGACATCAATCATACGAGGATAATGTCAACGATAAAGGGTGCAAATTTAGAGGCCAATGGTGATCTCAATCAGATGTTGCAATACAATGCTACTGAGATGTTCATCAAGACATTCGAAAGAGTGTATAACAACAACAACACCAACACATACACATACCAACTCAACAACCATCTATTGTATCTTTCAGCACGCTATAACAATGACGTTGTATTTATATATCTACTCAACAATCCCCGTATGCCATTAAGCAATGAACACTTTAGAATCACTTCGTTCATTTGTACACATGGCAACACCGATATGCTCCAACACTACCTTGACGCCACAGCCTATCGTTCACTCCCCAGCGACTTGATCACCGACCTTCCCCTTGCCATTGACTCTGGCAATGAACAGTTTGTTCGATTGTTTCTCCAACATCTCACCTTCAACAAACACACTGCCAAGGATTTGGTAACGAATGTCCAGTTCAAACGACCTGGTGTCAGTATTGGAATGATCAGGTTGCTGCACGAGGAGTTCAACTGTCTGTTTAGCTACAGTGACCTCTGGCAGGCAGCTCTCATCAACTCAATCAAACATAACATGTTGGAAAGTGTATAATACATCATTGACAGAATGTTGCAGCTTGGGCTGGACCCTAGCCATCAACTACTCCTCCTCAAATGTTTGCGTCATTGCGCCACCAATGGCAATATCCCAATGTTGGAGATGTTGACCAAGTATCCAAAATTCGACGAGTATATGTTGAATGAGAGTATGGTCCAAGTAGTCCAAAGTGCTTTTGACAATGACCATCAATCATTCATCAAGTATATGTGTCAACAACATATTGGCAAATATACATTCAACAAAAGAGCAGAGAATATGTTGGTCAGCCTTCAGAACGAAGATAGATCTGTTCGAATCACACCAATGGAAGCAATACTCAAGGATGACTATGCCAGTGTGGAATCATTCATCATTGATGGATCACTCAAGTTGTGTGAGGAGACATACAAACTGATGTCCAAGTCGATGGTCGAGTTTATTGTCGGTCCACGTGTCGACCAATTCACTCTTGGCGCCATTTCCCTCATCGACATGATCAAGGCCATCAACAAACCAGAGAGCCACATCACAGAGGACCGTGTATGTCATTCATAATCAACTGCATGTTTTATGAGGGAACAAACTTCCAATATGCCCTGAGGCTAGCAGCAGGAGTCTCAGTCAAAGTGATGAAGGTGATCGAGGTTCTCCACGATGTCTCCCCAGAAGAGGTGGGGGTTAAATATTTATTGGAGAGAGCTATGTCAACCATTGGTAATCTGTCCAAGAACTCCACATATCCATGATCCAAACATTGATTGAATAGTTCGTATGCCTCAAAACCACTATCAAACCATGTGGCAGGTGATTGGTCGAACAAGTATTGGACAACAGGTGTGATGTTGTGTTCGATGGCGGTGAGACATAGATGATTGTATATCCTATGACCGAGGAGTGAGTATTGTTCAAGCAGTTGGATCATCTCGATTGCCCATGGTCTGTGGAGCCATCCCGATGGATGAATAATGTTTTCAATGTCATAAAATGATGTGAAGGGATCGAACTTGACACCGCATTGAATGAGTTTGCGAAAGTACGATGGATGTTGCACCAATGACAACTGGCCGTCGAAGAAATTAAAAGGTGCGTCACCGAATGAGATGGCGATGAATTGATCAAACATCTTCTCCCATGCAGGATGTGTACATGATGACGACATATCATCGAAGAATGATTTGTCAACACAGTTGTCCATTGGCTTCAGAGTCATTTTGGGGTTGGCTAGTAGCACCTCCACAATTTCAGTACGACACTTGGTCAAAGCTGTGTACAACAATGTTTGGTTCACATCGTTATTGTCTTTGTTTGACAACGATGATCTGGAGTATGCCTTGAGGAACCATTCTGTTGCTCCATACTTGATGTAATCATTCAAACAATGTCGATCAATCAACTGTGCACCTTTGATCACATCAACACTAAGTGACTTGTGAACTACTCCAACTTGTTCCATGATGAGCATTCCAAGCTTCCTGTCACCAAACACAGAGTGTACTACTCTCTCCAACTGTCGCGAACATGGTTCAACCTGCATCTTGATGTCAAGTACCTGTTCTTGATGCCTAATCAAGGAATTAGTGATTGTAATGGTATTGATTGAATGAATGAGTGTTTGCATACCCATGAACGTTTGATGTGATGGCCTTGATATTATCAGCGCACAGTTTGATCACTCTTGTATGGCCAGACTGATGGGCACCACTCATGATCGAGTGAATAGTTCGCAATCGATGTGTGTTTGGAATGTTGGTGAATGTTGATGAGTTGAAGTAGTACTCCAGTGAGTGATAAGCATTGCTTCCTGCCATTTCATCGAGCTTTCTGAGTGTTGGCTGATCCAATGGCGCCACCCTGTCGATTCCAAATCGATGTTGAAGCGTTTGAATATATTGAGGCTTGTCATTATACATTGTATGTTGTATAATACGTCTGATCATACTGTCACTCAGTTGATCCAATATAGACATGTTGATAATATGATCAAATACACCTGGATGATCATTTATGATCGCTTTCTCAATGATTCGAAGGTGGCAACCAACCAGACAAATATTGTCCAACATGAATGTTATGTTCTCCAATGTTTCTCTTGACACATATTCCAATGCACGCCGGTAGACCTTGTCATCTTCCTCAATGATAACCTGGATGCCTTCTGCCGACTTGAACAGAAAGAGATACTCCATTGTTTCTCGACACGTTGCGATCAAACATGGTAACAAGGATGTGATCGAGTTTATCAAGCAACACAATCTCAAACAGGACATGAACATTGATGTTGATGACGCTCTAAGCCAGGCTGTGGATGTGTGTGACCTCGAGTCCATCAGATGGCTACTCACATGCAGGTCTTCCACGCTCTCGTCATATCGATGGGAGTACGATCATTCTCAAACCAAACTTGATAATAATCATATGTGCAAGCTGTTGGAACATGTTGACGAAAAGATCACCCAAGATGAGATCATAGACTTGTTGAACAAATCTACAATGGATGATGCAGGTCCAAACACATGGTCAATGGATCACCTGTCTGGACTATTGGAGGTGGCGGCCAGCAAGTCACTCTCAGTCATCATGATGGTATTCAAACACTTTGTTGCAACGACTGGAAGAGAGAGAGTAGGTGACAGGATGGTCCAGGATGTAGATGATGTTGATAGAGAAGATGAAGGCGAGGGAGACTGGGTGATAGCAAAACGCGACAACGACAATGACAGAGAAGAACGTGCCGGAGAACGAAGGAAACGGAGGATGAAAGAAAAGATCCGCCCTAAAAAGAGAGAGATACAGAGAGATATAGTCAGCGAAACTGAGGTTGATCCTGACAACATTGGCTTCTACTACCTCATTGATGCCATCAAAGTTGTTTTGAGCCGAGGTGACTTTGATTCATTGGAGTACCTCCTTCAACGCACACGAGATAGACCTTGCGTTATCATTGAGTGAGTTTCTTTATTGATACATAACCCAAGTTGTCCTTCTCCTCCTCAGAGTCTTGAATGCTCCTCTTTAAACCACGATGAGGCGTCCTCGAGTACTGTTGACTTCTCTGGATCCGATCACACATTGAAATGATATTGATGTTTCCATTGTTGTTGGAGTAGTGGCGTACTGAGCTGAGTAAATGTGGAATAATCGAACTTGATAAGGCTGGCATTGTGCTGGGATCACGACCCTCTAACAAATAGCAAAGTACACCGTAATGGTTTCCCATTGATGCCTTGTTGATACTGGAGATTGATGGAAGGTATTTTTGAAGCTGATCAGTTGTGGTACATCTCTGATGGACATGTTTGCGTATGTCCAACTTTCCATTGGAACATGCCCAGTCCATAAACTCTGACAATAATTTAACATCATTATTGATACTGATGTGACCATTGTCCAAGAGATGTGCCAAGACTGATGCGCTACAATGCTCCAAGTTGATAAAGTCGATGTACTTGTATACCTTGTCCCTCCTTAGGTATTTGGAGAGTGCCACTACCTTCATGATAAATTGAATGAGACTGTCCAAGGAGTCGTTGTTGCATGGTACTTGTTTGAGGCAGACTTCAATCACTTCTTTTAAGTGTGCCATCTTGTCCAGTTCCTTTGAATACCGTTCAATCACTGTTGAGAATAGTTCGATTACCATTACAAGATGATCAAAGTCGAAATGATGCCACCATCAAATGTCATCATTCCGTGAATCTTTGGAAGGATTGCAACATCATGTCCATACTTTGCTGCTAGCAAAATAAATGCAGTGGATAGGGAATTGACATGCGAAAGGATCATATCAAAATGCTCGATTCGACCATGTTGGCAACAATATTCAATGAATGTGCGGATCTTACCCGATCCCTCTTGAACCCGCCAACTAACGATATGTTTCCCATGTTGGTGAATGTTGATGAGTTGAAGTAGTACTCCAGTGAACGATATGCTTTTGATTGGGCCACGGAATGAAGTGTCTTGAGTGTTGGACGCAACTCCAAACATGGTCGCGACTTGTCCCCACGCTTAAACCGTTGTTGAAGTATTTGAATGATGTGTGGCTTCTCATTCATGAGTGCTTGATCAATGATACCACTCAGTACAGTGTCACTAAGCATCTCGTCCGTGAACATGTTGAAGACAAGCTCGAATACCTCCAAGCGATCATTGAGTACGGCCCACTCAATGATGCCAGTGTCGCGCTTGACACATGCCAATTGATCCAAGATGAATGCAACGAACTCCAATGACGTTGATCGATTGGACATTGATATATATCTGCACACCTGCTCCCTGATCGAATTCTTCTCCACTCGCTCAAAGTCATCCAACTCGATCATGGTAACTGTCTCAATGCATCCCTTCTTTATCGCCTTGATCAGGCAATCATGATGATTGAAAAATGGGCCGAGTCGTGTTTTGATCGCCTTCATCACATCGACCGAGTAACCTGCCGCAAACTTCAAGGCCCTGTCCACTTGTGTTGGCTTCTCAAAGCTACAGTTGTTGATGAACTGGCATAGTATCTGTGGAGTTATGTTTTTTGAGCCCACCTTGTTGGGGACGCCAGCCTTGACCATGTTGAGCACTGTGTCTCAGCTGAACTTGAACACTTGAGGACGACTTGATATGAATGTGGCCATCTCCTTTGACATTCTCTGGCATGTGTCCATGTCCAACTCATCAATCTCGTGTGACAATGCATTAACGCTCACAAAGTCATTGTTGTTGATCGCCATGAACAGTGTCATGGGCGCCTCTGCAATGCTTTTCGATGGCATCAACAGATCAGACGATTGATGGTCCATCTCTTCAGCGAGTTGTTTGATGAATAAAATGTGTCCGCTATCTCTCGCTTGTTTGATTCGTTCCATGTCAAGACTATTCGACTTGAGGTATATTCTGCCCACGCGTGATCCTTTGAGTATCCTAAACATCATGATGCTGCCGACTTTGATTGATAAATAGATGCACTTCTTCATGATGTTCTGGCTGGGACCGGACCATACAGAGTCTCTACTGAGCAAGTTATCCAAGATGTACTGTACGCTGTCCAACATGTTGTGCTCGACTGAGTGTGTGAGCGCCGCCTCCCAGAGCGGGCGGATCAAATATAGTAGACCATTGAATTCCTCTTCCAGCATTCTTAGCATGCTGAGACTGATTCTGGTCGAACGCCTGTACTTGATCACTCTTTTCTTGAACTGCTCGCTGATGGTGATGGCGTCGTCGCCCTTGGTGATGTGCATGTGTTGGAGGAACAGTCGCACGAACTGTTCGTTGCCCGTGTCGATTGCCATGTGGATATGTTTGATCGCGATGATGGGCAGGCGGTGGTTGGCAGTTGTGGCTAGATAATGTTGGAGTATGTCGATGTTGCCATGCATACATAGCCATAGTTGCAGTCGAACAGTATCCACATACATCATCCTAGGGAGTGTATCGCACAGATATTTGAACACTGTAGTATTGTTGTGGCGTACGGCCAATGACAACAAGTTGATGTTATGTGGATAGTTGTTGGATACGCTGTTGAATGTATCGATGAACGTCGGAGTGGAATTGTATCTCAACATCTCAATCAGATCACCATTGGCATGTAGTTGGGCTCCCTTTATTGTTGAACTGATCCTTGGCCATTGAGTATGTGTATGATGTTTGCCATTGAGATCATCGTCATCACACCATCGTCTGTGCATCTCTTTGACATGATCAAAGATGAGTCTACATAACAATCTATTATGGAATACTGCGTGTATACTACTTCTACTATTGTCTTTGCTATTAGGATTATTCATTGTTATATAAATATCTATCTTTTGAGTGTGTGTGTGTGTAGTCGATTGATTGATTGATCAAGATATGAAGTGCAATCACTGATTAATCAAGTATGAAAGCAATACGTAACTTATTGAATAATAATAATAATAAGAATAATAATGATAAGGTCATTCAATCAGAGGTTAAACAACCTAGATACTTCCCAATAATCATTCTAGGTTATATAGTTGAGCGTATAGATGAGAATGTGGATAGATACTCAATGGCATTCGTTTGTAAACATTGGTATCTTAACAGACAATCATTCATTCGTTGGATATGGCAACCTGTCATGTATGAATCAGAGTTCATTGATGTTGACTACAACATACTCAATGACAAAGACAACAAGTTGGTCAATCCACCTCCAAAGTTCAAACTCAATGATCACGCCACAGCAATACCAAGCGATCTGATCACGATGATCTATGACATTGACGTATCGCCAACCAAGGGAATGATACCAGAGAGTGTTCAAACACTTGAGTTTGACTATGGCTTCAGCAGTCCCATCCTACTTGGTACACTTCCACCAAGACTAACCTCGCTCAAGTTTGCCTCGACCTTTAGTCATGAGCTGCCCATTCGAGTGCTCCCCGCAAGTCTGACCAAACTCCAACTTGCCCAAACATACAATTATTCAATACCCATTGGTCTGCTTCCATCTGGACTCAGAACATTGATATTTGACTATCACTTTAATCAAACGATCATCGTTGGTTCGTTGCCACACGGACTGACGTCACTCAGGTTTGGAGAAGACTATAATCAACCCATTGCCATTGGTGCCCTTCCGCCCAGTCTCACATACCTTAAGTTTGGATGCTCTGAGATTGGCGACTATAACCCACCTGGCTCGTATAACCAGCCATTCGTCATTGGTGCATTGCCACCAAACCTCAGGACCCTAGGGTTTGGTCGTAACTACAACCAACCATTCCAACGCGGTGCTCTCCCATCATGCCTCACATCACTCACAGTTTGGAACACATTCAGTCAGCCGATGGATGATGGATCAATCCCTCAATCATTGACACGTCTACAGATACATGATGACAATCTTAATTTCAAGATCCCAAGTTCGATCACTGATCTCACACTGGTCAAGTGCTTCTGGAAGCCCAAGCCACCTCCAGCCTCAATCAAACATTTCCATTTGGTTGGTGGATGTCATTCAGAGAGTGGAAAGGACTTCTATCGTGACTTCCTCTATACATTGATGAAGTCGGGTCGCTATCCAATCAGCAGATTGACGACATTCACCATCACATTCACTGAACAAACATCAATTCATCTTAGAAGTATCCAACTTCGAGCACTTGGAGATGGTAAACACTTCATCATTATAACGAGCAAACTAACAGGTGGTATCATTCCAGTCAAGCCATCTGTTACATTTAACCAACTGAGACTATTCTTTGAATGATTGAGTGACTGATTGAGATTGTCCCATAAATAAAGAGTTGCTCACACCCACAGGTTTAGGCTTGGCTTTACAAATTTGGACATGATCAAGCATTCAATCACTCAAACATAATCAATCATATACATATAATCAATGAGTAATAAGAATAGTATCAATTCAGTGTTCCACAATGTAGTGTTGTGCAGACTCATCTTTGATCATGTGAGTGATATTCACAAGAGATCACTCGTGATCAAGTCGACGATCAAAGGTGCCAAACTGTATGCCAATGGCAATCTCATCGATATGTTGAGATATAATGCAACTCAGATGTTCATCGATACATTCAACAGCATTGACCATGATAACTGCAACCCTCACCCTGGCCCTCAACCTCACACCAACACGTTGGCAAAGGAAGCAATTAGATACAACAACCACGAGGTATTCAATCATTTATGCCAATATCCAAGTATGCACATTGACATGAACATGTTAATGGACATGCACATTGGTGCATCAAACACATTGTTAAAGGATATATGTAAGCATGGCAACATAAACTTGCTCCAACAATACTTAAAGGTCGTTGGGATCACATCACGTAATCACGGATTGACAACAAGGATGATGAAGGTGAAGTTTGTTCATTATGCATTGTTCACAGGCAACGCCCAATTCATGCGAATGCTGCTCCAACATCTAAAGATCACCAATGACAACGACCAAGACAAAGAAGGGTACAACCAGTGGCCTCAACTAAAGATCAACAACAAACACCCAGGCATCAAGATTGAAGTACTCAAAGTGTTGCACGAGGAGTTCAACCATCTCCTGGTTAAAGGTCAAACACACCTTTGGCATGCCGCACTCATACACTCTGTCAAGTCCAACATGGCGGATAGTGTACAGTACATCTTGGGCAACTTGACATGTCCTGATCGAGGGTTGAGCTTAGACTTGATCGACCGAGACCGTGCCCTCTTTGAGGATTGCTTGTATCAGTGCGCTAAAGCTGGCAATGTCAAGATGGTCGAGTTGATACTCAGCCATCCAGGATGCGAAAGACTCCTCCTCATCATTAACTATTTTGGATACATCGATGAAGCTGCCGATCGTGGCCACGAAACATTCATCAAGTACTTGTACCAACATCATGTCTGCAATCGAACGATCAAATACACTGGCAAGGAAATGATCATACACTATCTTGGTATGAAAGATGATGATCATCACCATTTTGATCATGATCGTCTTGCATCGTCCAAACTGATCGTCACACCTTTGGCAGCGATACGCAATGATGACCTGGCCAGTGTCCGGTCCATGATTGATCAGATCGAAGAATTGGACGTCAAGATATGCATGAGGATGTCTCGAGCAATGGCAGAGTGTATTACAAGTCCTCGACCAAGGACTTTGAACCTTGGTGCCAATGCGATCAACATGATCAAAGCGATCGACAAGCCGGGCAGCAACATCACTGTCGACATGGCATGTCAGTTCATTGAGAACTGCACTTTGGAATCATTCACAAAATATGATATGCAGTTGAATGGAATCCGCACTCTGTCGTATCAAGCTGCCAAACACCCAGCAAGGCTATTACAAAGTCTGGACAAGTTCAAGCCACCCAACCAAACATATCTACGAGCCTGTCTCATTATTGCTCTGAAGAAGGGACATCACGACACAATGTCCCTCATCCTCCCCCGCATTGATACTTTGGGCGGACTTGATACAGACTACATCAGCAAGGCTGCCAAGCTATTCGTCGCCACTGGATCATTGGAGGACATTATATTCATGTTGGAACAACACACCTTTGAACCAATAAGACACAATCCCGACATATATACATGGGCCGTAGACAATGAACGTGTCGAGGTGTTTGAGCACATCATCAAACAGTTGGCCGTCACTAGCTTTGATGTCAATGTGGACAAACAAATTCAACCAATAATCAAAAGTATTATCCATCGAGCATACATGGCTGACAAACCTCACATTGTTGGGATAGTTCAACAACACTTTAAGCTGGACAGTGGCGTTACTTGGATCATTCCAACAGAACACATGCTACAAGATATGGCCATTCACAATGCCTACCACTCATTGGAGTACCACTTCAACTCAATGACTTTCGCCGCCATGCCAACCACAACTCAATTGGAAACCATTAACTTAATCATGTATATTGCATATCAATACGGAACTACTCGAGTGATCAAACTATGCATTGGCCATATCAAGGCCATCACCAAGGCTACGATCTGAATCCATCAATCAACATTCAGTCATAGATCCATGATGATTCGTTCGAAGAAACTAAAGATTGGATTGGCATGTGGATTCAATTATAAATATATTGTGATCCATCAGTCATTCAGTGCAATGTTGTTTATTTGGCAGAGTCTGTTTTGATTGACTTGAGTGATTGTGTCACGGACTCCAACTCGTCGGGCTTTGTCCTCTTCACTCCACAATGCCCAACAATAGTGTTTGGATATGGATGTGCTTGGGACAATCCAAGTAGTCTGTCACACATTTCAATGATCTTGATGTTGCCATCATCACTGGAGAGATAGCGAACTGAGTTGAGCATTCTTGCGCTCAGCTTCACCTGGGAGAGTTTGAATGGTGGAATGGGAGTGTGTTCATCACCTTCAAACAGATATCTAAGCATCCTGTGATCGTTGTGTCTCGATGCAGTGTCAATGCTGTCGAATGAAGGGAGATGTCGTCGGAGTTGACTTGGTGTTGTGCATCGCTCATGGACAAAACGGACAATGTCCAGAGCACCATTGTCACAAGCCCAATCCACCAATCTGGCGACGGCATCCGATGTTTGATCATAGATACTGATGTGTCCATAGTCAAACAGGTATGAAAGTGATGTCGTGTTGCACAGCTCCAGGTTGAGGATGTCACAAGGCCTCTCCTTTGTGCGCTGTAGGAGGTACTCCAAAGAATCAAAGTCGCATCGTTTCAAAACAACTTTGAAGTGTTTGTAGCCATAATCGTCCAGCTGATCAATGTCATTTGGAACAAATTGTTTGAGTACCATCTGGATGACTGAGAGTGACTTGTTGGCCGCCAGTTCCAAAAGTGGAGGCAGTTGGTGGATGGTCCTTATTTTAAGAGATATGCTCAACAAGCCTTTGAACTGATCTTGGGTGATCTTATCGTCAACATGTTCCAACAAATTGAACACATGATTTTGTTCAAGTCTTGCAAGTTTGTTCAAATCCCACCTGGATGCCGGACATGTGAGCAGCCATCCGATGGACTCGAGATCAAACACCGCCGAAGCCTGGTACAGAGCATCCTGAACATCAATGTTTACGTGATGTTTGAGATTGTGTTGTTTGATAAACTCGATCACATCCTTGTTGCCATGTTTGATCGCCACGCCCATCACTCGTCTGAATCTCGTCTCAATGCAGGGATAAGACATCAATCGCTCGAGTAACTCCACTGACAATATACTGTGATGGACGTCGTCGACGGCATATATCTGGTCATCTTCTTGCTCATCCTCCAACGGCTCAGTGGATATCATGTTAAGAATACGATTTGCAATGTCCAGATTACCACGTGCCAATGCCAAGGCCATTGGCTCACCTCTGTCAACCATTGGTATCCTGTCCAAGAACTCCACACATCCATGCTTCACACAATGATTGTATAGTTGGTATGCCTTTGAGCGTCCCTCTGCATCTGTGACCAGCCACGTGTCAAGTGATTGCTCGAAATAGAACTGGACCACCAATGTAATCTTGTGTTCGATGGCCTTGAGACATATTTGATAGGATAGCTTTGGATCGAGGAGTGAGTGTTGCTCCAGCAGTTGGACCATCTCCAGTGCCCATGGTTTGTTGAAACATCCTTGAACAAAGTCGTCAATGTCAAAATTGTCTATGCTTGTATCGAGTTTGACATGATGACATTGTATGAGTTTGCGAAGGATTATTGGATGTTTCACCGATGACAACTGGCATTGGACTTTCATGAAGGGTGCGTCACCGAATAACATGGCTATGTAGAGATCAAACATCCTCTCCCATGCAGGATGTGTACATGTTGCCGACATATCATCGATGATTGAATAATGGAGCTTCTTCTTGTCTAATGACTCCAGTGTCATGTAGGGATTGGCCAGAAGTACGTCAACAACACGAGTGTTGCACTTGGTCAACGCTGTGTACAACAATGTATGGTTCGCTTCGTTATTGACTTTGTTTGATAATGGTGATGAAGTGTACGCCTTGAGGAACCATTCCGTTGCGCCATACTTGATGTAATCATTCAAACAATGTCGATCAATCAACTGTGCACCCTTGATCATATACTTTGACTCTACACCAAGTGACTTGTGAACCAATCCAACTTGTTTCATGATGATCATTCCAAGCTTCCTGTTACCAAACACAGTGTGTACTGCTATCCCCAACTGTCGCGAGCATGGTTCAACCTGCATCTTGGTGACCAACACCTGCTCTTGTTGTCTAAAAATGATTGATTGATTGATTGAGTGAGTGGTCTTGAATGTTCAAAGTGATTACATACTCTGAGACGTTGGATGTGATGGCCGTAATGTGATCAGCGCATAGTTTGATTATTCGAGCATATCCAGACTCATAGGCAGTGAACATGATGGAGTTGATGGTTCGCAATCGATGTGTGAATGGCTTGTTGGTGAATGTTAATGAGTTGAAGTGGTACACCAGTGAGTGATAAGCATTGCGTCCTGCCATTATCACAAGGTCCTCGAGTGTTGATTGCTCCAATGGCATGATCCTGTCGACTCCAAATCGTTGATAAAGTGTTTGAATATATTGAGGTTTGTTATGTTTCATTGACAAAATATATAATACGTTCGATCATACTATTATCCTGGAGAAGTGGATTAGACTTGAACATGTTGAAAACATGATCAAATACATCTGGATGAATATTCTTGATGGCCTTCTCAATGATGATGGGATCGCGTTCAACCACTCTAATATTGTCCAACATGAATGTGATGTTCTCCAATGATTCTTTGGTCACAAACTTCAAAGCACGCTTGTAGATCTTGCCCTCCTTCTGTATGTTATCCAACTTGTCGCCTTGATACTTGAATAGTAGTTCCAATGATTCTCGACATCCATTCTTCAATGCCTTGGCCAGTAAGAAAAGAAAGTTCAGCCCAACAAAGACAAGTGAGCGAGAGGTGATTGTCGCCATCACTTTGGGGGAGAAGGCTGCAGTGAGCTTCAGGAGATGGTAATAGTTTGGGTTCGTGTCAAACTTGCAGTTGACAATTAACTGACATAAATGGTCATCAGTGATGTGGCCGCCTGGTTTGTTGATGCACTTGACCATCTCAAAGAGAGCATTTTCGGGTAGGGTGAACACGTTGATGCGTGGGCTGACAATGAAGTCGATCATCGACTTGGACATCAGTTTGTAGGTCCTCTGGCACAACTCGAGTAATCCATCAATGATTAATGATTCGACACTGGCATAGTCGTCACTGAGTATTGCCGCAACTGGTGTGATTCGAATTGATCCATCATCGTTTCTGAGGTTGATCAACATATTCTCTGCCCTTGTGTTGATCGTGTTTGCTCCAATATGTTGTTGACACATATACTTGATGAATGATTGCTGGCCATTGTCCACAGCACATTGGACCATGTAATCGACACTCCCCATTACCATGTACTCGGCGAATATTGGATACTTTGTCAACATCACCATCATTGGGATATTGCCATCAATAGCGCATTGACATAGACACTTGAGGAGTAGTTCATTCACCACACATTCAGGCGTTAATGTTATATCAAGCTCCGGTATGTTGTCAATGATGTATTGAACACTGTCCATCATGTTACACTTGATTGAGTGTGTGAGTGCCACCTGCCAGATGTCATTGTGTTGATTAAACAGACAGTTGAACTCCTCGTGCAGCAACCTGAGCATGCCAATACTGACACCGGGTCGTTTCAACTGCACCCTCCTCGCCTTCTCCTTGGCCATCTTTGGGTCGACTGTGAGATGTTGAAGAAACAATCGAACAAACTGTTCGTTGCCAGTGTCAATGGCAAATGGGATGCCGTTAATGATGTCGCAGGGGAGTGAGCGATAGGCCGTGGCATCAAGGTAGAGCTGGAGCATATCGGTGTTGCCATATTTACAAATATTTGAGGCCACTCCGTGTCGTTCATTGGTTAATCTCATTCTGGGATGCTTGAGTAGATGTCTGAATACTGTTTCATTGTTGTAGCGTACACTGCTGAACAACAGATCATAGTTGTAAGGGTATGTGTATGTGTTGATATAAGACAGGCTGTCGAATGTCTTGATGAACATGTCTGTAGCATTGTATCGCAACATTTGAATTAGATCACCATCAGCATGTAACTTTGCACCTTTGATCATTGTCATTGTCTTGCCACTTGGTAAAGGTTCAATCAAACTACACCATCGTCTGTGAATCTCACTAACATGATAAAAGATGAGTCTACACAATACTCTATTATGGAACACTTCATGTATACTACTATTGTTATTCATTGTATATGTATGTATTGTATGTATGTATGACCGGTGAATGAATAAATGAATGAATGAATGAGAGGGTTAGTGGCAAGTCAACTCCTTTGTGTGCTTCAAGACTTTGATTCAATATTTATGGGCTTGATCATGATGGAGGACACGTGTGGGCGATGACATGTCTGGCTGAAGTGATCCTATCATATCATCTATGTATTGAGTGATTTGAGTGTTTCCAAGTCAATGAAGCCAGAACGCACAAGGTTCGGATCAGTTTTGAAGAACAATGTTGGAGTGATCCTCAAGAGATCAAACAACCGTTCTTTGCCATGTCCAATGTGTAGTTGAAGTCGCTGGATGTCCAACGGTAGATTCTGAATGATTTCCAAGTTTTGTTGTTTGGTCCGATGAACAATGACACGTGGCTCAGGTGCGTAGCGCCCTGTCGAACCGCGGTCTAACAATAACTTCTTGATCGTAGACTTCAATAATGTTACTCTTTTCATCTGTGAGTAGATCTTCAGTGATGTCACCGACCAGGGAATATCGACAAATCTCTCGTGACAGTATGAGTGCAATCTCAGTGTTCCGATCCGTGATGGGCTCGGCCATTTTATACTGGAGAGATATTGCAATGGACTTAGAAAGGTAATTTCGAGCCATTCAAGGCCACTTGGAAGGGAGACGATTGGTCGCTGAGTCACCATTCTAAGTCTTCGAAGAGATACAGGGAGGGACCTAAGTTGGATTGGGGCAAGGCCATTGTCCTTGAATCCAACATCCATGCTATATAGTGATGGAAGTGTGTCCGATGTGAAGTGTACGAGGTCATTGTCGTCAAGGCAACCAATATTGATCTGTCTTAGATCGGTGTAGCCTTGAGTTGATATGTTTGATGACGAGTTGATGATCATTGACCTCAATGATTGAGGCTGTTGGACCTGGAGGGGCGAACTCTCTCCATGGACGACCAGATGAGTGATGCTTGGAGGGAGGTTGAGACTGGGCTGGATGATAAGTGATCCCACACTAAGTGAGGTTAGAGATTCTGGAAGGCCAGCCCCAATAGAAGGCTGATCACTGACATATCGGAGGGTCGTGAGTGATCGTAGGTAGGTCAGGTCGAAGCATGGTTCGAAGATATGGTGGGATAACAAGTATAGTTTGGTCAATGTTGACGGGAAAATTCCCGGTTGGATGGGATCTCTCGATTGTATATCATTGCGATCAATCCAGAATATCTTAAGTTCAGTGATTGGTATGTTTTGTAGTTGATTGAGTTGTCTTGATATTTGATGGAAACATATCTCTGGAATGTATCCATTATGTTTGAGTAGTAGTGTCTTGAAGAACTCGACAGTGCCATCCCAGAACTGTTGATCCATAGGATACAAAGGGCAATCTAGAAATGATAAACATTCGATTGAAGGTATTGCCAGTACTTCATTCTTCCAATCATCACTATATCGTTTCTCGCCCTCTGCTCTCAAATGATAGTCAGAATGATCAATCACCTCGTTTAATCATTCAATCATTCATTTAAAGCATACCAATTAAGATTCGATAGTCTGAGAAATTAATACAACTTTGATAATCATGCTCATTGGTGAATATATAGACTGTCATTGGCCTGCTATTGATGTCATTGTCGATTATCTCTTTGTAAGAGTTCAATGTAACCTTATAGTTATTGTTGTTATTGTTGTAATTTAGTGAAATACGATTGATATTAAAGTGTAAGTATGAATGTCTCTGTTCAAACAATCGCTTGCACGACAATGACAACATCAATCGATCCACATTCTTTGACAATCTATCGACAATATGTTTAAGTATAATTGGAGGTAGTGTATCCATTCTATATCTCTATGTTATGTATCTGTTTGATAACTTTCATTATGATATTCAAATGACAGGGTGAGGGTTAGGGTTGGGGTAAGGGTGAGGGCAAGGGCAAGGGTGAGGGCAAGGGTAAGGGTTGGAAGTTAACTTTATTGATTGAATGAATGAGTTATTGGGATGTTGGTCGGTTGATCGATCAACGGAATACTAGGTACTTTGGATCGGCTATTCTCCTAGGTGCAAGCTTATGTTTGAGTAACATGATGATACCAAGTACAAGCATTGATACTCCAACTACAATGAATGCAATTCCCAAGAAATGATTCCTGCCTCCAGACCAATTAGTCTTGGATAACACCACAGACTTCTGTCCTCCAAACTGTCGAACTGGATAATCTACATATTGTTTGATAGATTGAATGATTGAGTGAGTGAGTAAGTCTTTGATTGATTGATTGGGTGAAGGGATGATACATACTGGCCTCAACATTGATTATTGCCTGTCCCTTTTGGATGTCCTCATTGATTATTCTATGTAGCTTTCTGAATCTTGGGAATGAAGCAGTCTTCATCCAAACAATAAAGTCCTCATCGGTATAATCTGGAATGATTCTTGGACCTGGGATACCTCTTGGAGGATTCTTGAAACGATAATCTATATCAGCCTGCCATGCGATACCTTGTTTTGTCATTGGAATGATCCTACCATTCTGATACAATACATAAGTATCTATTTAACAATAATATGATTGTTAATTATTTGATCAATCATTCAGGGCACTCATATATCTTGATCATCAATCAATCAAAAAAACATACCATTGAACATTGATCTTGGACCTAGTCCACAGGGTTGATAGACAGTCTCGAGGGTCTCGTTGACAGATGAGAATGGATAACAATCATTCTTCAACTTCTTATAGTCTGTGACATGTTTGCCTCTTAGTTGGTTCAGATTCCTAGATTTGACATATCGTCTCAAGTTCTGATAGTATTCATCCAATTGATAGTATAGATATACTGGTGCCTTCATAGTCTTGGGTATATTCATCGTGATGTTACATCTACTTCCAGTTGGACATGTCAAATCATATCGCTGACTAGTCTCTGTTACACGATGTGATGCTGCCAACAACACAATACCAATTGGTAAGAATACCAATCCAATTGTCAAGAATGATATAATCATACTCTTCATCGATGGTATAAACTCACATGCATTCATCTTTTGTTGTTTGAATGCACTGGCTATTATATTGATTAAAGAATTATTATTAATAAGTATGATTGATTGGTTGAGTTTGGATATTAATGTTGATCAACAACTTACATCCAGGCTTATTGTTGAGTACCCTTCCATCTGGTCCAATTGATTTCTTTCTTTTTATAAATACCATTATTACTATTTATCTCTAAATGTAATAATATAATATAGATAATGGTATATCAATGACATGAAGTGACATGACTTGACATTACATTATATCTCATGATTGAGATATATCCATGTATGTGTATGTGTGTGTGTGAATGTGTATGTGTGGAATGGTATGAGTTTGATTGATGACTTGTTACGGAATCAGAAACGAAATGATGCGTGTGTATGATGATGTAGTGTGTGTCACACGATGAGAATGTAGGATGACCTTTGGTATCCACTTGATTGACTGATTGACCCAAGAGTTGGACCATGATGATGATGAAGAAGAAGAAGAAGAAGAAGAGGATCAGCGTTAAAGTGATGGGATGTTATTAAGTACAAATTGGGAGGTACATTGGTGACAGTACAGCTGGTGATATTGATTGATCAACAACAACAACAGTGCTGTGTGAAGGTGGAAGAGGGTCATGGTCATGGTCATGGTAATGGTCGCGTTATATAACAGAGTTGGCATTGAATGCATCGTAGAGCTTTCCGGCAATCTTTTGGTTGAGCACTGACTTGTCGCTGGTGGATATCTTCTGGATGATTGGATAGAGCTTGTACTCTTGGATCATCATCTTGGCATTGGGATGGAACTCGTATAGACTGCTGAGGATCTTGAGCAGGTTGAGACGAACGATGGCGTTGGGATGCGCCAGCTTCTCGAGCAGACGGGGGATGAAGTTGCTGGTGCCCAGCGCAACGTTGACCAGCTTGGACGTGCTGACGATCTTGAGGAAGGGCTCGAGCACACCGGCGAATGACTGGCTCTCGGCGTTGGTGAAGGTCATTGTCAGCTTGTCGATCGACTCCCTGGTTGCCATGATCTTCTCGACGCGAGGAGTCTCGTCGGCGATCCAGACTGCGAGCGAGTCGAGTGCGTTGACCTGCCAGTAGCGCTCCTGCAGCAGGTCCAGATAGAAGACGACACAGTTGTTCTTCCACAGCTCCTCACGAGCGCGCTTCGAGTGCGCCAGATCGCAGATGATTGGGAGCGCAAACTGATTGAGTTGGCGAGTGCGACTGGATGAAGTACTGCAAGTGTGGGATGATTCCGTCGACGGCCGCCTGGTACTGACGGTCGGCGTCGATACGACACAGATGGAACATTGTGTTGATGACCTGGTTCTGAATGTCGGCCGAGTGGTTGCGACCAAGGAATGGAACGAGTGTGCGGATCGTGCCAGCCGCCTGAAGGTTGGCAAGCGTGTTGTGGTCCATACTGAGCTGTTTGATCGACTTGAGCACCTTGACCAGCTGCTCTGGCGACAGCTTGGAGAGAGTGGACAGGATGCTCTCAATGACGTGCACCGCTGACATGGCCTTCCTCACGACGCTGTCGGCAGACGAGAACATGATCAACAAGTTGATGATCTTGTCTGGGTAGAGTGTGGGGTTGGCTGTCTCAGTGGGTGGGTCGGTGATGAGGTCAGAGAGCACGGGTCCAAGTGCACGCAGCAGGCCAACCTTGGAGAACAGACGGCAAAAGTCGTTCTTTGGTGTGGGCGACTGCAGCTCAAACACATTGACGATGGCGTCGATGGCCATGCACACGAGGTTCTTGCTCTCGACGTAGGGTGTCATCAGGAAATCGACCAGCACGGGCAGACCCTTGCAGGCAATGAACATCTGAAGTGTGAGTGTGGACGTCGAGCACATCTTGCTGATGAAGCTGGCCGTCTCCAGACGGATGGAGGATGATTGGTCACGGCCAGAGAAGCGCATGATCGAGGGGATGCCACCGACAAGACACAGATTCTCCTGAATCTCCATATTGTTCTCAATAATCTGATTTACAACGCGCAATATCGAGCAGATCACCTGTGAGTTGGACACCTCCAACATCTCCATGATTGGAATGACTCCATGTCTTCTAATCAACAATGTCTTCTGATCTGGATTCTCTTTGAATATCAGAATCTATGATTGATTGATTGAGTGAGTGGATGAGTGATGAGTGAAGGCTCGCGAGCGAGACACAGGCAGACACTTACAAGTTGCTCGCAAACATTTGAAATGACGTATTCTGATTGATCAGCCTGTAGTTGGTTCATCAACTTGAGAATGTCCTCAGACATCTTGGCATAGTTGTCCTTGAGAAGGTTCTTGTCAAGGTCTACAATGAATGAGTGAGTGAGTGTGTTAGCTATGACCACCTTCGATGATCAATGGGCGCCACTACATACCAAAGTCCTCATCAAAGTCATCGAATGTGTCGTTGAATGGATCATCATCCTCCTCATCGTTTCCAATGTCTGTGGGATAGGCCATCTTGCTCTTGAGCTTGGCCGATAGGTCTGGTTGATTGATCGATCCCTTTCTTACAATCTTGTGGTCTGAGTGTGGAGAGGAAGGAGGAGGTGAGGTCAGTTCCTTGTTTGAATGGCCAGTCGGGCACGGATATACATACTGCTGTCAAAGTGCATTGTGGCTACATCGCCCCAATCTTCGTCAGTCTCACCCCATCGCTCGATGGAGTTGTGCTTTTCTTGTTGCAGGGCAGCCTGCTTGGCGGCGGCCTTGCTTGGGAGAGTCGACTTGCCAGTGATGCTGGGACTCTTCTTGTGTCCGCCACTGCTACTGCTGCTGCTGCCAGTGTTGGCGCCATTGTTGACCAGCTTGTTGTTCAACTTTATCTGTGTGGGGAAGTCGACATCCTCGAATCCACTCTCAAAGTCGTCGTCGTCCTTTCCAATCGAGCCCAGTGCCCTGTTGAGATCCTGGGTCTTGATCGCACCGACGTCAAAGTCGTCGCCCCAGTCCAGCTCCTCTGTCTCTGGTTGCACGACCTTGGCAGCGAGCTTCAATGGTGCGCTGCTCACTGGTGGGATGATCTTGTTTGAAACTACATGTGGTTGATTCTTCTTTGGCTGTGCTGCTGGCTTTGTGCTGGTTGTAGTGCTGCCCTTCTCTCCGGGCAACTTCAAAGACTTTGGTGTCGTGCTAAAGTCATCGCCCCATTCATTATCCTCCTCTTCAGGTGGTGGTAAGCTTGGCTTGTTCCTGTGATTGATTGAGCGAGTTGAGTTAGTCGAGTTCGTTGATTGATTAATTGAATGAGTACACATACTTTTGTGACTTTGGATGAAGTGATGGCTTCCTTTGATGATTGGACACCTTCTTCTTGTTGATACGCTCGTTGTAATCTTGAATGTTCTTGGCAAGGTCGGCCATGTTTGCTGGCTCCTCCTCAACTTGCTTCTTCTGTGCCAAGGCGATCCACTTGTGCTTAAGTAGCTTCTGTGCAGAGATACGGAGGTTGGGGTCCTTCTGGAAGCATTGCATCAGCCAATCCTTGAGCGCAGGCGAGATACCCTCGGGCAGAGGAGGACAATCGTCCTGCACGATCCTAAACAGCGCGGGCATTGGGCCCAGGTCGTAGTAGGGAGGCGCACCCGTCAGCAGCTCAATGACCGTGCAGCCGACACTCCAAATATCGCTCTTGGTCGAGGCACCATTCAGCTCGATGATCTCTGGCGCCATCCAGTAGGGCGTGCCGACGACGGCCGCCGCCGCCATGTCGTCAAACTTGGTGGCCACACCAAAATCAGCCAGCTTGATCTTGCCCTCCTTGGTGGTGAGGATGTTGGCGCCCTTGATGTCGCGATGCACGACACCCTGCTCGTGGAGGTAGACCAGACCCTCGAGCACCTGACGGATGTAGACCGACACAAGCGTCTCGGGGAACTTGCCAAACTTCTTGATGATGGATGAGAGCGAGCCGTTCTCAACGTACTCGAGCACGATGTACAGACACTCCTTGGTCTTGACGTACTTTAGGTACTTTACAATGTTGGCGTGATTCAAGTTCTTGAGCAGATCGATCTCGTTCATAATGCCCTGTAGTTGATCCTTTGGGATCTTTGTCAAATTGATCTGTTTAACTGCAACAAAGTCTCCATTCTCTACATCAAGACCTTGATACACAGTACCAAATCCACCTTTACCAATGATCAATCCAAGGTTCTAAATAGTTGTGTTGTTGAGTTGGGTTGTGTGAGTGAGCGAGAGAGTTTGAGGAGCATGTTGTTGATATGAATGAAGCTTCACACATACATAGTTGCCAACTTTCCTCGACTCATTGGCTTGCTTTTCAGCTTGCGCTGTTGCTGATGACATCTATGCTTATTATATCTGTCGTCCTTGTGATCCACTCCCTGTATCTGTATAACTTTATGTTCGTTCGTTTCGTTTCGAACGATGTAATGTATGATTATATTCAATTACAAGTTAATGTTTATATTAATACAATATTTAACAACAAACAATAATAATATAATACTAATACTAATACTATTATTACTACAATGAATGAATGTTAAAGTGTTGTTTGTTTGTTAGTGTGTGCAAGCATGAGCTCAAGGTTGACCCTTTTGTTGTTGTTTGCAAATTGTTTTGATTGGACCACTGGTCCACCCAAACTAACACATTCATTTCAATTCAAACAAACAAATCTTGTTAACAGACAATAGTTTTATCTCTTTTAGTAATCAATTGAATATCCATCATACATAACATCACGTAAATAGATATCATAAAATATTATATCACCATTCTCATTCAATGACCCAATATTTGATTGATTGATAGTGTATTTGAATGATTGGATGAATGATTGATAGTGATAGAGATATCTGACATTTAAACGGTTAACCGTTAGGGCAAACCATCAATCACACATGTCGGTGATGTGATAATCATATCTGTTTAAAATGTAAATGAGATTCCCACCCAAAGAAACATTTAAATCAAACTTATTACTCTGATCCTTACTTGCCCCATAACCATCCATCAAAAGGGTAGTTATTAACTCATGAGAACAGACAGTATGTCCAAACAAACAGACAAGGAGTCACGAGGTGTGTGATTAAAAATACTATTAACATAAATAGATTGGGACTTGAGTGGATCGATAGGCAAGGGGGGGCCATGCTCTGGAGCAATAATAATTGAGCGATCAACTCTAACCGCTACACCCGATGCATCCATCAAAACAAAACAGCAAATATAATACACACCCACCACCATGTGTGGGCCTTGGGGTACACCCACGAGTCTTTTGGACTTGGCGCGCCCCAAATCACTTTCTCTCTCTGTTTTGTTTAGATTCTCGTGGTCTAAAAATCTACACTAAAATAGATTTAATTAAATATACATCAATGAACCAACGTTGATGGACGCATCCTATCAACACCCAAGGGCAGGATAGGCACGACCGAACACTACTCACCTGAGTCATGTTTGTTGTTGTGGCAACACATTCAATCTCATTTCATTGTTATACACCTCCCTTTATATATTCATTCATTTATTCACTCAATCAATTAATTATTGTATCATTAGTTTGCTCGCATTGAGGCCAGGTCAATCAATCAATCAATCATTCTTAGACTTAACAGATTTCCCAAGATCAGTCCAATTCAAACAAACAAACAAACACAGGTATGTGCATGTTCAAGTGTGCAATCTTATAAATATATTGTCGACAACTCAATTGTAATGTGATGTAAGGATAACCACTTGGATTGGATTGAATTGATGACCTACCATTACCATCACCATCACCATCATCAACATAACAAACTCATAAACTCAACAACTTGATGATGAAATGACTACCTGTCCCCGATGTGGACATTATCTAAGGTTTCGACTCCTTGTCATAAACATGGCGATTTCTTTTAAAATGGCACTTTGTTACCAAGGTCCTCACGGGGACCATTAGACATTCAGGTCTTTATTACGCAACCTCAAAGGTTACAACTTTATTTGCCCTGTGCCCTACCCTTACCCCAACCCCACCACCATCATCAACTGTTTCTCCTTTCAAGACTTGGTCACTTATTTTGACTTTGCGATCCATGTGAGTGAGTTGTGTCGTGTTTGTTTGTTTTTATTCGTGCAACAGCCCCTCATGCCTCACGCACGCACACACGGAAGCAGCTTCCATCACCCTACCCATACACACATCGACTACCAACCCATCCAGACTAGGATCGATCTCTGGCTTGCCTTGACAAGCCTAATTATTCATTCGTGTTCCGTTCACTACATTCCGTTCCCCTGTTCCCCTTTGCTTCTTCTGGATGTCCATTGGATTAACTTCATCAACTTCCATATTCATTCAATCATTTCAATCATTCATTCATTATCATTTATTATTATTATTTGTATAAACACAATCACACACACATACACAACAGACAGTCAATTCAGTTAGTTCGCATAATGTAAGAAAGCCCCCTACTACCCTACAACTCAAACATCAAACCCCGAAACGCCCCCATATGTCCATTGAATGGCATCGGGTTCCTTTCGTTCGTGTGAACCCTCCATCATTGTCAACATCAACAGCAACAGACACAACAGACACAGTTAATAATAATAATACAGGAGAATGATAAAGGGTCAGAGCGATTAATTAAAAAACCGACTCCACCACCTGACATCTCCCATCTCCAACCAACCAACATACTTTGGTGTGATCACCCCTTTGATCACACACACACCAAAACACTTGCCATCCAACCAATCACTCTCGTTCACAACAAAGTAATCGAAATCGCCTTTCATTTAATCTTCCATCACTCACACCTTCACTAAACACTATTCTTTTGAATGAACGTTTATTTCATACATTCATACACATTATTATCATTATTATTATCATTACACACACACACACACACACACACACACACACACACACACACAACAATACAGAGATCCACCATCCTTCCATCCATCCCATCACCCCTACCACTACCACTACCACCATCTTCCTTCATTCTTGCACATATTTGTGAAAGAGATAGATAGTGAGTGAGTGAGAGGTAGAGAGAGTACTCTTCAAATCACATCATTCCACATTCGTTCATTTCGAATATACAAACACAATAACAACAACAACAACATCTAAGAGTGATACCATCCGTCCATCCATTAATCCATCTCATTGATATAACCTTATCTATCTCAATCACATACTCAACTATCATTCATTCATTCATTCATTCATTCAAACATATAACATAGAGTTATACATCAACTTGTGTATCATCCATCATCATCATCAATCCAACAAACACATTATCCACATCCATTCATTCATTCAGAAGTATTAACATTTACCTCAACATATTTATTTATAGACATTATTATTTATTATTAACAATAACAATAATAATAATATAACAAACAGATAATACTACTTATAACATACAAATTGTAATACTATTATAACAACAAACGGATCATATATATATATATATATATATATACACATAATATAATGTCAACAAAGACAACACAATCAGCGCATCACAAGGAGAAGGAGATGTCATCGACCACAGAGGATACTGTTAGCGATTTGTCCAGCGATGGAATTGAGGGAGAGGGCATTGAGCCCGCCGATACTGGCGCCGACAGCACAATCGTCGATGATAGCTCATCGAGCGACTCTATAATGAAGCAAGCATTTGGCTTCATGAAGAACCATCTCAAGGTCGGCTCCGACATGACCAAGATGCCTATACCCGCCACATTCGTTGCGCCCATGTCCTTCCTGGTGGCCATCCAGCAGCACTCTGCCATCTACACACATCTCCTTATGGCCGCCGACTCCATCAAGGATCCAGAGCAAAGATTCCTCCAAGTTCTAAAGTATCACCTTACTTGGCCAAAGATGTTTGTAAGTTTAAACTCAATCAAATGAGATTGATTGATCATTGCTCATTCTAATCACTCCAATCACACTGATCAATCATCAATCAATAGTTCCCAAAGAATCCTTTGAATCCAATCCTTGGAGAGGTTTATGAGAATGAAGTACAACATATTGATGAGAAGACTAACCAGCCAATAGAGGGCGATAGGACCAAGTTCATCTCGGAGCAGATCTCTCATCATCCACCAGTGTCCTGTTTCCATTTCCACAACGAGAAGCACGGAATTCAATATACTGCCCGCCAGCAGATCACACCAGTGTTCAAGGGCAAGCACATCAGAGCGGACATGGACGTCAAGTCGACCATCACACTGAAGAACCACAACGAGACCTACTACAACGACAAGTTCCCCGACGGCTTCCTGCGAATCCTGCGTTGGAAGTTTGAGTTCACCGGAAAGTATCACTTTGTCTGCCCCGAGTCTGGCTACAGCGCCGTCATCAACTTCAAGGACAAACCAATTCTGGGAGGCAAGTGGCACGATATGCACGTGCTCGTCTGCAAGGGCAACGAGTCGCTGTACGAGCTGAACGGCACACACGTCGACGTGCTCAACATCACCAGTCTCAAGGACAAGAGCACCTCGGTCTTTATCAACTACGCCACGATGCGCACCGAGGCCATCATCGAGGAGCCATTCGAGACGCTCAAGGAGAACAACTCGATCAAGGTGTGGAAGGGCGTCGCCGACTCGTTCGCCAAGAAGGACGGACGTCGCGCCGGCCTGGAGAAGCAAAAGATCGAGGAGGCCCAGAGGAAGAAGGCCAAGGCCGTACTGACGCAGAACCCCAATTTCATTTGGGAGCCAGTTCATTTCGAGCATTATACACCAGAGAATCCAGTTATTCCAGATCACCGTTACACCAACAAACATCAACAAGACACCACAACCACCGCCAAACAAGACTGTCAACAACAGCAACAGTCGTCTTCACAACAACAACCAATAGAACAACTTGCATAGTTGATTGATTAAGTTGATTAATTAATTTACTTTCATAATTATCCATGTATTGTGTCTGTTATGTCTATTTGTTCTTTGAGTGATCAAACTCGATTGATGACCACACTATAGACCAAGATGGATTGGAATGCTATTAACAAGTGAAGATGAATAAGGTGGAAGTGTGGTTGTGGTGTGTTAGCTTGAGAGAAGTGACATTAACCTTAATTGGGTGTGTTCAATCAATCATTCACCTCTAAGCTCACTAATGAATGAATAAATGAATGAGCTGAGTGAGTGTGATAAAGAATGAGATAAGTTAAGTTGAAGTTATTTGATTGATTAATTATCTGTATTCTTCTTGTACATTATATAAATATTGATAATAATATAGATAATTTATAATTAATTAATAATGTATTCATTCCTTTATTATTTACTTGGTAGTATGATGTTGGCCATTGGTATGGTAGCATTGATATTATTAGTTCATTCAATATATACAAGAAGTACATCATCATCTAGAAAGATATTCACCTCAGTTATAGTATTGGCAATGTTTGGTAGAGGTGTCTACTTCCTCCTAAGTCCATCCATTATAGATGGTAACCTACAATCATTCCCTTTGAATGCATTCTTCTTCTGGAGTAAGTTCTATATTTCAATCATACATTGATATATAGTCTTACAACTTATACCCTACCTACCTTAGACCATATGATAGACTTTGCATTCTTCTTGGCATACTTTATGTTGTTTGTTAGTTGGGCAAACTTCTATTACCGCACATCAGTAGGAAGTGATTCAGAACTGTTGGATAATAAGGCTACAGTGATATTGTTTATATCATTCGTATTGGGCAGTATTATAACTATAGCAGTATTCTTCTTCACTGCTGATACGGATGAAGAATGCAAGAGAGTGGACTTGGCTACAACATGTTATATAGCATCACTCAATGTTATAACTGCTGGTTTGTTTGGTGTCTATGGTCTAAAGATATATCGTCTAATAGATGAGTTTAAGTTTGTATTCAAAAGAGTGCACTCCTGGAAGATCAAGGCCATCACTTGGATATGTTCACTATGTTTCCTCTGTCGTTCATGCATGATGGTCTTTAGTGTCCTAGAGTTGTCTGTAAGTGTTACCCGACCTCCTGGTTGATGCTATACTTGGTATCACCTCAGGCATCGAGGTCAAGATCATTGCAATGACAATAACTAACACATACATTACTACTCCTGACTTATGAATCGATTGATTGAATGTATTCGTTGGATTGATTGATACTATCTTTATCATGACAACCAGGACAATCCAGATACCAAGTCATTCAGTGTCGATTGGTATTGGGTCTTTATCTATTACTTGACTCTAGAGATGCTTCCTACCTGCGCGATGTTATTCTTCTTGCGCAAAGGTCCATCGAGCCAACCCCGTATCGATGAATACGAGCCGATTCATAGTCCATAAGTCAATTCAATGATCATCAACACAAGGACTGGATGGAAGGAAGGAAGGAATGAAGGTCTGATCCATCGCCGGCGGACTTGTTAGATGGGTTCGAGCCCATACCTCACCTTACACTTGGGCTTGTGACACATCCTCCTGTCAATCAATTAATCAACTTCTTCCATTCGGTCCAACATCACAGAAGTCATGTGATGATGTTTAGTCGCGAACAATGAACAGACGCAATGATGCCCTTGCTGGGATGGGAGTACCATGATGTTTGCGCAAGGTGACGTTATGTCCTTTCGTAAACAGAGAGTGAATAAAGAGCGCGCATGCACTAGGGCTTGTCGCCCATAGCTCTCGTCGGGCACACGATATCCTTCATGATTCGTATGGTCATGATGCTTGTTTGGAGATGACAGGCCTGACCAAGTGGCAACAAACAATGCCCGACATCAAGACGGACCAAGCTATGTTCACTTTACAAAGGTGGAGTGAGTTGTGTATGATGGACCACATTTGCCCAACACTCACCCAACCATTGTCATTGATTGATCTGATCTACAACGATTCATAGTCAAACATGAATGTATAAGCTCAAGTGATCTCAATCACCGCCATGTTCTCACACACTCACGAGTTCATAAGTCTGTCTCTTTGATCAACCAATCAACCACCCTCACACACTCACACACACAAACATACACACTGATACACACATCAATCAATCACATGATGATGGTATAAATACATACACACACATTGACAGACAGACACAACAACAAACAAACAAACAAATACCCCTCGTTCTACCAACGAACACAATTGGACTCTTTGAAAGGACACAACACAAGCGCAGCGCACTCTTGTGTGTCAAATGGGTTTGGATGTAGAATGGTCCTCCATGAGTTAACAAGGAAGTCCATCATCCAAGCAACAATCCATCCATCCATCCATCCCCTACCTAACACCTATGGCCTGGGTCATGTGATTGGTTGTCATTGATTCAACAATGTACAACTACATAGTGATAATCTACTTGATCATTCAATCAATCATACACACACTCACTCCATCATCATACACACATATAATCAATCAACTTCTCATCAATCTCAATCAACAACCACACACTCACACTAACCTAAACACAACCCACACCATTGTCGAAGGAGAAGGCAACGTTGTGGATAATATGGTTAAGGGTTAGAGGTAGTGCCACTCCCTGTACTCCTACTATTACTACTACCTACTGGAAGTAAGTAAGTAAATACTGTTGTTGATGTTGATGTTGATGTTGATCATGATGATGATGATGAATGAATGATGTTGTTGTTGTTGTTGTTGTACGAGCGAATGCCTTTGAGGTTGAGCCAACCACAACCCTTGTTTCAGTTGATTAATTAATATATTACCTTCTTTCCTTCTTTCTTTCATTCTTTACTCACTTACATATACATATACATATATTATTATTATTATTACCATGTTTATTATTCAAGGCTTTACAACACCAAAGATACTGCGGAAATAGACATTTATACAGACCTTTCGAAAGGACACACCAATCAATCAATCAATCACCTGACAACGCGACAATCGACTCATTCGCGAATCAATCACACATCAAACCAATCACTCATTCATTCACTGGAACTATTCCATCAATCAAAAAAGTCAACAAACTCAATCAAACTTCACATCGTATCATAAATAATCATTCAAACAAGGAGCAACAACAACAACAATGCATTATGTAAATGGATTCGATATTGCCAAGCAGAGCATACAAGAGGTGGAAACACTGGCCCAATCGAAAAAGATACCATGGGTAGCCAAACCTCAGGAGCTGATGGGTCAGCAGCTGACAGACCAGCAACAGCAGCAGCAACAGAATTGTCAAGTACTGGAGTTCACCTCCACAGTGGATGTGGGTGGTATCTACCTCAGCAAAGGCTATTGCGACTTCCCCATCTCGCCCGAGAACATGTTCGAGCTTCTGTATAATATTAATGAGAGGAAGAAAGTATGTATGATTATGTCCACATTGTTTGGACATGGCCTGGAATCCATCAATCAATCAGATATCTTGATCAATCAGTGCACTCATATATCTTGATCAATCATATGATCGATCTCTAACATTTTCCATCAACATGATCAACTTTATAGTGGGACTTATCATGCGTGGAAGCCAAGATATTGGAGGAGTACGACCATCTGAATCATATTATACATATGTCGATGGCCTATCCTTTGGTGACCGTCAACATGAACTTGTATAGGAGTTGCAAGTATGATCCACAGGCAAGAATATACGTGATCGCAATGCGATCCATCGAGTTGGAGGACGATAGTGAGTCCACCGGCACGAGCAGTAGTGTGGCGGGAGGCGGATTCGACTGCCTTCCCAATGGCTGGGTGATTGAAGCTGCGCCCACAGTCGTCGACGCACACGGCCAGCAGCTCACACACAGTCGCGACCGATGTCGTTTGACATTCGTCCAACAATGCAAGCTGCGTGATATTGAGCGCCAGAGCATACCTGCGTACAAATCATTCGTCAATGGCATTGCCGTGCCCGATGTATCCAAGTTCCAACATCATCTGGCATTGTTCCCTGCGACTGTTGGTGGCACATGTAGCAAGATATTCGAATGCATCCAGCGTTACATCGAACTCAATCACACTCAACTACATGCTCGCGACCCACGTCTAATGATCCTCGAACAAGCCGAAGCAGAGCTCAATGGAATGTTTGGAACGACCACCACTGACTATGGATGGACGACCATCTGCAAGAAGCATGGTAAGTGAAGCTGAATGATGGATTGAATGAAAGAGGTACTAACCTCCCCTACCCTTACCCTTGCTCAATCAGACATGGAACTGTTGGTAAAGAGTAGTGACCACTATCTGATGGTTGGCAAAGGTTGCTTCGCATCAAGATTCACTCCAGCACAAGTCAGCAACCTACTATATAGTGTATGTTACCTCAATCAATCATATGAGTCCTTGAGACTGGAATGGTTCCAGCCCACGCCCTCCCCCACTCCCCACGACCACACCACTTACCCAACATAACAAACAGGAGACACCATGGAGTTGGGATACCTTTTATGAGAGGTCAAGCATTGTGGACAACTTGGACAAGAATAATAGAGAGCTGGAGTTGTGGTACAGGATGTTTGATGATTGTTTGCAGACGGATAGAGTGTTGCAATCAGTTAAGCATGGACCTGGAAACAGCTCATCAGTCATTTGGCGTTCGACATTAGCCTCCAATCAATCCAAACCAAAGTTTGATATTGAGCTCAACTTCTTACCAAGTGGAATCTTCTCATATGCACTGGGCGAAGGATCGTTCACAACATTCCTAGTTGCCGTGCTGATCCGTGGAGGCACGCCAGAACAGCACCAGATGATCAGCAAGTTCTTCGCGGCCAGGATCATCTCGTGTGAGAACGGCATCATCAACTGCCTCAAGACCGAGCATAGGTCTCCCAAGCTTGAGGAGGACCCGGCCAACCTGCCCGTCATCCCCACATTCGACAGCCACTGCCTACTCTCGGGCAAGTCCGAGTCTGAGGACTTTGTCAACATGGTACTCAACTTCTCAGACATGCTACTGACGGACCACGACGCGGAGAAGCAGGAGCGTGAAGACAACGACATTGAGTTGCCCGACAGCGGAGTGGCACACCAGTCTACTCGCGGAGGCATGGGACATGGCGGCTGTGGAGGCCAGCCACCACCTGTTGCCCCAGCCACAGCCCAGGCACCCGCCCCTGGCCCAGCCTCGTCGACTGCGTCCAAGCGCAAGAGGAACAGCGATGACGATGATGGCGCCGACCATCGCCCGACGATTCGTATGACCAACAATATCATCTCAAACAAGATGCCTTGCAATGATGGCGTGTATCCAAAGATGTGGAACGAGAACAAGAGACAGCCATTCCTGTTCCTCGTCTCGGAGAAGAATAACAAACAACGACTGAGAAGACGTGAAGTGGCCATCTCCAACTCCAGCTTCGACACACTGCCCGACGAGATTGTGTATCACATCTTGTCCGGCCTGCAGGCACCCGACCTCTTGGTGGCGTCGATGGTGTGTCGTCGCTTCAAGATCGCATCGGATTGCTCGCGACTCTGGCACAACCTCTACATCACCAGTCCACTCTTCAACAAGAAGGTGCCCAGACGCATCGACAAGGCGCCTGTCTCACCAGCTCCTGTAGTCGCCCCACCAGCCATAGAGGTGGCAGCGGACCCCATGGATATCCAGCCACTGTCAGAGCCACTACCCCAACCGACAGTTGTGGCGACCGCGGCCCAGCCAAACTGGCGCCTTCAGTACTTGAGCGGCGTGAAGCTCAACATTAGGTGGCAAACATGCAAGCCCAAGCGCATGACTGAGCTCAAGGGCCACTCAAAGTCGATCAGATGTCTCAAGAATGAGGGAAACTCAGCACTCTCTGTCGCCAGCCAGGACAAGCGTTTGTTGTTCTGGAACCTGAACTCGGGCCAGTACATTGGCCAATACAGTGATTCATCGACCTCGATCGTCTCTGTGGACTATGATCGCTCGACCAAGTCATCCTACATCTGGCCACTCACAGAGTACACCCGCGTGCATGTCGGTCACAAGAACGGCCTGATCGCACTGGTCGACTTCTCGGAACAGCCTCTCAAGTTGTTGTCCACATGCCGACCCAAGCTGCTGGCGGACGGGTACGACTTCCGCGTCAAAGGCCGCTACCTGATCTGGGAGAGCGGCCAGGTCGAATGCTGGGACGCCAACGAGATGGTGCGACTGTGGCAGGCAGGCGACCACACCAAGAAGATCAACCAGGCCATCTCGATCGACTCGGCCCAGTTTGCCAGCCCCATCGTGTGCACAGCCAGCACAGACAAGACCGTGAAGCTGCGCAATATGGTCGATGGCGAGTTGATTGCATCTTTGAGCGGCTTTGTTGGCGGCGTCAACTGTGTGGAGTCGGTAGGCAGCAACATGATCGTGACAGGCTCCAGCGACAAACTGATCAAACTCTGGGATCTGCGACAACTGAATAACGCGGTGGTCGTCAACTCGGGCCACACTGCGCCAGTGCGCTGTGTATCCTACGAGGAGACAGGTGGCAGGATACTCAGTGGCGGTGATGATGGTGTTGTTGTAGTGTGGGAGTTGAATGGATGGAAGACATCAACGGCCATGCCCACGACAACGACAACGACTACAACTACAACCACGACGACTAGTACTACGACAGCCTCGTCGTCGAACAACAACAACAGCAATTTGATGTATGGTAGATGTGAGGAGAGTGGAAGGATCACCAAACATACCAGTGGCATCACTTGTATCGACTCGGACGAACATGGATTCCTCAGCGCATCGTCCAATGGCATCATCTACCGATGGGATTTTGAATAAACCTTTGCGTGATAGTCCATCACTTCTTGTTATTATAACTACTATATCATCACTCGTGCGTGTCAAATGTTCCGATCAATCATTCATTCAATCAGTGCAGTTCATACATATATCTTGATCATATATCTTGATCATTCAGTGCGCTCATATATCTTGATCAGATCATAGATCTTGATCATAGATCAGAGTACAAGTACTTTCATAATGGCATCAATATCTACAGAAGAGTCAGTGGTCGTTCATTTACCGCAGGTGGTTCAGAAGGAGATACTTAGACATTGTTGGCTATTGAGATACAAGTTCTCTTGGAAGCTTAGTATGTTAACAGTGTCAAGGTCATGGTTCAACATGTTATGTTCAATTGAACAACGTCATTGTACAACACGAGCATTGATAGACAATGATAACATCATTGATTGGCTGCCACATATCAACAACAAGAGTGGCGGCAGCAACAACTACAACATAGTATCACATAACAGTAGTTGGTGTATATCACTTAGTGGCGACAAACATGATGATATACTGCCCAACATTGAACAAGTGATTGGAGTGGCTAGACGACTACAACTATGTCTCTACGACTGGGCTCAGTATGACAAGTTGGAAACGATTATACGTCATGTGGACGAGCAGCGGCAATTGGACAACCACAATGATCATGCTAGAAATGATGACTCGGACGATGACTGGACACTCGAGTTGGAGGTGGACCATGTTGAGAGTTGTAGCATGTTGATGCAACTCGTCCAGTCGATCAATCATCGAAGGATCACATCATTCACCGTTGTCAGCTTCGATCGATTCACTTCGGTTTACCGTGGAACTGATCAGTTTCAAGACCAGGTTCTCGAACTAGTCAACACGCTACGGACATGTCATGGACAATGGTTAACATCGCTATCACTCGACTTAAGATCACTATCTGTTGCCTCACGTAATCGTGTAACATCAGTGATCAGTGAGTTTGGCGCGAATACATTGGAGTCTGTTGGTCTGATCATTGTGGAGCAGGGCGATGGCACGACGTTTGATCACTTCCAGCGTCTGAACAAACTTCACACATTCATCTACGACAATGAGGACGCGACAGTCTCGTCCAACCAACAACTGCTCTCATTCCTGCTGCACAACAACACGCTGACCAACATCGAGATCACCAACATGGTCTGTCCACGCTTCGTCCAGCACCTCTTTAGCCAAAAGACCAACCTGATCAAGGCCGGATTGAATTTGACCAACAACCTGGAGCTCACATCTCTCGGTCCGCCGGCACCCCAGGCCCACAACACGACTCTCAAGAAGCTGCGCCTGTACGCCATGTGCGAGGCGGAGCTGACATTGGTGGCCAGTCCACTCAGCTTCTTCCACGGGCTGACCAACCTGGGCGTGTGGTGTCTCCTGTCGTTGGACAACTTTATCGCGACGGTTCGACAGGGCGCTACGCACCTGAGCCACGTGTCATTGTTCATCAGTCCGATTGGAGTGAGTGTGGAAAGCATCACAGAGTTGTTCGACGTCGTTAGCAAGAGTGCCAGTATCACACAACTTGATGTGATGGCAGTACAACGTGATCCACTCAGTCTGATCACTTTACTGACCTCAGCCATCACGTCCAATCACAACCAACACCTTGAGGAAGTGAAGTTCTATCGTTCCAAACATATACCAAATGATCAACTACCAACATATAATTCAATATTTGATGAGATCACTCAATTGGACAGCACAGTTACATGTAAAAGATATCTATCTCTTTGATCGGGGGTCTGGTCTGATTCATTGGTCCTTGGTCCTTGGTCTCGGTACATGTTCATGGTCCTATCCCCTGGTCGACTTGACTGAGTGAGACCCTCATCATTCCGATGTCTTGGCGCCAATACAAATAAAGTAATAGGAATCTTGCGAAACAAACACGAAATGTATGATCCGATGAAAGAACGAGGATGGATATCAATCACACACAACAACTTTTGTTGTTTTCCCTCAAGATCGTACTCTTCGTTTTGGAACTCTAGAGCACTTACAAACGCAAGTCGTAAAAAAACTTGATTGATCTGAGACGATGAATGATAGATATCAATGTCGAAAAATGGGTCATTGAGCAGAGATACCTGATTGGTCGTTTTATGCCACAGTGCGCTCTTTCAAAAAAAAGCCCTCATTATCCTAATGGGGCGAAAAAAACACTAGATGAGCTGGAAGAGGTTTAACCCCTCACTTGCACTTTTAGTGGTTGACTTTGTTTGTGTCAGTGTGAGAGTGAGTGAGGAGTGTGAGTTGGTGAGCGAGGGGGAGAGAGGGTTGTTTGCTTGCTAGCTTGCTTGTCAAGTCAATTCTTTGTGTTTGTTTGTTTCTATGTTTATGTTTAGAGTGTTAAGTCATCTGGATCAGTGCCGATGCTTCTTGCATTCATTCTTTCATTCTTCATTCAATCATTCTTACATAACATAGATACACACACTTCTGTTAGCCTTTCAACAAACGACATCATCCATCATCATTATAATCAGTTAAGGTCTTATTCCAACTTGTGTGTTATATCTCATTCTCAAGTTGTGTGTGTTGTTTTATCTCTTTGTATCACCTACTACAACTACAACTACAACAACTACCAACTACAATAACTACTACTACTACTACTACAAATATCTCCAATCTCTAATATCTATAATTATCTTTTTTCACTAGTTCATTCTTTTCGTTTGTGTGATTTGTAATAATACTTGGAACATTATTTGCATCAATCAAACATTCAACGATCATTCACAGTCAGTTAGTTAGTCAGTCAGTTTCATAAAAGTAGAGAGCACATACAGATAATACCAAATAACAACAACATCAATCAATCAATCATTCGATCAAACATTATATATATATATATAGAAATGAGATTATCATTGCATTCGATGCGCAAGATGATGAGACTGAATAGACGTCGATTCAATCTTGCGCTGTTTATGCTGATAGGTCTGATGTTCTTTATCTACTTTATGTTCCCTCTAGAGAATAATAATGACAACAATCATAGATTAAAGCCAAGGATGCAACAACAGATCGATCTAGTATTTATAAAGTTAGAGACATCACATAGTGATGATCAAGACAATGTCAACAACATCAAATCTGGTGTTGATTCAATCAATAATAATAATAACAACAACAACAACAACAACAATAATAATTATAATAATAATAATAATAATAATATAGATAAAGGAGTCACCAATGACAATAATAGTAATAATAACAATAATAATAATGATATAGTGGAGGCAAGATTAGCATATAATAAGCTGCGAGAAGCTATAAAGACACCTCTTATAAATATGGGCGAACTGGGCGAACGTCATTGGAAACGCACACCTTCAGACGACTTTATGCTGGGCCTGACGGCAACGTTCAAGACAGAGCCATACTATCATCGCGCAACAGAGATTGGCGCGCAACACAGTCATGGTCACAATCACAATCAGCAGCAGCAACAGCAGTACTTGGTATCAATCGTCACACAGGTCACAGTCGATCGTTTGGACCGCGTTGTTCTGATGGCACAGCGTTGGAAGGCACCAATATCGGCCGCCGTCTTTATCAAGGACCCGGCCACCGAGCTGCCTCGTCTGCGCTCCATCATCGATGCCAACCCGGCACTCAATCAATACGTCGACACTCATCTGCTGTTTGCCAACAAGACGCGATACCCTGTCAACTCGCTGCGCAACCTGTCCATCAAGAATGCGCGCACCGACTTTGTCCTGGTCATGGACGCAGACTTTGTCCCACCCGCCGGCATGCACAACTACCTGACGCAGTACGTCAAGAAGGCACAAGAGTCTGGAGAAAAGGTGGCATATGTCATGCCATCCTTCTCCTCCTCTGCCGATCCAGGCATCCTCCCCAATGACAAACCTACACTCCTTGAAATGATTGCATCATGGAAAGTTGAAGCATCAAGTATGTATTATCAAACAGCATGTAACTTGGTGATTGATCGAGTGACTAACATCATCCCCTCCCCTTCCTTCCCCTTCCCTTCCACCAATCAATCAGACTTGGATGTTTGTCCAAAGTGTCATTCCCCAACCAACTATACACGATGGTACACTGAGACAGTGCCCTACGAGATTGATTATCACTGGGTCTACGAGCCTTACCTGCTCTTTAACAGATCTAAAGCCGATCTATTCGATGAGCGATTCAAGGGTTATGGATTCGACAAGAACTCTCATGTGTTCTCAATGGCCGTGGCTGGATACAAGTTTGTCGTGCTGCCCAATGCCTATATCATCCACATCAACCATCCCGTTTCACTGTGGGAGGGTCCAGGCATCAGTGATCAACTCTGGGATGCACTGAACGTCGTATGTTCAATGATCTCTGAAGTCAAGGTGAAGAATCACATCGATGTCAATACCAAGGTGTTTGACGAGCCATTGCCAAGCAGTTGTTATTCTGTTAGCCATTGGTAGCCAACATAATAAAACACATTAATATATACACACAACCTCATGCTACATGGTATTGAATGATTGAGTGGATGGGACATGGACAATGTAGATTGGGTCAGCATGATACCCCCCCTCATTTGAGTGAGTGTGCTTGATCAACACACTTGACCTGGAAAGTGATGATCACCTGATCATTCATCAATCATATGATTGAGTTAGTACATATAACTATATATAATAATGGATAAACTATTTAGGAGTGTAGTATTTAGTAAGGTTATAATACCAAGTGTACTCAATCAAACTGGAATATTAAATAATAAGTTGGAACATTATTCTATAAGAGGTGGAGATGTATCAACATTATATCAATGTATACAAATACATGATGATCAAAGATTTATAAAGATATTTGAGTTGTTATACAAACAGAACCAAGTTGGTAAAGAGATAATTGATAAAACATTATCAATCTTATCTGTATCAGCACAGAATTCAATAATCAATATCGATCCCAACTCGGATGATGAGAGGAACACAAACAGACATCGATTATATCAATATCATTTCAGGTCCAGACTTATGTAAGTATCCCCGCCGGAATAATTCCAATCACTCAATCACTAACTTGAGTAATACAATAATTGAATGAAGAATGAAACATTTAAAGGAGCTGTTTGGAATGTTGTTGGAGAGACAGTGTACCAATCTTGTTGAATATATGATCAAGTTCTTTGATGGTCGCTTGGAAGGAAAGGAGAAGACACTCAATCTACTATTATATTGTCTACTCACCACTGATAAAGAACCAAATGATTATATATTATCCAAAGATATCATCAATCTTCTAATTGGATTGATACCAGTTGATGCCATGTCATATGGTACACTATACCAGATGACCATATCATCACTCAAACATCACAAGGACTATGAACTATACAAGAATATATTTGATACATATCAATCTTCAACAATGGATATGGATCATACAGGTGATCAACAATTTCAATCAATACTCAATGATGTCAAAGTGATTGAGGCACATGACTTTTTGTTTGAACAGCAACCAGAGTCAACAGAATGGTCAAAGGTCCTCATGGCATTGATCAAGAGATACTCAGAGTACAATGATTCAGAGTTGATGAATATATTGGCAGGACTTGCAATCAAATATAAGAGATTGGATATATTATATTGGATGGTGGACATGTACAAGGTGTACCCTGATGACAGATACTTTATGCTCTACGCCAATGAGGAGATACTCAAACATTTTAAGTACAACCCACAGAAATCATCATTGTACGAAGCAATCCATACCATTAGTATTGCCGCCGAGGCTGGCAACTTGGCATTTCTCCAACTCTACCATACTGAGTTCCAGTTCTGCTTCACATCATTGTTCCAATTCGATGAGTACAAGAGGAGAACATCATCAATTGAGAAGCTTTTGAATGATCTTTTGCAAGATGGAAAGGTGGAAATGACAGCATTTATCTTGGATCATATGGATTGGATCCTGGAACAGGATGCAAAGGTATATATCGATAATCTTCCAATGGATGGTGATCAACCTGTTGTGGCCCTTGGACTGCTACAGGTTCATTCCGATCGTGTTATATGTCGCCTCAAATATGTATACGCAGCGGCTATCAAAGCCAATCGAATGGACTTCATCGAGCCATTGGAACAATTGATATTCACCGATACCCATGTCGAAGTTGACTTCAAGGCTGCACTTTTGGCTGCTCTCTACCATGATGACAAACATTATTTGCAAACATTATTGGATAGTCGACGATCATTATATTGCTTTGATATTGACTTGGTAGCATTGTCCAAGGCTAGCATCGAGTCCCAACGCATGCTACTTCCTCTGGCCACCCGAGGAACACTCATATACAGCATACCTCTATCAATCTATCCTGCAACATTGATAGGTAGTCAAATCATTGACACGATCAGATTAATAGTTGATTCAGGACAGTTTGATGAAGTGTTGTCCAAGGTGAAGTTCTCCAACTTCTTCTTCCAGGTGGCGTGTATCAATGGTCAACGAGACTTGGTGATCAAGTTCTACTCCACATATTGTAGTATGAGGGATGGACTCAGACTTGTGTGCACAAGTGGAGACGTTCAATCATTCGAATACCTACTCAAATATTACATTCATCCAGATTTGGAAGCATGGATAGACTGTTCGGCATATGCCAATCATAGTGATATGTTACATTGTATATTGTTGAGCCAACATAATACCAAGAGACCAGGTGGCGGCAAAATTGGAAGTCTCAAGCTCACTGACCTAACAAGAATATTGTCATCAAAGAAGAGTTGTCACAGTCATTGCAAGACTATTATTGACACAATATGGCCATTCGTTGATAATGAGATATTAAGGTTTCATCATCATTTGATCAGTTTGTTGGATGAAGTCGATGTCAATATTCACTTGTATCTGGCCATCATTGAATCAGTCTATCAACAACCAACATACTCTGATTCCGACATTCCATTCATCAAGTTCCCCGATAAGATTATTGAGCCAACACTTAGCCAAGAAGATGTTGCCATGTTCCGATCATTGGTCCATCTATTCAACAAGGACAACCTGGCCAACAAGTATCCAAGTCACTACCAACACATCCTCATCCCGTACAATGAGTCACAACGTGCCATCTTTGCCAAGCTCTCTCTTGAGCATGGATGTCACATTCCAGAGTTATTCCAATAAATAAATCAATCAATCAATCAATATATAAGTCCTTGGTGTTTGGTGCGGCGTGAGCCAAGCGAGTAACATCGCCTGGTCGACAAACCAGCGCTGCGGTGTGGTTATCGCCATGTCGTTTATGGAGGAGGTTGGGAGGGAGGAGGAAGAGGAGGCCATGATATAATCGTCGTTCGTTGTCAATCCAATTCATGGCTTGGATCGCTTGCTTACATTTGTATTATATACAAGGGTGGTAAATAGTTGTTGTTGTTGTTGTTGTTGTTGTAGTTGTTGGAGTTTGTTGGAGTTGATTAGTTATGCAGCAGATGAGTATACTCTGTTGCTGGATAAATGACAATATCTTGCTTCTTGATGTTGGTCGAATGTGAATAAGTGTGATGATCATGATTGTTGTTCGCTCGCAGCAGGAACAGCAATATAGTGATTGGAATAATCTCGAATCCAAAGTAATAGACTCCATCGAACCACCACCATTTCTGATTGATCATGATTGATTGATTGAGATATGGATAGTTAGTGATTAATCAATCAATGTGTTGTGCCAGACTAATACTCACTCCTGATATCAGATTGAAACGATTGACTGCGAATAGGGTGATGGCGCCACGAATGAGGAAACAGACGACTACTAGGATGCTGACGGTGGTCACGCGCCACAGTACAAGACGTCGCTTCTCTTCGGTAAAGTTTGGATTGTGCTCTTGGAACTTGATGATCATGCAGATGCACACGATGAGGAAGGCCATTGCGAATACAATGAACAGGGCACCATCAAACGTGCCGATGATATACTCGACCAGGTCGTTGTAGACTGACACTGGGCTGTACGTCAGTGGGTACAGTGCAAAGTCCAACACGTAGAGCACCAGCACGATGCCATACATGATCAGGGCTATCACTTTGAAGAACCATGGTAGACTGTGAACGAGGGACATTGACTTGCCCTCGAATATCAAGTACATCTCCACCCAGATGAACAGCACGATCAAGTAGTTACTAAAGAATATGAATGAAGGCAGAGTGTTCAAAAGAATGTTCACCTGATTTGGTATCTGGAAGTCATCCTCTCTAATAAATGGTTGCATGCACATAAACATTGCTCGAACTAAATGTTTGAATGATTGAGTATTAGTTAGTGATTGAGTTATTGGAATAGTTCCAGTGATTGATTGAATGGAACTTACCTGTTACACCAAATAACATTAATGGATAGAATATCTTTTGTATTGGTGATACATTGCTGGTTGGACGATGATACCATGCATATGTGGCCAATGCACCAAGTACCAAGTACATTGCAGTCAACAAGAAATGTGTGACATCATAGTTTACATAGTTCCATGCCATTATAACTCACTCTATCTTAATAAATAAATAATATATTAATATAACCTGTATATTCTGTATGTGTATGTTTATCACTTTATCTCTATTACTTTATATATGTGTTATGTATGTATGTTACTACTTCTACTTTGAAAGTTCAAAGTGCAATGAATAAATAAGTGAGTGATGTGTGAGAGATAGAGAGAGAAGGAAACAGATAAGTGTGTTGTGTGTTTGTGAGAATAGGGTTGTTTGTTTGTTCGCAAGAGAATGAATGAATGAATGAGGTGTGTGAAGTGAGGGCGAGAGAGAGAGGTCAGAGAGACTTGGGAGATCATTGTTGTTGTTCTCAACATGAAGGAGGAGACACGTGCCACGCGACTTCAAACCAAATGCCGTACTGAATGCAAGCATGTCATGGCATTGAAGCAAACAAAGCCATATGATGGCATACTTTCATGCCTACCCAATGCAGTTCTCAAAAAATTGCCCAATGTTATTAATGGGCTGGCTAGCAAAAAAACAGTGAAAAGTGTAAAGTCCCTTTTGGGTCTAGCACCATTCCAAAGAAAATTCTGATCAAAATCAGATATTTATAACTTATTAATATTACAAATACTACATGTACATTATTATTGTATGATTTGTATGATTGATTGATTGATAAGATAAAAGAGTGCACTGAATGATCAAGATATATGAGTGCACTGAATGATCAGTGATTGAGTGCTTATGCCAAAAGTGATCAACCAATCAATTAGTTGTTTTTTTAGATCAATCAGTTTCATAAGTGATGGATGATATAAGTATAAAGTTACAACAGATAGTGGAGGACTTGGCAACAGCTATTCTAAAGAGGTCAAGTGAGAAGAATGGTGAGAGGATATTGGTGGCAATAGCAGGTCCACCAGGTGCAGGCAAATCAACAATATCACATCTACTATGTCAGAGATTGAACGTCACAACAACGCAACCAATGACCACGATCGTACCAATGGACGGCTTCCATCTTGATAACTGTATACTACGCGAGAGGAATCAGTTGGCGCGCAAAGGTTCACCGCCAACATTCGATGTTGAGGGCTTCCGAGTGTTGCTCACAAGACTAAAGTCTCGCGAGACAGGTAGCCAGGACATTGTGATACCAGTGTTTGATCGAACACTGGACTTGGCAAGAGCAGGTGGCAGTGTGGTACAAAGTGATCATAATATACTGTTGGTGGAGGGCAACTACTTGTTGCTGAATCAAGTACCTTGGAATGCACTGTCAGAGTACTTTGACATGTCAATATTTGTTCAGGCTTCACGTCCAGTGCTGGAACAACGTCTAATACAAAGATGGTTGGATAATGATCACACTCAAGAACAAGCAATCAGACGTGCCTTGTCCAATGACATACCCAATGCCATCTTCACACTTGATCACTCAAGCAAAGCCACAATCACAATAGACAATGAATGAATCAATAATGTACCCTTAGTGTTTCTTCCTTCAACAAGATATATGATCAAGATATACGATCAAGATCGATGATCAAGATATATGAGTGCACTGAATGATTGATCAATTCAGTGTGAGTGTGGTCTTTGGTCAATAACAGATGCTTACTTTAATAAATCAAATCGAGCCCGATTCAGGACCTTCCAAATCCAGGAAGCCGACCAATAAATTGATGGTATCTTCCAAAGCCCCTGATACATGATACATACATCAATTTCAGGCTTGATCACAAAGTGATCATTTAGCATTTGGGTCAGATAGAAAGATAGAGATAATAATGTTGAGTGTCATTGATAGCTTCTTGAGGGAATATAAAGATGAACAACAAAGTGACCTCACTGAATTATTCATCAAGTCAGTGACATCATTGAATGATCAAACAACAACAAGTAGTTTATCATCTGAAGACATATCACTTAAGAATGATTACATTCTTCCAAATATATCAGAGGTATGTCATGTCATGTCATGTCATGTTATATCATTCATCTCAAAAGTATACATACTTAATTACACCCGTCGACATCCATGTAGTTACTTGCCATTCGACAACATGATGACCAAGAGGTGTTGTTCTGGATAGGCAAGGTTGTAACATTGTTAGAGTCGACAAATGAAGAGACCAGTTTGGAACGAACAATGACATTGCTCAGTCAAGCCATTGCCCAGCCACATTGGTGTTACCATATCTTGGTCGATCGCCAATATCTCACAACATTGATCAAGGCACATCAACAGACAGAGGCGATGAATCGTCTGTACACATTGTACATCGACTTGCTTCGACTGTACAACGACTGTCCTGATTGTTATGAGAACATATCAATGGCCTTTGGTGAGGAGCGAGTGAGCCAAGAACTATATCAATGTATGATGTCATCAACGTCATCACCAACACTGCGATATGGATGGCTCAATGATGTGACACGATCAAGTGCATTATCAAGATTCCTATCCACGCACAAACAACATGTATTAGAGTAAGTACCTCAACATCACTCAATCAATCAATCAACTTACTAACTCACTGATCAATCAATCAATCAATCATAGATCACTTGACACACTACAATCATCCTTTGTGATAGCGATGCGAGAACTAAAGGATTCATTCAAGATTGTGATAATGATTGTCAAGGAGGATGAGGCGATAAGGGACATGCCGGCCAATCAAAAGAGAATGATCAATATGATATCACATAGCATGTTCAAAGATATTGCTGACGATGGATTCGTTATGTTCAGTCCATTCATCAACTCTGATGCACTCAATCAAGGAGCAAACTTCTTCCAACTCTTCCAATCACTCAAGGATGTCCACAATATGAATGCCATCATCAAGTTGATAGGCAATTGCGAGAGCGAGTCGTCAACATCGTCATTCCTCAAACAATACGCATCAGTTGAGAACATTATCACAAGAGTACTTAACGAACTAACATGGTCCGATGATTACACTACATTGGTGTTACTCGATGGCATCACTCAATCATTCTCAAGCATCAACATGGACAGTGCGCAGGCATCAGCAACTCTCCAACCTCTGGCAGACCATCTCGAGAAGCTCAATCTGAAATCCAATCGTATGGCTGTATCACTGCCAACCATTCACGCTCCAGTGATCATCAGATCGTTGGTAAGATTGATGGAGATATGTGGAGCAGCCAATAAGAACAACACCAATCTATACCGATTGGCAATGATATTTTTGGTGCAGTTGGATGATGAGGTTGACCAAGAACTGCATTTGTCAGAGACACTCATCCAGAAGTATCCATTGCTCACCAAGGTGTTCATCAAGGACCAATACCGCCCCATGATCTATGATTCACTCTCATGCAATGTACATTTCCTCGCCACGCACCATCGTCACAATCTGCTGGAGAGTGATCAGAAGCAACTAAAGACGTGGGGCAAGAGACTACTCTGTATGCTCCTTAGCTTCAAATACACGCCCAAAGTACATCGATTTGTCAACTCATATGACAATGTATCTGAGATTTGGTCCCAATTCATTCGCTCACTTTTCAAAACTGTTGATGGTGATGATAATGGCGATGCCTATCCTGTCGAATGGTTGATTACCGTGATACCCAATGTGTTAATGTTGAATGGCGCGGCAGACGAGATACATCCAGCAGCAGTATTCACATTCTTCAAACTTATCCACAGCTCACGATTGAGCCCGATCGAGCATGATTGGAAGTCACTCAAACATACATTATTGGCAAAGGTCAATCCAGCTCACAAAGATTATCAATCACAACGTCAATCATACATTGATCACAAGATACAATCTATTTTTGATCGATCACCAGCACTCAATCTTGACCCGTCACTCTGGTCATCACTTCCACCAATACCCGTTCGTCACATCATTGATCACTTGGTTTTGGATGAAGGTGCGACGGACATCGACCTGTGTACACACTCGCGATGGGTCGTGTCACTGTCCACTGTGTCCAAACAGTTCCATCAAGTTGTCAGGGCATCCGTGTCCCACAACCCCGTCCCATCACTTGGTATCTGTGACCAAATGAACCATATTGGATCAACATACTGTCTGTTCAAGTCTCCACCACTGCACATGGATGCCAAGGACTTGCGATACATACCAATCAAACTGATCAATGAGTGTTTGAACAATTTGGAATCATTGGTCGTGCCCACGGACGATGGATTCCTCGGCAAAAATGGTTTCCTCTACGGCTATGAGGTTGGTGGTGATGATCTCTTTGACGACGACTTTGGCATTACCTCTCCAATGGAGGTATCCTCATCAGTCCTGATCATCACGATCGATGCTCCACGACTTAGACACATCAAGTTTGTCAATCATCCTCGACTCTATGATAGTAATCTATTGGATAACATCAGGGAGGCGGTACCATCATGCTTCAAGATCATCGATGGTAAAACCCACCACCAAGGTTGGTCTTACCACGATCGAATGATCAACCTAAACTACGAACACTACAACAAGTATCTATTTGGTCAACTAGAATCAATATCATTTGTTGGCATTGATTTACCCTCGAATATTCCGATCGGTAGAGTTATTGTGGGTGCAGGTCCAACAACCACAGCTACCACATCCAACACAAACGTATCATTCCGACTTGTGTCGCGAGGTTTATGTGATGAGAATAATCATACATTGAGGACGCGACATTATTTAACCTCAATGTATGATTATAAGTACAATGGACCACTACATAGTTGTAATCTACAACAAATGCATCTGCGTGGAATGACCGTAACAAAGGTGTTTGGCTCACCCTGGGATCTCAACTCTAGGTGTGACATTCACGAGCATTATGGTGAATCACACAAACATTGGGATACATTGGAGATCAGTGCTCCTGACATTGGTGACCTGATGGACTTGCTCCCCAACACTCCTAACACAATACGTTCACTTATTATTGTGTTTAGCAATGTAAGGAGAATGATCAAACTTGATCAAAGTGATGGACATGGTATCCAGAGATATCTCAATGACTTGGTGCAACTATTGGGTCAACCAATCTATGACAATCTTTGTATGATCAGATTTAGACTTGATCAAGATAATGATCATCAACATATTCGGCCACTCAATCAACATCTACTCTCCACAAAGTTAAGGCCACTCAACTTTTATCCTGATCACTATGACAGGACTATCTTCTATCGAATCAATATCCCAGTTAATGCATCCACAGTCTCAAGCAACAACAATACACAATAAGTGACGGGCTTTGTCTTGAATCACGAAATGAGGGCAAGTTAGGGGTGAGGGCAAGGGCGAGGGTTAGGGTCGAGGGTTTAAGTTGCAAAACTCAAAATTATTCCAATCACTCAAAATTATTCTAATCACAAATCAAAGAAATGAGAGATAGAGTTAGAAATAGTAGAGATAGAGATAGAGATAGAGATAGAGATAGAGATAGAGATAGATGGAGAGAGAGAGATAGAATGACAACGTTGAATGTCTTTGGGTCATTCTTGAGGAAGGTTCAAGAGAGTAACTCTGATGTTAGAGTTGACAAAGTACAGATTGATTTGTTCATTCAATCAGTCTGTACATTAGAGACAACCTCTCCGGCTAGTATATCTTATAACATCTCATTGGTCAAGTATGATTATATGTATCCTTTAATATCACAGGTATGTATCACTAGATTGATTGATTGATTGAATGAATGAATGACTGACTGATCCCAAACAATCAAACAAACAAATAAACAAATAAACATATAAAGATACTTGCTAATCGACAATGTGTAGATCAAGATGTGTTGTATTGGATAGGTCAGTTTGTTATAATATTTGAGTCATTTGATGATGATGAGATGAGCTTGGAGCGTACAGAGAAGTTGCTCAGTCAGGCCATCGCCAAACCGGATTGGTGTTACTTCCTCTTGGTTGATCGTCAACATCTAACAACATTGGTGAAGAATACAGATGCAGAGCATATGGACCATTTGTACAGATTGTACATCGACTTGCTTCGTCTGTACAACGACTGTCCCCATTGTTATGAGAACATCGCTATGGCCTTTGGTGAAGAGCGAGTGAGTCAAGAACTACATCAATGTCTACTGTCGACACCAACATCGTCGCCAAAACTGCGATATGGATGGCTCAATGATGCCACCCGGTCCAAGGCAATGGCAAGATTCCTATCCTCGCACACTCAAGAGGTGTTTGAGTATGTACCTCACCTTCACTCATTCAATCAATCAATCAAATACTCACTCATTCCCATCACCTACTTAGTTACCTTGACTCAACATCATTTGGGACACTGTTACGTAGCTACTCGATTGAGCTTGATGTGATGATCTTGGTGCTACAAGATGATAAGCTAATGAGCAGTCAGAGGACCATGGAAAGGCTTAGGAGGATGGCGGACTTGGACACTATTAACGCCACCACTGATGGAATGGACAAGTTGTCATTATTACTAAGTCCACTCCTCACACCAGACAACCTATCAACCATTAGCTTGGGTTTGGACACACTCAAGAGTGTTCGTAGCCTGAATACCATAATCAAACTTATGGGCAAGTCATTCCCCGAGCATTACCAGATGTTTGTTGAGCACATCAAACGTGGGAACTGGAGCAAGGACGACAATCCCCTCATTCTATTGGATGCCATCACTCAGCACTACAATCAAACAACAACTATATATATGCTCCAACCTCTTGCCTACACCATAGGCGGACTCATATTGCTCGATGGAAACATTTTGAAGAAATGGCCTACCACCAAAGACACGCCAACAATCATTCGATCACTGATCAGACTGATGGAGATATGTAACGTTGACAACGACGACTATACAAGTGACACACCACCTAGAAATGATCATTTGTTCTATTTGGCGATGATATATTTGATTAGGATGTATGATGATATGGACCAAAGTGAGGCGCTCTCTCAGGACCTGGTACAAAGATATCCGATCATGACCAAACGATTTATTGACAAACACTTTCGACCGTTTCTGGGAGAGATTGGCCACATCAATGTCCACTTCCTTTCAACATGCAATGAACACTCACTGTTCGATCATGATGAAGAGAGGACGCATGAACTCTACAGGCTTGTCTTCATGCGCTTCCCCGACTCAAAAAGAGTGCACAGACTCATCAACTCATACATCAAGGCATCAGACATATGGACGCAACACGTTGATAACGTGATGAATGAGAGTAGGTCAAGCTCTGATGAATATTCAAGAACGTACCAAGAGTTAAGGTCACATATAACCAAGGCCAACATCTTATTGTTTAGTGGACCCATCAAGTACATACATCCAGCTTCAGTGTTGCACTTTCTCAAGTACTTGTACAACACAAAGTTGTATGAACAGCCAGACCACTTCACAGCTTCATCTTTGATCGACTACAAGTCGATCAAACAATCTTTGTTCAACAAGTTCAGACACAATGATGAGGCAAAGTACCAAAGTCTTCGCCAACAGTTCATCGAGATGAAGAGTCGATCATTCGTGGACCGCCCACCACCACTTGTGGTCGACCCGACCTTGTGGCACACACTACCGCCACTCATTGTGCGACACATTGTCGACTTCCTTGTGATGGATGGCCGTAGTGATCGGTCTACTCACTCGCGATGGGTCCTATCACTGTCGACCGTTTCCAAACAATTACATCGCGCAACAATGATGTCTATCTCGAGCAACCCTGTGCCGTCCCTTGGCATCATCAGGACACTCAATCACATTGGATCGACCTATTGTCTATTCCAGAATGCTCCTCTTCATCTGGATATCAACTACATCCAGTATATACCCATACAGTATCTTGATAACATGTTGGAGTATTTGGAATCGTTGACGCTGCCCATTGACGATGAATTCATGTGTCAATACGATGACAATCACTTTGATTACATTAATGATGGTGATCGAAAACTAATGTTCGTGGCCATCAGCAATCCCATGCCGCGACTCAAACACATAGAGTTTGTCGAGGAGTCTAATCTATTTTATTATGATGTCATTGGGAATATGATGAAGGATCCTACATTGAGACCGTGGATCAAGTTTGTCGATCCAGACAAGCATCAAGAAAGGTTTTATGCAGAGGAGCAATTCGAACATATATATCAACATTATATCAAGGATAGACCATCTCTCGAGTCCATTAAGTATCGCACTAGTTCGATAACCAATCCTCTTCCTCACCATCCCAACAACCCAAGGCAACAGATATCAAACACATACCACGTTGTCAATTATCACAATGGTGTACCCGTCTACCTGGACAAGGAAGTGCCACACGCCACATGCGTTCATCTAAATATGTTTAAAGCGAATGTTCAATCCATCCATAACATGATGTATCTGACCAATCTCACCACTTTGATTTTGGAGGGCGATTACCATCCAAAGTTGGGAGATACCCTACAAGCATTCTATCAACAATCCAAACGATTGGAGACTTTGGTCGTCAAATTGCCAGACTTGGACGATGTCCTCAACGTTCTCCCTCGCAATGGACACAGCACAATACAATCATTACATATCCAACTCAGCGATACCGATCTGTTGGCAAGATCAGAAATGGACAAGGACAACACATTACGATCTGAATTGGAAACAATGGTGCAACTTCTTGGACAACCAATATTCAATCGATTGACGAGGTTCACCATCCATCTGGATCAAGACTTTAAAGGTCGTCGTATCACCCCACTCAATCAAACACTCGTGGCATCAATGTTGAAGCCATTGCACTTCCAACCTGATGCCTACGACAGGACTGCCTTCTACAGACTATCTGACTGACATGTGTGAGTCCGATGACGAGCTACAATGGTGTCTCCTCACAGACTCCATGGTCACCACTCGCAAATGAGCTCACACCCTCAGTTGACCTAGGTCAACAACAAATATCCCGAATCAATGGTGTCCACGTGTTGCTATTTATGGGTTGTTCCCGTGTAGCTCGGAATAAACGTCGTTTTGATAGATCCCTACAGATATTTTCACACACAAACCCACAGGATTTGATCAGATTTTTATTCAAGTGTTGAATCATCACTCCCTTTTTTGGTTCCCAACCTTGGACCTTTGTCCACAGATCTATTACCAAACTACTACTTTTACTTTTGTATTTATCACATCTATTCTATCATCTTCATCATTGTACGAATAGTGAGCACTATCGGACATTACACGAAAATTATTATTATTATCATTATCTTAATGAGATTCATACTTTAATCCATCAAACTATCCATCAAGAAAGACTTTCTTTCGTTGAATCATTCAATCATACATACACTCAATTATACACTCGATCAAACATTTATATACACTGTTGTTGTTGAACATCAACTTATCGGACAATGTCCAAGATATTGTTACTTTTAATTATATTTACCTTGTTACAATGTACGTTCATCGTGGTAATCAATCAAACAGTGGTCCTTGGTCACCCCCACCCACACACTCACACACACAAATGATCACACCATCAATAAAATTTAGATGTTCAAGGATTAGGTATTATTAGTGATATGCAATATGTTGGAATGGGATCTGCAACAGATAAAGGATGTGAGACAGTTGCTTATAATATACAGTTTAATTCATCAGTTGCATTGGACCTCTATTCAATCAAATCAAACAAGTTTGCAATCACAACAAGGACATTGTACTCCAAACTACCACTACAAGCAGTACAGATAACAATTGCAAGTCTACCAGGTGGCAATAACTCAATATATCTAAATGTAACAGATGTCAATGGTACATTATCACGTGATGTCTATTTGGATAGATTCACATGTGATGTTGTAAAGACATCACCTTTGATCAGAAACATGACTACGTTCTTCTGGCAGAGTGATCTGGGCTCGACATATTCAGGTCGTGTATTTATAAATATAGCCAATGCCAATCCCAACTATCGATATACTGTTACCAACATCGATCCCAAGGCACCGATTGTCGCGAGGAACATGGTGGCTTACACTGGAACATACTATCGAATCGACTTCAACATCAATCCAGGATACAATCGCAGTGATCATGTCAATCTCAGTATCAAAGTGAACAACTTGTCTCAATTCTCAGCAAACATCACAATACCATTCCAATATCCAAAGACATGTAAGTGTACACTCACTCAATCGTTCAGTCTTTGGAACCATTCCAATCACTCACTCACTCACTCATTCACTTGATCACTTCAATCACTCGATCAATCAATTGATCATTCCATGGAACTATTCCAATCACTCCCTCGATCACTCATTCAATCATACTTACTCCTTTGATCACACGATCAATCAATCAATTCTAGATACCAGGACTACAAAGTTATTGAATCTTTATCCATTCCCTGCGAATAACAGTCAGTTTGTGGCAGGTGATGATTGGACACTGGCTTCAAACTCCATTATAAGTGCCATCGAAGTTAATTCTGAAGTGGCCATAGTGAACCCTCACGACCAGTACTTGGTGTCCAAGTTCATTCCCCTTCTTGGCAGTAAAGACAATGGCCTCTACAACCTATACTTCCCTATCACCAGCGGCACCTACGGTGTCCAAGAACCTTACAGTATCTACACCAACGATGTGAATTCGACCAAAGGCTCAACCATCGTCTATGGTATCAATGGACCAAAGATCACGCCAGTCATCAACATCACAGCAATCCAATCAACCGAGACTGATTGTTTCATCAGCCACCTCAACACCACATTGAACGCCATCAAACCGATCAACATTCAATTGTCTGGAATCATCCCCTTCCCCTACGGCTATCGATCGATACCAGGCAGCAGCAACTACAACTTCACCGTCTCATTTCCCGTGCCCAAGTATGTGCAGCAGTACTTCACGTCCGTCGAGATCTTTCACCTGTACATGTACCCAGAGATGAAGTTCGCCGTGTGGTCTCCGCCAGTGGGGGCGCCACCCTCGCCCCAGATCGTCGAGATCCAGTACCTTCCATTCTCCACCTACTCATTCATACTTCGCGTTCACATTGTCGGTGAATCATTCATGAAGTTGTTGGCCTACAATGCAGTGATCACATACTCCAAATTGGTGTCTGGCACGCTGGCCGACGGTTGGTACGAGGCTGAGTGCCACACGATCTTGCCGCCCGCCACCACCACCATTGGCTCAGCTTCCCTCTACAATCAACTGAGCGCAATCATAACATATAATTATGGGTCATCACTGCTCAATGTCAACTTGGACACACTGTCTGCTATCCCACCAGGATACAAGATGAACATCTCTGTCGAGGACATTGTATCTTACAAATTCGACCCTCCCACCGTCGACCTGTCCAACGCCACTGGCCGCACTGACCTGCTTTTTAAACTTCGAGCACCATTAATGGACATGACTGCCGAGCCACAAGTGTACATCCCCTCATCGACCACCTTCGGAACAAGCATCGACTTCTCATCAGTGTACACTGGCGCTTATGATCCCAGTATTGGAATGTACAGGGTACCTATCGACCTCAAGGCCAAACTATTCACACGTCGCGTGCCTTACTACTTGTTTGGTGCCAAGGTGTTGGACGATGCATTCTTGGCCGCATCCCCGTTGATTGGTAACAATGCATACCTCAATGTAAAGTCGGACTATGCCGATGAGTTTGGTCCAGTGGTCGTCAGCATGGATGTCACTAACGCCACAGCGATCATCCCGGCAACTCCAACAAAGAACACTACGCTTGGTTGGTTGCTGAGGATTGAGGATAAACCGAGTGGATTCAAGAATGGATATGCATTGATCACTTCAAAGTATGACAAACGACCAATGAATATATCATTCACATCATTCGATGCATTGAGTGGTAATGAGTTCTCTGGTCAATACAAGATCAACTTTACTGTCAATGGCAATTGTAGATCAGACACATATCAACTCGACCTCATCCTCTACGACTACCTTGGTAACAGTGCCACCTCAATCATGAACAGTCTATCACTTCGTGATGTGACCACTCCAGTCACCTCGCCATTCATCTACGTGACACGCAAGACCATCACCATCACATGCCAAAGTAAGTTCAAATCACTTAATCTATCAGACTCTGGAACTATTCCAATCACAGATACTAACATCACCCCCACCAATCTAGCCCCTCTGGACACTACACCTCCATCTTTGGTGAGTTTTGATATTACGAATAGTGTTGACCTGGGCTCACTGGACAGACGAGTGATTGTTAATATGGTGGTCAAAGATAATGATGGTGGATCAGGCATATCGTCTAATCCCAGACATTCTCCAATGGTCTACTTCTCATCTATTGGTATGGCGATCACATCATTGTCGATGACATTGGTATCAATCAATGGAATGCAAGCAACATATACTTGTAACTCATCATTACCATATGGATTTGGTACTGGAAGTGGAGTGTTGACCCTGTCCATATATGGAATCACAGACAATCACTATAATGTATTCGGTTACAACACTATCAATCTGCTGAATCTTGGCCTGCCATACTACATCAACACAACATTCAACATTCTACAACCTGTACTTGTATCACATAGTCCAATAACAACAAATGGTGGACGTATTATAATACGTGGATATAGGATGGGCTTCAACGACACCACATCCAACACAATCAAATGCACGATCAACTATGGTAATGGTGATCAGGACATCACTCCATCATTCATATCAAACCCTGTGTTTATGTTTCACCTTCAACCATTTGATTACAATGCCACATTGATCATATCGAACAATGGCATTCAATCAAACCTCTTGGTGATCATACCCTACACACCCAAACCCGACCCTCGGCCCACAGTCAAACCGACCACACCACCCATCTACCAATGTCCAGGTGACTGCTTTGGTAACGGCAAATGCACCGAAAACGGTTGCAAATGCACTCCCCCATGGTACGGAGAGTCATGTAACTCTAGTAAGTTGATTGATTGAGTTTGGAATTATTCCAGCCCCAACCCCATCACGCCTCACTCAAACTCACTCATACTCACACCTCCCAATCAATCACAGAGACCATAATAATCCCCAATCCAATGGACCCTGCTAATGGTCCAACAACGAATAATACTATTGAGGACCCATCAGGCATCTTCACGAGTATGGTGTCGGTGGTGTCGCTCAGGGAATTGGCTCCAGATGGCTCAATGGTGACAGAGTATAACTTTACTAAGTGGACATTCACCAACAACTCGCAAGACAACATGGCATATCAGTACTCTGCGCCACTGGGCGATGGAACACAGACTACAGTGGTCCGTGTGTTGGTTGAGTACTTTGAGAGTATAACCAACATTACATTCTCAGGCCAGGAGATCACGATGATGCCATCATCAATCAAGTACACAATCTCACTATCACCTTATGTCTTTGACAGCGTGGTCAACACATTGCAGTTGATCATGTCTGCAAGTATGGAGTCGACCAACACAAGTGGATGCGCGGCCAGTGAGATTGGCTACACGGACGAATCCAGTCTGAACAGTCTCCAGTGGATCAAACTCAAGATTGGTGACAAGAGTCTGTATGGACGCTTCCTGGCCAAGGGTCTGATCGACGGACGCATCGCCTCGATCACCAATCGCAAGTTGAGTGAGTCGTCCCTGTCAAGCACCAAGGCGTTCATCTTTGTGGGCATGAGTGTGCCATTCTTCACGCAGTCTGTCGTGCTCGACCCTGACTTCTCAATGTTGCTCGATCAGACTGGCACTGGAGGGTCGTGTGGCGGTGGACAACCCACTGGTCTCAGTCGATCTTCATTGATCGCCATTATTATTGCCGCCAGTGTAGTAGTCGCGGCAGTCATTGTGGCGGGACTAATGTACGTCTTCAAGAGGAGAAAGTATGATCGCGAGAACAAGAGTATGGAAATAAACATGATGCAGGGCAGCCAGAGTTAGGCCTTGCCCTCACCAATCAAGATATATGATCAATCAAGATATATGAGTGCACTGAATGATTGATTGGGTGAATGTATGATTGATTGATTTATGAAGAGTACACTTTGAGCATGACACATCCGTGACTTGGGATGTTGAGTGAGAGGTAGCTACCAGTGAACACTCCAAGATCTTGACGCTCCCAGAGGTCGCGCACGGTCATCTGATCACCAGACATCAGCCAGATATCAGCCCACTCAAGTTGGATGGAAGCCGACGATGTGTCCCTGTTGAAGAGGACGACTGCACGTGAACCATCAGCCAGAGGTCTCGCCCACACTTGAGCCAGACCACCATTGATCGAACGTACAAGCTTGCCCTGCACTCCAAGTGGGTCCTGATTGATTGCAATCACTTCTGGTGCTGACAAGATGCTGAGGGTCTCCTGGTCCATGTTACGGAGGTCATTGCCAGCGATCAAAGGTGCGTTGAGCAGCGACCATAGTGAGAACTGCGAGGTGTACTCGGTGTTGGTCATGCCACCATTGCCAACCTCAAGCATGTCGGGATCATTCCAGCCTCCAATAGTGGAGTACGAGGCGATGTCGATCTGATGGTCGAGGTTGAAGAGGAATGAGTCCCAGTTGTCAGCAATGTCCTTGGTGGTACGGAATGAGTTGCCCACTGTGGGTCCCCACTTCCATGGCTTGTCGGTGCCCCAATCGCAGAGCGAGAAGAAGATTGGGCGACCAGTCTCATTGAGTGCCTTGGACATGATGGCATAGCGCTTGGGTGGGTCCTCGATATAGGCGTAGCACCAGTCCTCCTTGAGATAGTCGATGCCCCACGAGGCATAAGTCTGGGCATCCTTCTCCTCATGATCAAAGCTACCTGGACGTCTCTGGCAAGTCAGCACACCAGCATCAGTATAGATACCCAGCTTGAGTCCAAGAGAATGAACATAGTCTGCCAAGTAAGCCATTCCATGTGGGAATCTTTCCGAATCTCTTTGGAATTGATTGATTAATTGAGTGAGTGTGGAGGGGTGGACCTATTCCGGAAGAATGAACTTACGGCGTAATGTGTCCGGTCGAGTTTCTCTCTCCTTGCCAGCAATCATCAATGTTGATGTAGGTGTATCCAACATCCTTCATACCATTGGAAACCAAGGCATTGGCAATCTCCATGATGATGGTCTCATTGATCTCACAAGCAAAGTAGTTCCATCTTGATGTCGTGATGATGAGGTAGGGAAAGATGAATGGTTAGGATGGAATATATCACTAACTTTGGATACTGATTACATACGTGCTCCAACCCATTTGAGGAGTGAGACCAAGACCATTATCAAGTGCGATTACTTTTGATCCACTTGACATCAAGGCCAAAGTGATCATCACTGACAATATAATATGATGTGATAAGTTCATTGTTATAATTTGTGTATATATATGAATTGAATTGAATTGAATTGAAATTGAATGTATGAGGTCACCAGTTCCAATCAATCACATTGTGATTCAATGCCATCTGGCATTGCCTTGTCCTTTGCGAATGAATGAAAAATCGTAAATTGAGTGTTTGATTTCAATTGCCGACACACCCACATCGGGCACGATGACCTTCTTGTTGACCCGAACATGTTTGGGCATAATCCCGATATCCATGGTAAGTACTTAAACCCAAAGAGAAGGTGCATGAAAGATGACCTTCGAAGACCTTATCAAGGTCATCGTTATGTGTGGTTTGATAAGATGATGATGACGACGACATTGATTAATTCATCGACTCTTTTGTTCATACGTTCATTCATTCAACCATCCACTTTTATTGCTATAATTATAATTATATATCTGTACAAATATATATAGGATGTGACAATAGAAAGAGTTATATATAACTCTTGAGGTGACCCATTCTTTCAAAGTCGAGAGTCACACAAACATGCTTTGGGATTGTGGAAGTCCAACCACCAGAATCGATCAACCCCCAGGAATGTCACCATTTTTCAACCAAAATTTCAGAGTTTGTTGATTGGTTCAAAGACTCTCTTTATCTCATTCATACATTTAATACTAATACTAATATAATAATAATAATAGGTTTGATGATTAGTCTACATTGTCATATAATAAAGGATCAGCATCATCACAATCAATAGCATTACGTATACTCTCTCTCTCTCTCACTCACTCACTCACTCAATCAATCAATCAATAATGCATTACAATAACATTCATGATGACGAATATTAGAAGCAGCAGCAGTAGTAGTGGCAGCAGTAACAACAATAACAACAACAATAATAATAGTACATTGACATATCAACAATCAAGTGAAATAGATACAGTTGTAGATAATATACATTCAAGCTTTGATAATCATGATCATCACGCTGCTCATCATCATCATGATGTTGACGATGATGACAGTAATGACAACAACAACACTCATCACTCAGTATTAGACATGTCATTCTCATTCAATAGCACAGCATCAATATCACCACAGAAGCCTGGATACTGGCTAACACGTATCAATAGTGGACTGTTGACACTTGTCTTTCTCGAACTGTTGTTCATCTTTGCCTACGTCATATTCGTGCGACACTTTGTGATTGTGGCTGCGGGCTCAACCTATGCATCACTTATCGGTGGCACCATCATCCTAGTCTTCTTCCACCTGCTCCTCATCATCGTACAGGCATCACTCTTCAAGACAACCTTTACAGATCCAGGAACCATCCCAGATGGTTTCCCAAATGATGTAAGATATGATATGATCATCACTCATTCATATGATCACTCACTCAATCAATCATTCAATCAAACAGATATTCTCAAAGGCAGAGAGTCTGATATATGAGACAAACAGTCAGGGCAACAAGAGGAAGTGCTCAAAGTGCCAGAAGATCAAGCCAGACAGATCACATCACTGTTCAAAGTGCAAGCGTTGTATTCTAAAGATGGATCATCATTGCCCATTCGTCAACAACTGTGTTGGATTCTTCAATTACAAATACTTTGTACTCTTCCTGTCGTGGACAACCATACTCTGCTTCTATGTAGTTGGCACAAGCTTTAGCAACTTCCTTCTCGTATTGAATAGGGTAGGTACACACTACACATCCAGCCAGCCATCCAGGGCCTGACTGTCCATGGACATTGATCAATTCTTCACTCAATACTATACTAACTAACTAACAAACGAATAACAGAATGGAGATCCAGATATATTCCTTGGAGTTATATTCATCATTGCATTGGTATTTGGATTGGGCTTGTCCGCATTCGCATTCACTCACATTGGCTATATACTAAAGAATACTACAACACTGGAACACATGGAGAAGAAGTCGCGATTCAGTCGTCCGAGCACCACAAAGTTCTCGGTCTATGACAAGGGCCAGTATCAGAACTGGTGTCAAGTGTTTGGTAGCGAGCCTCTCAAGTGGTTCCTGCCCATCGCTCCTCGATACACATTGTCGTCGGGCATGATCTATCCAGTCAACTGCACAGAGGACTCTCCACTGATAGGATGTTGAGCACTCGCGCGGGACCAATGCTAACATTGTATAGATCGATCACTCACCTCATCTCATCCCAATTCAAAGAGCAATAATAGGCTTCAAAAGGGGATGAGACAGTATCCAGGCTGCACTACCCATGGAAGAGAACACCAGACGGCTTCTAACCAATCAATCTGATTGGTGCCAATGGCAAATAATACAGTTCATTACAAGTCCAATACTCTTGGAGCAGAGGACATTTGTCCAGTGGTACTAAATACTTTTGTTTGATTGTTTGAGATTTATATTATTATTATTGATACTAGAGATGCCCATTATGATTGAGTGATCTAGTGAGGACGACAGTTAGAGATAGACGACTGCATCATCATTCTTGAATCATACAAGCTGCGTCCCATCCATTATTGTCGATCTTGTCATTGACGTATGACCAACAGTTTGATTGAACTGAGTAATGATAGCAATGGTTTTTGCCATAGAGAGATATGATGGTATAACAAACGATGGAGATAATTGACTCCCCTTGGTCCAGGAGCGAGGTGGTACATTTGGCACAGATCGGTCAAGCTCTTTGTCGACAGAGTGTAGCGATAGAACCTGTCTGCGGGGGACTTCTTGACAATAAAGTAGAGGTTGTCGTGGCCATCGAAGCAACTGGTGCCAAATTCAGTATAGAGACCCAAGTCGTTTGCATTGACAATCACCACCGTGGCCTGGGTTTGGAGGTTGAATGTGACTATGTCCGAACCTCTTCCATTGCTAACAGCAATGATTGAGTTGTTGTGAAAGTGCATGAAGTTGGCATTCGGTCGAAATGGCATGCGTCCAAAGTTTTCGAACTTCTGGGTGGCGAGGTTAAAGCGATCGACCCGCTCCATATATCCCAATTTTCTTTTAAATCCTCCAATGAGATATATATGATTGTTACCATCATATATTGCTGACGCTTGATCACAGCCAGCGATGCCAACAATCGGTGCCTCATACCAATGTTTCTCGGCCACTGAGTATCGATGGTATTTATACATTCCACTTTTGCTTCCAAACGCATAGACTTGGCCACGGGCTTAGACGATCGATCTAAATACTCCGCCCCTCTTATTAAAATAGGCATTACTGATCGTTTCCCTTCTCATATTCCCAAATGAGAACAAAGTTGTGTTACAGCCTTGCAGCGTCATGATGCATCCAGGTGATGATGTCTTCCAAACATGTGATTGAGCGGTCAGTTGGAAGCATGATTCAATCTGCTTCCTGATACCATTCAACTTGATGATATCAACGTTGAATTGAAGTGTCTCCACCAACTTTGATGAACTGACATCATCATAAGGTACTTGGTGCATGTGTTGAGTGTGACGAATGATCGTTGACATCAGTTCATCATCATTGATATTGAGTTGTGCCTGGTCTTCACCTAATTGATGTTGATGTGATCGTGATTGAGTGTTCAGTTTGTTGATGAACTCGTCGATTGATGTGCATTTCGTGATAGACTCAATCACTTCATTGATCTCATCATCATGATCATCGCTGTTGGTTGATATGATTGAGTGATCACTTTGTTTATAGTTGATGATATGATTGATTTGATTGATCTCATTGATGATGTTGTTGATTGTTGATTGAATATGTGACATCTGAACATTGAATTGAGTCTTGGCTTTGTGCTCCTCAGCGATGATCACCTTGATCAGTTGTTCAAAGTGTGATGTAATTGATGACCGAGTACTCTCCAATGATTGATATGTTGTTGAACACAACTTCAATGTGCTCCACAGATGCTCCAGCCTTGATGTGCACCACATTGATTGTTTATCATTCTCGATACTCTGTTTAATCCTATCGACGTGATCCACCTTATGACCTTGATGGTTCTCAACACTATATTGATCACATACCAACATCACACAATTGAAACAAATGGACTCTGTCCTCTTCTTGTGTTCCTGACAATCCATCTTTATTATCTCTATCTTTGTCTCTTTCTCTACTCTCTTTGTTGTTGAATGAAACTGGACTCTGTAAAAGTTGCTTCAAAACTGTGTGAGGGCAAGGGCGAGGGCGAGGGCGAGGGCAAGGGTTGAAGTGCTCGATTTTATTTATTAATGATTGATGGATGATGGAATGGTTGGACGTGTGATTGGTTGAGTAATTGATAGCTGAAGCAATGATTGTTATTGACGATCAATCAAACAATCACTCACTCTGGAATCAAACAAGCTGTACTCCATCCACTATCGATGATTTTGTCAGTGATTGGAGTCCATTGGTTTGATTGAATTGAGTATCTAAAATGATTGTCATCAATATATAGGGCTATGATACTGGATGTTGATCGATCGTATAAAAGAATGCCTTCGCCATCCATTGTTCCTTCAGGAGGCTGGCTCAGATTGGTCAATTGTTTGCTGGACAATGTGTATCGAATGAACTCGACCCTGTCTTCATATGTATATTTGATAATGTAGATGTTGTCCTGGCCATCGAAGCAACAGGGGCCAAGATTATTGTGTCCAAAGTCGACAGGCTTGACGAGCACCTTGACGGCCTGGGTCTTGACGTTGAATGAGAGTATTTGGGTTTTACGATCATCTGTACGGCCAACAACAATGACCGAGTTGTTGTGGAAATGCAACACATTGTCGATCAGTGGACTTGGAAAGCGTCCGAATCGTTCAAACTGTTGCGTTTCGATGTTGAAGCGATCCATTCGATCAAAATACGTGCGCCGATTCTTATCTAATCCTCCCGCGAGGTAAATATATTTGTCGCCGTCAAAGCATGTTGATATTGATCCTCGACCATCAATTCCAACAATGTCGGCATCATACCATTGTCTCTCGGCCAGTGAGTATCGATGATATCGAGATGGTTCTTTCCATCCTCCAAACACATAGACATTGCCACGAGCGAGGACTATCGAGTTCAACACTTCATCCACTTTAGTGTTTAATGCATCCTTGATTGTAGTACTCTTCAAAGTGTCCAATGACAACCATGAATAGTCCCGGCCATTCAGTGTCATGATGTGTCCAGCTGATGTCTTTCCAACATTTGATTTAGTGGCAGTGGGAGTGGCGATCAGTTGGAAACATGACTCAATTTGCTTCTTAATACCATCCAACTTGTTGACATTAATGTTGATTCGATGTGTCTCCACCAACTTTGATGAATTGACATCATCATAGGGTACTTGATGCATGTGTTGAGCGTGACGAATGATCGTTGACATCAGTTCATCATCATTGATATTGAGTTGTGCCTGGTCTTCACCTGATTGATGTTGATGTGATCGTGATTTAGTGTTCAGTTTGTTGATGAACTCATCGATTGATGTGCATGTGCAAGTGATCGATTCAATCACTACATTGATCTCATCATCATGATCATCGTTGTTGGTTGATATGTTTGAGTGATCACTTTGTTTATAGTTGATGATATGATTGATATCTTTGATCTCATTGATGATGTTGTTGATTGTTGATTGAATGTGTGACATCTGAACATTGAATGGTGTCTTGACTCTGTGTTCCTCAGCGATGATCACCTTGATCAGTTGTTCAAAGTGTGATGTAATTGATGACCGAGTACTCTCCAATGATTGATATGTTGTTGAACACAACTTCAATGTGCTCCAGAGATGATCCAACCTTGATGTACACCACATTGATTGCTTATCATTCTCATCGATACTCTTTTTAATCCCATCGACATGATCAATCTTATGACCTTTATGTGTCACTACACTACATTCAGGACACACCGACATAATACAATCGAAACAAATGAACTCTGTCCTCTTGTTGTGAACTTCACAATCCATCTTTATCTCTATCTCTATCTCTATAATCCTCAAGAAGTAAAGTAATAAATAAAACTTCAAACAAACTGCGGACCATCCATTGTTGATGAATTTGTTCGGTCGAATAAAGGACTACAATCGACATGCATCGCTCCTGGAGGAGGGTCGCTCAGTTCGGTGAATTGTTTGTTGGACAACGAGTAGCGAGTGAACTTGTCACATCCGACCTGATCATACTGGACAATGTAGATGTTGTCATGGCCATCGAAGCAACTGGCGACAAAACTATTGCCATTGTCAGTATTGACAAGCATCTCAGTGGCCAGCGTCTGGACGTTGAATGATAGTAATTGAGTCAACTCGGATGACCAGTCAAGGGCAAGGATGAGACTGATATCAAAGTTTGTTGAGTAATAAATTAAATGTAGTTCGTAGACCTAATGTCAATCAATGACTTAGTCAATCATTCAATCAATCAATCTTTTACAAGTATTAACTACTGCACTAACACTCTTCATTAATTGACCATGAGTGAATGAGCTACACCAATATCATGACCCTTCCCCTATCACCACATCCACCCCGTTTCATGGGGAACTACTTATGCACCAGTGGTGCCAATACTCAAAAAACAGAGAGATATTTATCACTTTCCATGTCTATTTCTCATTCTCACACACACACACTAACATACAGAGATACTTGCTTGCTTTGAAAGTTAGCAAAGACAAGGCAAGGCAAGTCAAGGCAAGGTCCACTCCTCCTCATGAACTCTGAATGAACTGAGGGCATACACTGACTATGTTTGATTGTAACCCAAACAATCAGATCTCTCGTCCATTTGATCATCCAACAACATCCTATCTACAACTCTATGTTTACTACTAATTTATAACTTTGAAAGAGAGAGACGACCAGTGAGTCACGAATTACTACTATCTCTATCTCTATTTGTATTCTATATTATAATATAATATTTATTTGTAATCAATCTAACTAATCAATCAAACTAAACGATTCGATAATAATAATATACTTTAAAAGTGACGTCTTACTACGAAGCTCAATCAATGATGATGGATGATTCTGGTTTAATTAGCTTTGAGAACTATCTCAATGGTGGCAATTTGGAATCGAGTCTCATTAATGTGAAGATTGAAAGTCCTACTTCACCGACGATGGGCATGGGCGGCGGTGGCTCAAGCAATGGCGGCATCGAGGAGCTAAACACCACGCCACAGACAATGTCCTTGACATCATCGTTGAGAGACCTCCAGTTGCCATCGCTGTCGATGCCCTCGACACTCGACCTCCAGAACTCGGCCGCCGACTCGTTCCAACAGCTGGTGCAGCAATCCACCTATCCGACCACCTACACCAACCTCTACAACAATAACAACGCCACTGAGTGCGACCCCACGCCAGCGCCCGCGCCACACCCATCCTCCATCGTGCACCACCAGCTGATCAATCATCATCTTCAGCAACAGCCACTAATCCGACCGGGCGGCAACGGCACCAACACCTTGATGTACCAGCCGCTGCCCCTGCAACATCAACAACACCAACAACATCAACAACAGTCTATTTATAATCCTGTACAGCATCAACAGCATCAGCAGCAACAGCAGTCTATTTATAATCCAGCGCAACAACATCAACTTCAACAGCAACAACAACAACAACAGACATCAACGACTACGACTACGACAAACAACAACACAACGACTCTACCTGTATTCATTCCTTCGACGACACAACTCCAGACCACAGGCAACAACAATAATACTCTTCACAACTATGGCCAGTCACTCCTGGCGGGCGGCACGCAGCAACAGCCACAGCAACACCAGACACAGTTCACCGATCTTTTGTCCGACGAGCAACAGGCCTCACAACCCTCATACATCGTTGGCAACCAGATCATCAAGCAATCACCCTACGCATTCATCAATCCATCCCTCCTGCCGCTCTCACAGAACCATACTCAGGTGATCGTCGGTGATGTAGATATAACCATTGAGCAACAGCCACCCTCGGACGTGAGGACGCGAACGCCAAACGATCGTCGAACATTCAACTGTGTGATCAGGGTCGTGGGCGACTTTGCCAAGAACAACATCACCAACGTACTGGCGCAGCTGGCCTACGCCAACACATACACCGAGCGGCCATCGCAGGACATCCTTGGCGGCAACAAGGTAGTGCCCGTGGGCAAGGATGGCAAGGCCGTCTTTGATAGCCTATCTATGACTGAGGCATCCACCAAGCATCAAGAGAACGAGTTCTGTCTCGAGTACATCCTACTCACTGATGACAACAAACGATTCATTCTGTCTACTGGACAGCCATTCCTCAAGCGATCCAGGCCCTTCTACGCCTACTCTAATCAAAAGGTCTTGTCAAGAAGAAGTAAGTTCATTCAATCAATCAATCATTCATCATCCAATCCACTAACTCGTCAATCAATCAATCATCCAGGAAACGTAACATTGAGGACTTTGAGCTCGAACAAAGGATCATCGCTGGGCGGTGACCAGATGCACGTCGTTGGCTCACCTTTTATTCGATGCAATTCACTAAGGTGTATCTTTCATACAGCACATGGCGATATCCCCGCCAACAACATCGAGCTGTTTAGTGAGTCGGTCCTGTTCTTCACGCTGCCGCCCTATCCTGCACCGCCCAACTTCTGTCCACCAGACGGCACCGAGTTGGCGGTCCAAGTGGTCACAACCAACGACGGCAGGAACTACAGCAACCCACTACCCTTCACCTACATCTTTGAGAATGGAGGTGCCAAGCGTCTGAGGTCGCGATTCTAGACCAGTGTCCAGTCAATACACACATCGCTATCTTTAGATACATGATACGGAGCATTGCAATGATTGTTTGGTTTATTCCTTGACCTTGGTAACGACTTTGAGGTTGTCTAGACTGTATCGATTGGGTGTCGCGTGGAATGTATATTGGGCATGCAGTTGGCTGCCTATTGTGTTGCTATTGCTATTGTTGTTGTTGCCAGTCACAACAGGAGTGTACTTCTTTACATTCATTATAAAGGTCTTGTCAGTGATGGCTGTTGTGGACAATGATGATGCTCCGGCCACTGATGTCGCTGTTGCCGTTGATGATGTGGACGATGGCGTGGTTGGCCCTTGTAGTACCAACTTTGTTGGTGTCTGGATCGTTTGATTGGTATTATCAACAACATGATGATCAGACATTGCGTGATCTATGATTGTATCACTTGATTGCGCTGGTGGCACTTGTGGTTGTATTTGAAGTATGAGTGATGCCCATCTCTGAATGATATAAAAGTATCGATATCCATCATGATGCAAGCTGTCAGTGACAATGGCACGACACTTTACTGGTTGATTCCTTCTGTTGTTCAGGGTCAGTCATATGCAAAATTGGTTGATTGGCATGATGTACATACTTTTGTGTATTGATGTAGTGCAGAGTATCCTTCAAGAATGCCAAGGTACGTCCAAAGATCAACTTGGTCCTGTCAGAGTATAGGCCAAAGTAGCTGGTGATGTCATCGATCAAGATGAGATCGGGAAGTAGATTGAGTGAGGGGAACTCCATAAAGTACTGTCTGAGGTCAGAGTCACGTTCAATATACTTTATCTTGATATGCTTTAGATATACATCGTTGTGGCTTGGCATTGATTGATTATGTCCAGTTCCAACAACATCCTTGATTGGCATTATTGGCAGTGTTTGATTGAATCTCTTCTTATCACAAATGAACAATACAGTATATCCTTGCTTTGCATATGTATATCCATATTGAAATAGCATCGATGTCTTACATCTGTTTGATCCATCATAAAGTTAGTTAGGTCGTGGCGCATGTCAATCTTTGATCAATGATTACAATACGATACATACGACTTTTGAGGACCTATTAGAAATGATAACTCTGATTGATATCTCAATGAGTCTAGAATGGATGTGTCATCGATTGTGCCATAACCAAAGAATCGAAGTATGTCTACACTTGTTGTGTCTTCAAATTGATATTGATCATCTTCAAGCACTAATGAGCGAGTTGGCTCATCATCATTCATTTGTTGTTGTTGCTGCTCATCATCCATTATATGTATATATACTTATCTATCTATGTATAATTATTATTTGTTTACATGATTCTTTCATTCAACAGTTATCTCTTTGATTGAAGTTGGTCAGATCTGAAATTATTGGAAATCAACTAATTTCTCATTTTATTGCGATTCATGAGAAGTTGACAGGGTCGCGACTGATGGACTTTATCTTGTTGGCGCACAGGTTGACAACTTGTAATGCTCCAATGTCATATCCACGATTGATTATTGATTCTAGTGTACTTAATTGTTGATTGATTGGCATGTTGGTAAAGTGTGATGAGTTGAAGAGGAACTCAAGTGAGTGATAAGCATTTTTATCACCCAAGGATAGAAGTGATCCAACTGTTGGTTTGTCGACAAAATATCCAAGTTCAACTCCTGGAAATCGTTGTTGAAGTAATTGTACAATATATGGTTTGTCCACCGTCAATGCTTCAGAGGAGAAATGGTACAATAAATTGTCACCGTGATCAAGTTGGAACTGCTCCAATATGTACATGTTGATGAAATGTTCAAACACTTCCGGGTTTGGATTGAGGATGGCGAAGATACAAGTTTTTGGGTTGTTTCTGATATGTACCAGGTGATCCAACATAAAGATAATGTCCTCCAATGATGTGGACAAGGCGATGAATCTGAATGCCGGATCCTTGAAATTCTTGAGCTCTGCAGGCTCAAAATATTTGAATAATATCTCCATGGTCGGCCTGCACAACTGATTGACACAACTAACCAAGGAGTAAATGTTTCTAAATTGACTTTGTTCAAAGTGAGGTGAGGCCAGTAAGAACTGTGTCAGTCGCGCTGAGTTTGCAGCGGCCATCTTCAGCGAGACATTCGAGCTGGATGAATGGCTGATGTTGCAATTGGTCATCATCTGGCAGACCATATCGTCGGTGATGTTGCTTCCTGGAATGCCAATGGCTTCGACCATGTTGACGATCGTTTGGTTTGTCATCTTCAAGGGGGTGGCGCGTCCTGGACGCGCAATGCACTCTGCCATTGATTTTGACAACCTTCGACAAACCTTGGCACTCAAATCTAATCCCGAGTCCATTCCATCGAGGTTTGATTGATCAAAGGCGACCGTGTCATCATTCCTTATTGCGAACTTTGGTGAGATGCGTATCCTCGTGTAGTTGGAGCCAGCTACAAAACATCCATCAAAATATTGTGCCAGTGTTGTCCTTTTGTGATCAACATGATTATCGAGTAGATATTTGATGAATGTATAGTGGCCTCGGTTGACAGCCTTCTGTACAAGTTGGTTCATCTTCCTCAAGATGAGATTCCTTGGCGGTTTGAACACGTTGAACATGTTGACATTCCCATTCTTTGCACAAAGCTTTAGACATACGACAAGCAATGAGAGGTAGTTCGCTCTAAACTCAGACTTTGATATCCCTAACCCGTTCAAGATGAATTGAACACTGTCCACGAGGTTGTACTTGACTGAATGAATGAGAGCCGAAGTCCAGAGATGAGACAGTCCAAAGAGACAGTTGAACTCCACGTGCAGCATCCTCAGCATTGGAATACTGACGCCATGACACTTCAAGAATTTGAAGGTCCTTACAATGAGATGATCGTAAATGCCCCAATCATTAATGTTGAAATGTTGGAGTATGATACGCACAAATTGTTCGTTGCCCGTGTCCAGGGCCAATGGAAGATGTTTGATCGTGTCAGTTGATAGTCCGTGTGTCGGTGTGGCGAGGTATAGTTGTAGTATCTCGATGTTGCCATGAAGGAATATTCGTGCAATATCATCATTGTTCAATGTTGTACAATTTGGGAAGTTGTTGTAAATATGTTTGAACGCTGTAAAGTTGTTGCAGACAACTGCCAATGATGGGCTTATTGGTGGTGTATCTCTGTCGATCTTGACTTTAGATATTATAGAATTGAATGATTCTATAAACATAGCAGTTGCATTGAATTGTAACATCTGTGATAATAAACCATCGGCATGTAGTTGGGCACCTTTGATCACCTCTGGTTTAGCGAGAGCATGAGCTTCGGCTGACATCATAATTCTTGAATATGATTGTTTATAAACACATAATCTTCTATGTATATCACTGATATGATCAAATATCAGTCTACACAATACTTTATTGTGGAATACTATATATATAGTACTACTACAACTCATTGTCACTACTTATTATTATTTGTTTGATTGCTTGAATTTATCTCTTTGCTAGGAGATGTTCAAAAAGTTAACCCTCATTTCCAACTTCGCAAACTTCAAGACTCAAAGTACCTCGAATACAAAGGTTCATTCTTGTTGTGCACAACCTCGAGGAAAGAGATATATAAATAGAGATACATATATAGCAATGGAGACTGAAATAGTGGACTTGAAGAACCAGCTTGATAATGCTGTGAAGGAAGATGTATGACTCTTACATAAACACAAACTCACTCATTCACTCATTCACTCTCATTCACATTGTGAATGAATGAGATGAGACAAGAACAAACATACTTTCATTCATTCACATACTGACTTGTTCATTCATGATGATATCATAACAGGACACAGATTCAATCATTGCACTGCTGAAAGCTATATCATTGTTTGAACTTACAAAGGATTTGTTGAGGGTAGGTTGATATTAAGACACAGAGACGAATAAGAACAAGTATATTCACATCAATGAATCAATGAATCAATATAACAGACAACAATGATTGGTAAATCAGTAGGTCTACTGAGGAACAACAAGAATGAATCAGTATCGTCAGAGTCGAGTGCATTGGTACTCAAATGGAAGAAGCAGTTGGACTTGCCATCCAAGCCAACTACTCCAACACTGTCCTCACCAGCATCACCAGTCACATCAGCAGACCAAGCATCAAACAAGAAGCGTACATCTGCCAAGCCACCATCATCCCCATCCATTGCATCATCATCCCCAGAGCCCTCCTCACACTCCAAGTTGACTCCCTCCCTCAAGAGGAAGCTTGACGTCAATGGTATGCATGCATGACTTAACGAACATGATTGATTGATTGATCGACTAATATGTGATGTACATACAGAGGACAACAACAACAACAACAAGTCGAGTGACAACAACAACAACAACAACAGCGGAAGTGTAAAGAAAGAACAATCATCGATACCAATCAAGAAACAGCCAATGGCACGTCCAGTCGAATTGCCATACATGTCAGACGATATGAGATCAAAGACGATGAAGTTGCTTGCAGACTCACTTCAAGTGACAGAGCCAACAGTGATTCACTACAACGAAGCTGCTGCCTCCATTGAGAACGAGCTGTTTGCAATCCACGAAGGCTGCACCAGCGAGTACAAGGCCAAGATCAGATCCATCATTATGAATCTCAAGATGAACACACAATTGCGTGACTCTATCCTCAGCGACAATCTCGGAATCAACAGATTCTGCAAGATGGATGCAACGGTATGATGTCGATCGATCATACAATCAATCGATCAATCGTTCGAGACTTACTGACACTACATGTACAATCCTAGGAAATGGCAAACAAGGAACTGCAAGAGGAAAGACAAAAGATGGCAAAGTTTGCGAGATTGGCGGCAACATTGGGTGGCAACGAGGCAACTACAGATCAGTTCCAGTGTGGCAAGTGTAAACAGAGAAAGTGTACTTACTACCAGATGCAGACAAGATCAGCTGATGAGCCAATGACAACATTTGTTACCTGCGTCAATTGTAACAATAGATGGGTAAGACACACTGAGGGGCTGCCGGGCGGACATTCACATACATGAACTAACATTCATCATTCGTCGACGACTACACTCATCTAGAAATTCTGTTAATAGGATATATTTATACAAGCAACCGAAGAAAAACAGATTGGACGGACGGTCGGGCGAAGGGAGTGAGGACAACACAGCTAGTGCTGTGATCAGTGGCGTTTACACCAAACACAATGTATCAAGTTGACAACAATGATGTCATTCAATCATTCATTCATTCGTTCATTTATTCATTCATTGTCGACGCGTCAGAGGATGATGAGTTCAATACTTGAATGAGTTGACGGAGTGTGCTGATTGTGGATGCGACGTCTGGCAGGTTGGAGATTGATCGTTGTTCGAGTGCAGGGTACATCCAAGGGTTGATCACTTTGGTGAATGACTCTGGCGTGGGACGCAGGATGGCCTCCCAATCTGGCTGCAGGTTCTTTGGTAGTGGTGCGTCGACCTCGTATCCAAGCGAAAGGAAGACACCAAGCAGCACAGTGTAGCCCACGGCAGCGCTGCCACGTGTCAGTGGCATGAAGTTGTACCAATAGAATGTGATTCTGAGTATTGCATCGCTAATCTCGCCAAGTAGACGAACAAGTTTGGTGTCTGCTTCCTCCTCGGCGCATTCAATCATCTGATAAACCTTGCTACAGAGGTCGTTCCACGCCAGGGTCATCTCCTCGTCATAGTCCTTCCAACGCTGTGGCGTGCAGGGCGTCCTGATGGCAAACTCATAGCCCTCTGGCGAGGCGTATTGTAGGGTTAGTCGCGTGCCCTCCATCAGGTGGCCCGGACGGAAGGTGCTGAGACAGGGCGTCACCACGTAGTAGTCCTTCTTCATGATCCTGTACATGTCCTTGCAGTCGCTGGCGTTGTTGCAGTCGACCAATACCTGGTCCTTGACCTGCTCGGGGAACTGGATGGGCAGGAGCATCTTCATGTTTTGGAAAGCCGGCGTGAACATTGGGTAGTAGCGCACGACGTTTGTCTGTCCAGTGATGATGGGAGTATGCGAGCCAAAGCCCTCGGCAAACTGCTCCTTACTCAGACCGTCCACCCACCAGACTGGGTCGTTGGGCTCGGAGAACTGGCGCCACTTGGCCGCCACATCAAAGAGATCCCTCCATCCAAATGTGTGTTGTTGATTGCTGTGCGAACTCTGGTTCGCGCCAACCTGATGTCTGGTAACCACGCTGCCAGCCTCCTCGAACAGGGACTCCCAAACAGGTGTGAGTGTCTGTGCAATGTCCAGGGCAGCCAGGCCACACTGAAGATGCTGTCTGGCGTTTGGTAAGAAGCCTTCACAATCATACTGCAGTCTCTTTCCAATGCGCTTGGCAAACTCTACAAGTGTCTTCTCATTGGCAGTCAGCTTGTATTCGCTGTCCACCTCCTTGATTGAGTCGGACAGGTTGTTCTGTTTGGTATAGCCTCTTGCCAGGAGAGTAGATGCTGGTTGTCGCTGGCACAACAGGGTCTTGAGATAGGGGTCCAGCTCGTTGTCAATGTTGAACGAGTTCAATGACGTGTCCAGATGATGATGAGTGAACAGGGCAATCTCGCGCTGATAGAATGAGAAGTGATTGGCGTTGATGTTGAGTATATGTTCATAATCTGCCAATGCTTCCCTGTATCGTCCAATGGTATTCAATGAGATCGCTCGCAGCTGTCGCACATCAATCATGTCTGGCTCTGAACAAAGGTACACACTCCAATCATTGATTGCCTCCAGATGTTTGCCAGAGTGGAAGTAGAGCAGACCGCGAAGATGTAGTGCATTGGAGTAGTTTGGCGTCAGCTCCAGTGCCTTGCTGAACGTGGCCAACGACGATTGGTAGTCGCCCAACTCCTTCCAGCACTGGCCAATGTTGGTGTAGGCTGCTTCAAAGTGTGGATCTAACTCTATCGCTTTGTAGAACGAGTCAAAGGCTTCTCGCGGGAATCCCCTGATGTTCAAGCACAGACCAATGCGATTCCAAGCGAGCTTGTGAGTCTTGTCATACTCGACCACCTTTCTAAAGTCCTTTAAAGCGCGCTCATAGTTGCGCATCTGGAAGTATAGCAGTCCGCGTTGATAATGTATATCCGTGTCTCGCTCCTTGTCAAACACGATGGCCTGATTGAAGTCCTCCAGTGCCTCATAATCCATTCCATGAGCGACCAATATCTGAGCTCTACGTTTATACGCATCTGCCAAGGTGTTGTCCAACTCAATCACCTTTGTAAAGTCGATCAGAGCCTAAGACAGTGAGTAGCATTGTATGAGTGTAAGGTCAGGGGGTCAGGAAGGAGTGATACATACCTCCTCATGGTTGCCAAGCATGGCGTTTGATGTTCCTCGTCCGAGATAGGCAGAGGGGATCAAGGGATTGGAGACGATGATCGATGTGAAGAATAGAATGGCCTCTTGGTAGCGGCCCATGTTGACCAAGCAGTTCCCCTTGGCAATCTCGCCAGCCAAGTTCTCAGTGGACAATTCGCGCAGCAGTTGATTCAACTCCTCCATTGAGGTGGACTTTGTCAGCAAGTCTTGATCGACCATCATCTGTTGAGGTTGTGTCTGTTGTTGTGGTGTCATATGTTGCTGCTGCTGTGAAGTGGCCGCAATGAATGATGTGATAGTGTCGGATAATGAGTTGTCTAATGTGGCTTGATACTGTTTGTTATGTATATCTATGAGTTCATTTAGATGGAAGTCTCCCCATACTAGGGTGGCCTTGAGCATCGCTTGATCAGATGTATTGCGCTGTGATTGTACATGTCTACAAGCCAATGCCTTTCGCATCAATGCCGACTTATTATCTGGATCAATCGATAACACTGTATCACAATCAGTTATACAATGATTGTATAGTTCAAGATGATAACTACATAATGCTCGATTGCTACATAGGATACACATGTACGTCAATGATCAATGCGAGTGATCAAATGAGTGATTGATTGAGTGAGACATACATCAATGCTACTATATCATTCTGATTGATCTTTAATAACTTGTTCAAATGCTTTATCGAGTCTGAGTGACGGCCTGCTGTAAAGGCAGATATTGCCGCATCACGAATAGATACTAACTCTATTTCCATCAACTACTGTTACAATTATATTTGTTATTATTATTATTAGCTAAGTTATTTGTTGTAGATGATGATATCAGTAAGTGAGTTGAATGAGTGATTGAATGATTGAGTGATAAGTGATGAGTGAGTGAATGAGTGATTGAGTGATGAGTGGGCTTGATCAAGATCAGAGTGGGAAGGGGTAACAGGACCATTGATGTGTGATAATGACAATGTGCTAACAGATATATAATATTATCACTATTACTGATGCCATAATATAAGCAACACTAACATCCGATCAAACTCCTGGAACTATCCCACACTCCACCAATCAAATTTTAGAATTGATCACCTTTTCATTATCACTCATCAATCAGTCAAACAAATAACATAATGAATGACATCAAAAATAGTAGTACACATGCAGTGTTCCACAATGTAGTTCTGTGTAGACTTATACTCAAGCAAGTCAGTGATATTCACAAACGTTGGTGCAGTATACCATCACCTTCACTATCATTATCATCATCACAATCACAAGATGAACTTGCTGATGATATTTATCCCAACAGCAATATAAAGTCAACTATCAAGGGTGCCAAACTACAAGCCGATGGCAGACTGTCAGAGATGTTGAGATACAATGCCACTCTAATGTTCATTGACACATTCGACGAGATAGTCGTTGAAGCATGCCGTGACTATTCGTACCCAGTGTATTCATCACGCGACACAGTTCGCTACAACAACATAACAGCATTCAATCATATTTGCAATCGAGGAACTTTAAACAATATACATGTTGTTCACAATGATTGTGAAATGTATGATCTGTGCAAATATGGCAATGTACACATGCTCCAACACTACCTCATGACCCTTGCTGTACCAGGCCAAACGCTATACTTGCTCAATGATGAGTATGACCTAGTCTCGCACCTGCCCATGGCCATTGACACGGGCAACGAACATTTTGTTCGTCTGCTACTCCAACACATCAACATGGACAACATCGAGCGAGCCAACTTCCCGCTCACCGAGGTCAAGTTCAATCGACCAGGCATCAGCGTTGCTATGCTCAAGGTGTTGAACGAGGAGTTTGGCTGTCTGTTCCACATCATCCGCCTCTGGCAAGCGGCACTCATACACTCGACATCTTGCAACATGGTTCAGAGTGTGCAGTACATGCTGGATAACATGGGGGTGGGCATGAGCATGCAGCTATACGATGACGATGAGAAGGATGTCATTGTCATATGCTTGCTCCACTGTGCCAAAGATGGCAACGTCAACATGTTCCACATGTTGGTCCAGTCCAACATTGGCGCCAAGTACCTGGACAACCTTTGGTTGATCAACATTGGACACATTGTGGAGGAGGCATTGGACCATGGTCACGAGGCATTCATCAAGTATCTCCATCAACATTATCATGGCAAGGGTAAAATCAAGCCCAAGGTGGAGCAGCAGATACTCAACTGCTTTGAATCACCCGAGGACATTCCAGCAAGCAGGCTACGGGTCACGCCAATGCGCGCAATACTCAGCAATGACCACGCCAGTCTGAGGTCACTGATCAGTCAGAACAATAGGACCGCAGTGTGTTTGGACGAGGATGTATGTCTGGCGATGTCCAAGCCAGTCGCCACGCTCCTTGGTGGTCATTCGGAATGGAGCTTCACAGGCAAGTCGCTGCTCAACATGATCAAGGCGGCTGCCAGGCCTGGCAGCTGCAATATCACGGTGGACCTGGTGTGTCAGTACATTGATAAATGGAACGGTGTTGACCTGCCATACTATTGCATTACCGAGGCCGCCAAGTACTCTGCACGAATAATGCAGCATATTCTTGCAAGGTTCCATCACTCCTTAGACATCCATTGTCTAGAGAATGCGCTGAAAATGAATTGCCGCGAGACAATGGAGTATTTCTTCAACAACATTGGAGAGATTGGTCTGAAAAACTATCATGTCGAGAGTGCTGCCATCAAGTTTGTGTCCAAGGCATCATTGGACAACGTCATCTTCATGTTGGATCGCATGGACATGGTCAAAAGAGATTTCAAAATATGCACTCAAGCCATCAAAAATCCTAGATTGAAAGTGTTTGAATACTCATTCAATCTATTCACAATGGAGCAGGTACAACATATGCCACATGGCAATGCTTTGGACAAGTTGGTGCATGAGGCATACGTCAAGGACAGGCCAGATATAGTCCAGTGCATCCATCAACGCATTATGGGTCAAGTGCCCATGATGGGTCCAATCGTGCCGACACTCACACATCTACTCATGATGGCTGAGAACAATGCATATCACTCACTCGAGTACCACTTCAACTCATCAACATTCAACAACATGTCAATCACACATCGATTACGAACACTCCATTCAATCATTCAATATCGTCACATTGGTGGGGCGACTCGAGTGATCAAGCTTTGCATCGATCACATCAAGCCCATCACTCAACTGAATGAGTATGTACCAATCACTCGAATCAATCAATCAATCAATCACTAACACACATGCAGACATCAGATCAATCACAAGAGGTTTGAGGAATCATTCCACTCAAACAACAATAACATTGAGGTTGTTGTTGATTATGATCAAGAAGTGAAGTTGATTGAAGATCATTGTTTGATTGATTATCTCAAAGCTGGCGCAACAGACTTGTTCCTCAAGGCATACTCAAAGTCATCGTTTGTAAACAAACACTATCCAAACACAACATTACTGGATTTGGCATTGTTCAAGTGCGACACACGCGCAGTCGATGTACTCCTTGCCAACCCCAACATGTCAATAGACCATCGTCACGCGAACATGGAAAAAATATTTGCAAGCCCATCATTATATGATGATGATGATATGTGTTCACATCCTGCCTGGGAGTTGATGTTTGATCACTTAATAATGATGATGAATCAGGGAGCACCTATCAAGCTCACTCGAGACATCTTGTCATTGGTCCAACATCCGCCTTTACTTCGCAAGCTCATCAAGTGTCACTCCTCAACTACAAGCAATCTCAAAGGACTGCTTGACGACAACATTATTAATATCCATCATATGACTGATAGATGGTTGACCAAACCATGGGCACTGGAGATGCTCCAAGAACTCCAGAAGCATGAAATATTATCCGATAATATCTTGGCACAGCTTCTTCTCATGGCCATCGAATAATGTCACATCGGTCGTCCATCACTATGTCGACACGTGGCCATCACAAATGTGGAATGGTAGATCACAGGAAATAATCGATTGTTGTTGTACACATGGTCGCGACCAGTACCTTGCTATCATACTCCCACTCATCGACCAAACAACCAAGTCTCTGGGTCTTCTCAAGTGCTTCATTCTGGCCGCAGAGAAAGGACATATTGACATTGTCCAAAGGATTCACTCACTCGTCTTAGAATCAACATATGGAGCACGTAGTTTAACTCTATCAATTAGGTCAATCATTGTGGCACTGGATCATGGACACTTGGATGTAGTTTACTTCATACTGGCCAATGTGATGCCGCATGTCTCATCAGACAAAGTCGTTGGAGATCAATAATATTGATCAAAGGATATTGTCGGTTGAGTTGATCGAGCGACTGTTGGCGCACCCCAACATCAGGTGCTCATTCTACAATGTCTTGTGCGGCGCGATCATCACTCGCAACAAAGAATTGGTCGATATGTTGTTGGAGAGATACAGCCGCAATCCCCAAGAGATGATGAATGAAGAGAGCAAAGCTATGACAAAAGCAGTTGAGATTGGTGACGTTGACCTCATCAGAAGGCTCATCAAGATCTCTGTGAACAATGACCAAGACAAGGCTCTGTCAGTTGATAACATCTACATGTTGATCAAACATATTGGATTGCCTGACAGCCCACATGTGACCGAGGAGTTGATCTCCTCGCTTATCAAGGATCACTGCAAGAAAAGACAACCGAAGTGTCAAGAGCATTGGACAAAGCAGCGGAAGAGTCACTGATCAAGCTGGTGGTCAAGCTCATGATCCAGCCGAAATACTTCTCAGATGAATCGTGTCTCGATCTGGCGATTAAGGCCTGTGTCTTGCGAGGTGACATCCAATCATTGGACTATCTTTTGGAGATAGCGCCATCCATTTGTGCTGTCCCCATTACACAATTCAAGAAACACCAGACCAAAGTGTTACTTGTGGACTTATGGTGTGCCAATATCTCTTTGACAATGGATATATCAACATTGATGTCCAAGACCAACATAAAGATGATGATGATGATGATGATGATGATGATTGTCGTCTACCACTGGTACGATTGGTGAATTATGCATGCAAGGAAGGAGACGAGGAACTCATCCAAGTCATTCATCAACAATGCCAAACACCAGAGCAGCTCCAAAGGCATCTTCCATCATTCAAAAGTATCCTAGAGGCATCCGAATGTAACCATCACAAAGTACTCAGATACTTGTTTGAAGGATGCCATGTTAATGGTGACAGTTCACCATCACCGTCATGGTCCCAATCGGCATTTGCTCGAGCTCAAGTGAAGTTTGAACATGTAATACCATTGCTCAAATCGATATATTATCAATGCTTCAATAGTTGTAACCTCAAGATCATGGATATATGTGAGCGTCTATTGTTTGTCCAACATCAATAAATAAACTAACTAGCTTGTATATTTATCTGTTTGAATTATCTGTTTCAAAGAGCAAGTTGGTCGCGAATGTGACCTTTGTCGAATTTTCAAAAACATGAACATCTTACTCGTTTTCAAACAACAATTACTTTCATTCTCATTCATTCAATCATTATTATTACATGTACACATAGTTGTAACAACACAAAGATATATATATAATACATATACATATACATAGAGATGGAGCAACTTGAAAGGATAGAGTTGGAGTCACAGATATGTAACGAGTTGGAGAACTTTATTGGTAGCTCGGATAAGGTGATGGCAGAGTTCATTATAAATCTGGCAGAGGCACATCCCTCTTTGCCAGAGTTCAATAGAGCATTGATTGATAATGGTGCAGAGTTCCCAGAGTCATTAGTAGCACATCTACTCACTATAATAGAGAAGATGAATCCAAAAAATAGAAACAAGTCTGGCTCATCAGCACTCAAACATACATCAACATCGACGTCGTCTACGACGACCAAGTCCGAGTGGGATGCACAAGAAGACAACTCGTTGAAGAAGCTCGTTAATCAGTTCCCTGCATTGGCGCGACCCAACAACGATCAGTTCAAAGAGGGCAAGGTGTACAGCATCGTTGAAGAAGAGAAAAACAACAAGGTCAGCAACAGCAAGGACGGCAAGGACATCAAAGAAGAGAAGAGTAACAGAGATAGGGATGGTGACAGAGCAAGAGATGGCGATCGTGGAAGGGATGGAGAGAGAGACAGAGATAGAGACAAAGACAGAGACAGAGATAGATATAGAGACAGAGATGATCATAGAGATAGAGATAGAGATAGAGATTACAGAGATAGAGGAGATAGAGATAGGAAGCCAGTGGACAAGGAGCCAGTGATCGACTCAATATATAGTGGCAAGGTAACTGGTATCAATGATTATGGATTCTTTGTACAGTTGGAGGGCTTGGCAGGAAAGAGAGAGGGTCTGGTGCACGTGACTCAGATCAAGAATGCAAAGATAGGGCATCCCTCAGATGTGGTGAAGCGTAATCAGGTGGTCAAGGTCAAACTGCTCAATATTGTTGGCTCGCGATTGTCCCTCTCGATGAAGGACGTCGATCAACAGACTGGTGCCGACTTGAATCCAGTGCGACAGCCCATCCGCTCAATCTCCTCGCTTGATGACGACAAGCGATCAAACCCTTCACGTCCAATGGACAAGCGAGGAGGCGCCGCATCTGAGCCCATCGTTGAGCAACGTCGTGGCAAGCGAATTTCATCTCCCGAGCGATGGGAGTACAAGCAGCTGATCGCCGCAGGCGTAATCAACATCAAGGAGTTGCCCAACTACGACGAAGAGCTGGGCTTGGTGGCAGAGGTGGACGACGACGACAAGGAGCTGGACATTGAGCTCAACGAAGACGAGCCCGTCTTCCTCAAGGGTACGAGAAACAACATGCAACAGATGTCACCAATCAAGATTGTCAAGAATCCCAATGGTTCAATGCAGCGTGCCGCCGCACAGAGTGGCACGCTGGCGCGTGAGAGAAAGGAAGAGAAGGAGTTGGCCAGGAATGAGATCATGGACGCCATCCCCAAGGACCTCAACCTGCCTTGGGAGGACCCCATGCCCGAGCCTGGCGAGCGTCACATTGCCCAGGAGCTGCGCGCGCTCGCTGCCCCAGCATACGAGATGCCCGAGTGGAAAAAGACAACAATGGGCGAGCACACAACATACGGCAAGGTGACCACGCGATCGATCAAGGAACAGCGCGAGTCCTTGCCCATATTTGCCCTGCGCGAGGTGTTTTTGCAGGCGATTGCCGATAACCAGTTGCTCGTGGTCATTGGAGAGACTGGCTCTGGAAAGACAACTCAGATGACACAGTATCTGGCCGAGGCTGGCTATGGAACGCGAGGCAGGATCGGCTGTACACAGCCACGTCGTGTGGCCGCCATGTCCGTGGCCAAGCGTGTGGCCGAGGAGTACGGATGTCGTCTGGGTGAGGAGGTTGGTTATGCCATCCGTTTCGAAGACTGTGTGTCTAACGAAACAGTGATCAAATACATGACAGATGGTATCCTGCTTAGAGAGTGTCTGTTGGACCCTGACCTGTCGCAATACTCTGTGATCATTCTGGACGAGGCGCACGAGCGTACCATCTCCACAGACGTCCTGTTTGGCCTGCTGAAGCAAACGATCTTACGTCGTCCCGATCTCAAGGTTCTGATCACCTCGGCCACACTGGAAGCCGAGAAGTTCTGCAAGTACTTTATGAACAGCAAGCTGTTCTACATTCAAGGTCGCATGCATCCAGTCGACGTACGCTACACAAAGGACCCCGAGAGTGACTATCTGGACGCGGCACTCATCACCGTCATGCAGATCCATTTGACCGAGCCCACTGGCGACATTCTCCTGTTCCTTACGGGTCAGGAGGAGATTGATACAGCGTGCCAGGTGTTGTACGACCGTATGAAGCAGTTGGGACCCTCGGTACCCGACCTCATCATCCTGCCCGTGTACTCTGCGCTGCCGTCCGAGATGCAGACCAAGATCTTTGACCCTGCACCACCAGGCGCGCGCAAGGTGGTCATTGCCACAAACATTGCAGAGACATCACTGACGATCGATGGAATCTACTACGTGGTGGACCCTGGTTTCTCCAAGCAAAAGTGTTTCAATCCAAAGAATGGCATGGACTCGCTGGTGATCGCACCCATCTCACAGGCCGCCGCCAAGCAGCGTGCTGGTCGTGCAGGTCGTACTGGACCAGGCAAGTGCTATCGTCTGTACACACTGCATGCCTACGAGAATGAGATGTTGCCGACGAGCATACCTGAGATACAGCGAACAAACCTTGGCAACACAGTGCTCACATTGAAGGCGATGGGCATCAACGATCTGCTGGGCTTTGACTTTATGGACCCGCCCCCAGTCCAAACACTGGTGTCTGCCATGGAGCAGCTGTACAATCTTGGCGCGCTCGACGAGGAGGGCATGCTGACACGACTGGGCAGGAAGATGGCCGAGTTCCCACTGGAACCATCACAATCCAAGATGCTCATCTCGTCTGTGGACTTTGGCTGCTCGGATGAGATCATCACGATCGTCGCAATGCTGAGCGTTCAGAACGTCTTTTACCGACCCAAGGAGAAGCAGGCGCTGGCCGACCAGAAGAAGGCCAAGTTCTTCAACGCCGAGGGTGACCATCTGACGCTGCTCAACGTCTACGAGGGCTGGAAGAACAGCAAGTTCAGCAACCCATGGTGCTTTGAGAACTATGTCCAGGCGCGTTCACTCAAGCGTGCGCAGGATGTGCGCAAACAGTTGATCACCATTATGGACCGCTACAAGCTGGACCTGATCTCGTGTGGCAAGAACTTCACCAAGATCAGAAAGGCCATCTGCTCAGGTTACTTTGCCAACACGGCCAAGAAGGATCCAACCGAGGGCTACAAGACAATGGTGGAGGGACAGCCGGTCTTTATCCATCCGTCGTCCTGTCTGTTCAATCGAAATCCCGACTGGGTGATCTATCACGAGTTGGTGATGACCACCAAGGAGTACATGCGAGAGGTCATATCAATTGATCCCAAGTGGTTAGTAGAGCTGGCGCCCAACTTCTTCAAGATGTCCGATCCCAACAAACTATCAAAGCGCAAGAGAAAGGAGAAGATTGAACCATTGTACAACAAGTATCAAGACCCCAATGCTTGGAGACCATCAAAGAGAAGAGGATAACATGCTAATAAGTAAGTTGTATATCTCAATCAATATCATTCAATCATTCATACATATAATACTAATCAATACCATTAGAATTTAGACTTGTACTTCCATTGACGTCAATACCCTTCATTCGATTCACAACTTGTAAAGGACCAATCAGTAAACAAACAAACTAAACAAAGCTACGCAATGCAAATGAAACTTGCACCTGTTATAGTTGTAACTTGCCCACTTGTGTCATCAATGACGTGACTTTAGAATGATCATGTCCATCCATTCATCCATCCTTTTTATAACATTGACACGTTTCATTGGTCCTCATTCAGGGATAATCTAGAACAAACAGAATAGCCTTCTTGTTACCCAGGACTGACCTGACCTGACATGTGAATGAATGGAAGGGCAACAAGACAAGAAGGACAAAAGTATCTCACTTTGGTAAATGAAGGAAGCAGGAGCAGCAGCATCGATGTAATAGATGAATGGACAAAGCACATGCATTGGGCTGTTCATCTGTGTTTGTGAGCAATGGAATGGCAACATTACCTTTTTAGGCAACACGGTGGGTGTGTGGGTGTTTGGATTCTTGGACCATTGTGGCGATTGGGGGTTCATGATAAGATGAGAGGAAGTACACACACTAACACACCAACCAATGCAAATGACTTGAAGGGACGCAAACTTCCAGGACATCCAAGAGTCTCCATTGTTATCACTCGTCTCTCTCTTTCTATAAACAAATATACAAACAACCAACAAACAAATAATACAAGGTACATTGATTTAGATCATAGCGAATCAATTATAGAATATACTTTTTAAATCCAGATTAGAATATCAATCAATCGTAAATTGATGAAGGTAGCCTTGAAGAAGGCACAGAGTAACCTTATCAAACTAATTTAAGAGTTGTAGGTTGGTCACTCTCTCTTGTTATCATTGTATATTATATTCACAAAACAGAAGAGGTATGTAGGTTAGATGATTATAATATAAAGGACTTCAGACCACTCATTCATACTCATACTCAATCATACTTACAAACATCCTTATTACTCGAATCCATACTTCTGTCTCTATAACCACTTATTAACTATTTAGTTCCACCTAATCGATTAACAACTTAATAACTATAATAATAATAATATTAATATCATGGAAACTATCAATAGTCCATGTCCAAGTACACCTACTGCGAGCGGTTGTAAGACCTATACTCTCACACCAGTTATCGAACCTAATGGCTCTATCACCTATGACTACTCTGGTCCACCATCCACAACGACAAGGCCAACATCAACTTCTATATACTCGAATCCATCCAACTCCAACTCCCAATACCACTCCCGCTCCAACTCTCACTCTGACATGACCAACTCATCTACATCGACCTTTTCATCTTCAACAACTTCCTCACTGAGTATGTCACCGGATGAACTATCAAGGAAGGATGACCGACTGGACCCAGAGACCGCCAACAGTAGGAGCTGGAGAGACAGTGAGCCAAGGGACAGCGACAGCGATGAGTGTTTGGATACATCGATCCTCACACATCCCTCATTGATGGAGCCAACACGAGTCAAGAGAGTCAACATCCAGAACGTTGGCATCATATACAATCCATTCTCTGGCTCCAAGATTGGTGAGAAGATCATGAACCAAGCCAGGAAGTACTTTGAGATACATGGTTTGAATGTAAGTAGTAGATACACATGGAACTTGATTGATCACATGAACACACACCTTATATCCAATACTAACACTCACTTTCAAACAGGTACAAGTATTCCCAACCGAACACAAGGGTCACGCTGAGGAGATATGTCGTACTATTGACATCAATGCATTCGATGCAATGTGTTTAGTGGGAGGAGATGGAACAATACACGAGGCCATAAATGGTATCATGAAGAGGGACATTGAATCCAGAGAGAAGTTCGTCGTGGCATGCATACCAGCTGGTACTGGCAACTCATTCGTCTTGGAGCTTCAAGGCACCTTCAGCATCAAGCATATCTGCGCAAGAATTCTCAATGGACTGACAGTGCCACTGGACATTGCCAAGATCACCTGTGTCAAGAAGGACTCCATCGCTCAATGGTGTGGACAGAGGAAGATGGAGTACCAGGAGATTGTCAAGTCGCTCCAGAACGTGCAATTTGAACACCTCAACTCGCAAGAGGGCTCTGAATGCTTCCACTCCAAGAAGACACGTCTACATGATCTCGCGGACGTGCCCAACGGCATCCTAATGGACTTTGCTTCACAAGACGAAATGATGGAGCATGAAGTGTTCTACAGTTTCAACTCACTGCATTGGGGACTCGGCTCCAAGGTCAACGTCACTGCTGAGAAGATGCGTTGGATGGGAAAGGCCGTCAGATACACCACCGCTGCCGTGCTCGAGCTGTTCAAGGGAGAGAAGATTCTGGCTAGGATCGAGTACGAGGATGTTGACGGCAACATCATTGCTCTGGAGGACTTTTACTGCTTGGCCATCATCAACAACATCAAGGGTGCAGCCAAGGGCATGAAGATCGCACCCAAGGCCAAGCTGAACGATGGCCTGTTTGATCTGATCCTGATCAAGTCGACCAAGGCACTGGACCTCATGACCGTCTTTGCCAAGTTCTACGATGGAACTCACACCGAGCTGGACTATGTCGTGTATCTGCAAGTGAAGCGATTCAGCATCACACCATTCAAGAAGGACAAGGAGATGAAGCGTCGTCTGCAGAAGGAGAAGAGAAGAATCAGAGCAGCCAAGCGAGTGGGATTGGAGACGAATCGCAGTGAGCTCGACCTTCTCAAGACACAGTGCAACACCATCCTGGCAGAGCTTGAGGATCAGATCGAGGAGGAGATCATCGACATTGACGGCGAGCTAAAGGGCAGCACACCATTCCTCTGTGAGGTTGTCCCTCGTGCTATTCGTTTCGTCATCTAGAAGACCTGTCCACAATCGTTGAGGTCTCAATATCATCCTCCATCTTCATTATCATCGTCATGATTACATCAACACAATAAATATATGTAATACTTTGTTGTACATATTCTATGTTGTCGTGTATCTGTTGACGATCMAAGTTGTTGTAATGGAATGATGACCATCAAAAGAATCGTTCGTGTTTTGTTTCTGTTTCATTTTACAAACAACGATGGAAGACGAGTTTGATCAGATAATCAATGTCGAGCAAGACACATACGAAGATGCAAAGAGTCAGGGTGTTGTAGATGGACAGAAGCTTGGATATGTTGAGGGATATCAACTAGGCTTCCAACAAGGTACTGAACTCGGACAGGAGGTTGGCTACTATCACAGCTGTGTTACAATGTGGAACAACCTCGCCATTCACTACAAAGATAGTCACAAGTTCTCTGCAAGGTATTATCGATAGATGACGATATATATATAATGACTACTTACATACTTATCAACAAACAAACATAGAGGACTAGCAAGCTTGGAGAAACTTACAAAGATGATTGAACAGTATCAATTGGACTTTAATGATGATGATGTAATGAATACACTCGCTCAGATTAGGCTCAAGTTCAAGTTAACATCAGCTCAGCTTGGCTTACAGACAAGAGAGCAACAAGAGATGTCCTTCTAGAGGGCAAGCATCAAGTTGCGGACAACTGTCCGTCATTGATCATTCAAAGTAGCTGAGTGTCGGCGCGCCAATGTTGAATCAACATTACATACAGACAACAACAACAATGATACTCTCGCGAACGATACATTACATATCCAATGGCCATGCTAATCGTTCATCTCAAGAGTCATTCCATAATGTAGTTGGAAGTACAGGTACTCATCTCTATATTTATTATTAAATAAATACAACCTGGTCGACAACCATCAATTGGAACAATGGAAGTTTAGAACAAACCTCCTACCATTCCATTGATACCAGTGCCACCCAAGTTCTCAATGTCTGACATGTCAATGGTTGATATCTGGTTGAACTGCTTGATCTGATCAACTTGGTCTGCACTGAACTGTCCAAAGCATGTCTGACTCATGATCAACACTGGCTTGGCCAAGTCGGCACCAATCTCCAGGATCTTGCTGCAGGACTTCTCCATCTGCTCCTTGGAGAGTGTGATGATGGCTCTGCTGTTGCCAAGCTGCTTGATGATCTTGTCAGAGTCCTCCTCGGACAATGCACTGGGACAGAACAGCACGACGCGGCTTCCAATGAACAAGAATTGGCTGGCGGCGAATCCTTGAGACTCGACCTGTACAAGAGTGTAGCCCAACACCTTGGCCCACTTGGTCACCACGGCCGAGTAGTAGCGCTTCTCGTCCACTGCACAGTAGACCACCTTGTTGACACGGTCCAATACGAGACCGGTAAAGTCAAGGTATGCAGCGTTGGCGGGTGAGAGTGATGGGGACTTAATGTGCAGCTCGTTGGATGTGTTACCGACCAGAGCCGAGATGGTTGTGACCTCGTACGAGTCGCCGCCACTCTCCATTGGTGTAAAGTCAATGACACGGTCGTAGCCAGAGAAACCATTGCGCAGAATGTCAATCCTTCTCTCATTTCTTCTTGATTGATCCGACATGGGATAGAGAACGACAGTCTTCTTGCCAACCTCGGCGGCAGAATGAGTTGAGAACCACTCGGCGACAAACACTGCCTGGTCGGTCTTGTGGTGGGGCTCGTGACAGAAGAGATGAATGTTGACGCCATTCTTGCGCAGCTCGCGGTGCAATGTCGAGTAGTCCTGTAGCACTTTGGTGCGGGTATCTCTGACGACGCTGGCATTGATCAATTCACTGCCAATGATAGCCTTTACAAAGTAGGTTGGTGACACCATCAGTGCTCTGTTTGGGATCTGAGTGACCTTGGCATCAGCTGGGGCCACAGTCACAACAGTGTCCTTGTTGATTGTTGGAGAGGTCATTGGTGATGGAGTGGGACGAAAGTGAGCGGTGGGACGCCTACTGACGACCTGCGAGCAGCAGTGAACACTGCCGTACATCTTGGTCACTGTTCTAAAGTCAACAAAGAGCAGCTTGACAGATGACGATGTCTTGCGGGCGACGGTCTTGGCGGTGGCCTGATCGACGACGATGAACTTGCCATTGCCAATGTTCAGTCCATTGCAGCCATAGTCCTTTTGATTCTGATCGGTGACGTAGAGCAGCTCGTAACCCTGCTCGATGAGGTACTGCGAGAACTCAACGTCGTGACGGGCCAGCTCGTACTTGCCCGTGTCTTGGTTCTTCTTGTACTCGTCGACCAAACGTCTGATGGGCGATTGCTCGCCACAGATGTCCTGGAGAATGAGCATGACGCGGTCGTTGATAATGTTGAACACCGTGTCCAAATGCATGCGCTGCTGGTGCAGGTCAAAGTAGTCCTTGACGACGGCTACACGGTTAGTGCCCAGCAGATCGTTGGCCATGAGGTAGTCGACGGCGGCAAAGTTTGATCTCAGACCAACGCCAATGTAACAAATGTCCTGTCCCATTGGGTAAAAGTCGCCACCCTCTAACTTGCCAGGGTTTGGCACCTCGCCAATCACTGGCAGGCCCAAAATGTCAAAGCAAAGTTTCATCAACTCAACCTCTGGTGCTCTAATTGGTGAACTCAAAGAGGCCATCACAATACCCTTTGCAGTGGTTATCTGTTGATCGCGCTGGAATACCAAGTTGACCAATGGTTGGCTGTTGTCGAGTGGTGTGTTAGACAGAGGTCTATGAATGATTGAGAACGAACCAGACCACTTACAATGAGTATTCAGTGGCAAGCAACTCTGTATCTCTCTCAGACTTTCTCAGCTTGATGGTTGGTCTTGTCAAGATAACCTCTACCAATTGTTCAACGCTCATTGAGTCTATGAATTTGAATGAATGAGAGTCAGTCAGTCATTCAGTCAGTCTGACGAGGGACGGATAACCCTTCCCTGCACAACATACCAATGCAACGTCTCTTATAATCATCAGAGAGTAAGAGTTGATCTTGGGCACCGAGCTCCTCTCTCTTTTGCTTTGGGTCCAGTTCGTACTGGATGCACTTGAATGCAAACTCCTCCAACTTTACACGCTTGGCAATGTCGCCAGTCTCTGAGGTGAGGATCTCTCTAACGGTGCGCACAGTGCATCCCTCATTCTCCAACAACTGTCTAAACTTCTTATGCTCCTCCTGTGCCTTTGAAAGATCGAGTGGCTCCTCATACAATGATCCATTTGGATGGATTGATCCCATCCACTGTGCAAGAGATGGTTCGTTCAACTAATGTTGATGTATGATTGACTTGTGTGTAAGTTGTTGTGTTGTTGTTGTTCTTCAATCAATCAATCAAACATACAATAACCATTGAAGCTTCATCATTCTCATGAATCTGATTAAAGGTTGATGGTACAGCAGAAGGTGCTGAGTTCCTTGAAGTCTCTGTCTTGTTCATTTTAAATTTATTAGTAGTAATACTATTACTTAATCGTTTACATAAATATTTATGTTTATACTAAAGTAATGAATGAATGAATGAGTGAAGGTGAAGATGACATAAATGTTTAATGAGATGTCTAAAAATTGAAATTTGAGGTGAGGAGCGTATCTTATCTTGAATTGTCATAGTTTCGGTCAGTCGTTGTTCGTCGGAGTCAACTCATTCACACACTTTCAAACAAATGAATTTGTTCCCGTGATCATGTCGAAGGGAGTTCCCAAGTCCCACTTACATAGGTGATATTTGCAGAAAACATTGACAATACCAGGCCCAACAAAACAATGTTTCAACCAGACCAGTGTTTAAAAATATCACCTAGACTCATCACATTACCAATCAAGATAAACAATGATGACAACGACGACGATTGATACAATACCAATTATATTAATTCAAAGAAGGACAAATAATATTATGTCTATTCACATATTATAAGTTGATGATTCAACAATATAGATTATCTCTACACAACATGTATACTTCCAAAATTTCAAACCTTTGGTGAAGTGTGCTACTACTCGCAACGCAATCCAAGAGTAATGAATAATAAGATGATCGATATAATTAGAAATATTAATTTAAATAAATATCCCCCACCCGCCCTTTTAGATCTGTTTACAGATTCCTTCAAACAACCCCCCTATTACCACAATGCAATGGGTAACTGTTTGCTTGTAACCTTTATCAACCCCCTTCTACATACACAACAAATACATTCGAGGTTAGGACGATGGAATGTGTAATCTATGGAGCATTCATAGAAGATGGTATCGGAGGCTACAACATTAACATCCACACTAACACAATAATACAAGTATAGTAACTTATATCATTTATTCAATCATACCTATATATATATATATTAACAAATAATAATAATAATGATTGAATCAATACCATTAATATTATTACGTCAGATTGTATCATATCTTAATAAGAATAGTGAGAGATTGGTTGTATCACTAGTTTGTAAGAGATGGTTCGAACAAAGAAATAATTATTTACAATTCTTGTCGAATGAATTGCCATCTTATCAAGACCGCCATAGGTTGGCCGACAATTCAATGAAACAATATACTGATATCTTTAGAGAGCATATCAATAATAGACCACATGTAATTCGGTTCTCAAACACAGAGAACTCTATATGTTATAAACATGTAGATATTAGAATACTTAATGTTGGTATGTATTGGAAATCAAAGAATCAATCAAAATGAATAATATTAATTAATCATAATATGTTTAACAATCAAACAGAGAGATGGAAGGTTGATATGAAGGGTCTAAGTGATATGATCCTGGAGGTACCAAGAGTTGAATCAATCATATTTGAAGATGATACTTATCAAAGATTTGACCAGGCATTCTGGACAAGGATGGAGCCTATGATGGAGACACTCATAGAGCGTGGAGCTACCAACATTTCCTTCTACTCAAAGACAATCGCCGCTCCCTTTATAATTCCAAATTATATCACACACTTGGTGTTTGATGAAGGATTCAATCATCCCCTCGCAGGTTTATTGCCAAAGGGTCTTAAATCACTAGAACTTGGACCAAGTTTCAATCAACCAATTCTTCCCGGAGATCTTCCACCTCAGTTGGAGCACCTTAATGTTGGATACGTGTTTGCCCAGCCTCTGTATCCAAGGTCACTCCCTTCATCCATTAAGACTCTAATCCTAACTGGACACTTTAACTCTCCAATTGCAAGAGGTGTACTGCCATCATCTTTGGAAAGATTGGTGTTGGGTCACCTCTTTACCCAACCTGTCGAATCCGACGCTCTACCTCAAACACTGAAAGGTCTAAAGTTTGATTCCTATGGCCATACCCTTCCTACTCAATCATTCAACCATCCATTTGGCCAAGGACTACCTCCATTGCTTACAAATCTAATGTTGAGCCACAACTATATGCATTCAATTGATCATTCACATTTGAAGACCATTAGTATGCCAGCTGCAATGCAACACTTGTTGGCCAATGTAACATTCCCAAATGTGACAGTGGTGGAGATGTTTAGTGTACAAGACTCTGTTGCTGGAATTACTTCCAAGACATTCCCAGCCGTTCAAAAGGTACGTTTGCTTGGAACGAGCACAAATCTCGAACTTAGAGACTTGTCAACGTTGCCACCAAACTTGGAGAGTCTATACTTTGGATACTTCAATGCCAATATCACTTCATTCCCAGTTGGACTACTCGAGCTAGAGATGATGAGCTTTGACAGTGCCGCCAACTTTAAGTTGACCAAAGGTTTGTTGCCAGATACATTGCGATCACTCAAACTAAACAAGTATAAGAATCCCATCGAAGTTGGTGATCTACCAGACTCATTGATCGAGTTTAGCCTAAGTGACAACAAGTACTTCCCACCAGAGGCCGTGCCACCCAACCTTAGAACACTAAGATGGGCAAACATGAGTTACCATGGCCTTCCAATCCGACCACTGTTGAATCGACTACCATCTTCAATCAAGTTTATGGAGCTGAGCACATTGCAAGGATATGTTATATTGGTTCGATTGTCCGAGACACTATTCCTACACACCTGTCAACAATTACATCTATCAGGATTCATCACGATGGACAGAATAATCAAACACTTTACACATCAATAAACCGATTGATTTAATCACGAATCAAACAAGCACCGTACCATGTACGATTGGCAACGGGATCATCATCGTTGAGACGTGTCCAATGATCATCTTGAGTGGTGTATCGATAGTTGTTGCCCTTGCCACCGAGACAGATGATGCCAACAGACCGATCATACACCATCTGGCGAAGCTGACCATAGGTTGGACAGCGTGACAGTTTGGTTGGTTGCTTGGTCGACAGTGTATAGCGCATGAAGCCGTCCTTTGCGTGAACGTATATGTTGTCCTCGCCATCAAAGCAACTAAAGTCATACTGGCTTATGCTAATGTCCTTGATGAGCACATCGGTTACATGTGTGCGGACATTGAATAGAAGTACCTCTGTGTGGCTGCCTCCGCCTCCACCACCAGCCTTCTCTCCACCAACTACAATGATGGCATTGTTGTGGTAGTAGATGCAGGGGAATGCCAGACCATGAGGCAGCGTGCCCACTGACGAGAACTGTTGCGTGTCAATGTTGAAGCAGTCGACGCGATCAGACTTATGGCCCTGATGATTGCCGCCCACCAGATAGATAAGCCTGTTGCCATCAAAGCATGCCGATGCAAACGTGCAGCCAATGATACCAAAGATGTCATCATCATAACATTGTTTCTCGGCAAGGGAGAAGCGTGAGTATGTGTTTGGTGCATCGGGGCCGCCAAATACATATACATCACCACGAGCGTATACTACCGATGTTGGTACATAGTTATATGGTCGTTTGATTACATCCTGGATCGATGTCCACTTGGATGTGGCCAGTGATAACAATGAACACTTGTCGCCGTCCAAAGACATGATGTGGCCATTATACTCATGATCCATAGGTGGTAACATGACACTGGAGGCAGTGTACTGTATAACTTTGTTGTTGTTGTTGTTGTTGTTGGAGGTTGTGGAGGTGTTGTTGTTGGAGCCAGAGACAGAGTCACCAGTTGTCGATGTTGGGCTAGTACCAGAAATGAGTATGAAGCAAGACTCTATCAACTTTTTGATACCACTTAGCTTGGCAATGTTGGTATTGACAGAGTAATCCTGTAAGTCTGATACATCAATGTATGGTACTGAGTGGATATGTTCTGAGAGTCGGCTGATCATTGACATTAACTCATCATCACTTGGCTTTATAATGTCATCATCTCTAACCAATGATTGTGATTGAGCGGTAGTGATGTTGATAAACTGATCAATCGATGAACATGAATTGATTGATTGAATGATCGTGGTCATGTCAACATCACCATCACCATCACCATTATCATTGTCGTTTCTAGATGTTGGTAATTGATTGTTTACAATCTGATTGATATTCTTAATCTCATTGATGATATCATTGATTGTTGATTGAATATGATCCATCCTATCTTTGATTGGCTTCTTTACACGATGCTCCTGAGCGATGATCACTTTGATCAGTTGTTCAAAGTGTCCTGTCAGATGAGTATGTGTCCTCTCCAATGATTGATATGTTGTTGTACAATGTTGAAGTGTCTTCCAAAGATGTTCCAGACGTGGTCTACACCATAATGATGATTCTGATGATAAAGAAGATGTTGTGGTTGTCGTTGTTGATGTTGTAGTTGTTGTGGCAGTAGTATCCTTCTTCTTTGTCAAACTCATTATCATTTGTCTTTTGATACTGGCAACATTGTCTACCTTGTGACCTTTATGCTTTTGAACGGAACAAACTGGACACATCAACAATTTACAATCCAAGCACATGTACTCTGTGTTTGACTTGTGTTTCTCACACGTTGCAGCAACAACTGTTATATCCATTGTATCCATCACTATTATTATCTATCTATCTATTACAATTATTACTATTACTATTATTATTACAAGTTGTATTGTTGTTAACTCTAAAACTATGATTGATGTGTTTTGATTCTTTGGACCCAGGGACCACCCAATTTTGTGATCGATCACAATACAGAGATTCACACACATTTGTGTCGTGTCACTTGAGAGTCCAAGCGAAATGGTTTAGATATTGATGGTCAATCACTGCCCATTCCAAGGCATCGGGAATCATAACAGTGGATGGTTGAATCTACCTCGAACTAGTTTAGATTTGATAATATTTGTTTACATTTTCAATTGATATAATAATAACAACATGGTTAAATGAAGTAATTTAGTGATCTTGACTGCCTCACCTGATTTATCTATCATTAATTAATGATTAATATTATTTGTAGAAGTTCAATGTCGATAAATCAGGTGTTTGATTACCGTGGTTGTAGGAGATTGATTATGAAACTAAATATCTCGTTTTTTTTATGGGCCTTGAATTGGTTTGAAGGTGGATGTAATGGGGGTTGCCCCTTGGGATTCAAGGATGAAGGCCAACCTTTGATGAGCTCAACATTCAAAGGATAGATGGGTCTGGGGCAGTTCGGCACCTCATTCATAATTGGGCACTCACACACAGATTTCTTGATAAGCTGCTGAATGAGTGCGATGGGTCCACAACAACTTTAAACTCTGATTCAGCGACAAACAATGCCTAAAAGCACCATCACTATCATCAATAAACAAGAAAGTTAATTTAATTTTTCATTCACCTCGAAGATATTTCGATGGAAGCTTGCTGGTAACCTTGATTGGGTTGGTGGGTTGCAAGTCGCATGTGGACGTGTTTGTTTGTTTGCGTGTGTGTGTTGAGGAAGTAACCTTCAAACCAAACATACATGCAAGGGTATTGTGAGGGCAGACCATGCCCTCAGGGGAGACTATCCATTGGGAACGCAAGTCTCAAAAGTCCTTGTTCCGCTCAATAGATCAATCATTCCCTAATTTAACCTTATTATCACTTTAACACACACAAACAATGTTCTCAACAAAGTTTGCCATTGCTTGCTGCATGGTCCTTTTGGCCGTTGCCACTGCCAACGCTGCCTTCACCGAGCGTCAGTACCAAGACACCTTCATCAGCTGGATGCAGACCAACAACGTCAAGTACGCCGCCACCGAGTTCAACACTCGTTTCGCCATCTTCAAGGCCAACATGGATTATGTCCAGAAGTGGAACGCCAAGGGATCTACCACCGTGCTCGGCCTCAACATCTTTGCCGATATCAGCAACGAGGAGTACCGCCGCATCTACCTCGGAACCAAGATGGACGCCTCATCCCTCTTGGACGTCCGCGCCGCCCGTCACTTTGACCGCACCTTCAACGTTCTCGCTCTCAACTCGACCGTCGACTGGAGACAGAAGGGCGCCGTCACCGCCGTCAAGAACCAAGCCCAATGTGGTTCATGCTGGTCTTTCTCCACCACTGGCTCCATCGAGGGAGCTCACCAGATTGCCACCGGTAACCTCGTTGCCCTTTCCGAGCAGAATCTTATGGACTGCTCCTGGGCTGAGGGTAACATGGGTTGTGACGGAGGTTTGATGGGTGCTGCCATGGAGTACGTCATCAAGAACGGAGGTATCGACACTGAAGCCTCGTACCCATACCGTGCCGTCAGCAGCAAGAACTGCCGCTACAACGCCACCAACTCTGGTGCCACCATCACCTCGTACGCCAACGTCACCTCTGGCTCTGAGGTCTCTTTGATGTCCTTTGCCAACAACGGTCCAGTCTCCGTCGCCATCGATGCCTCCCACAACTCCTTCCAGTTGTACCAGTCTGGTATCTACTACGAGCCAGAGTGCTCCACCACCGAGCTCGACCACGGAGTCCTCGTCGTCGGATATGGTTCTGGCCCACAGTCATCATCGACCACCGCCACCACCGTCACCTCCTCCACCACCGGTTCCGCCACCTCAGGTACCATCACCTCTGGTAACTCCACCGCCTCTGGTTCTGCCTCTGCCACCGGTTCCTCATCTGGTTCCTCATCTGGTTCCTCATCCGGTTCCTCATCGGGCTCAAGCTCTGGTAACTCCACTGCCTCCAGCTCTGGTTCCTCATCCGGTTCCTCATCTGGTTCCTCATCCGGTTCCAGCTCTGGTTCCTCATCTGGCCAGACTGCCTCATCCTCCTCATCTGCCACCACTGCCACCACCACCACCACTACCTCTGGCAGCACCGGTTCATCATCAACTGGTGGCGGCAATGAGAACTTCTGGATTGTCAAGAACTCCTGGGGTCCAAACTGGGGTCTCCAAGGCTACATCCTCATGTCAAAGGACAGAAACAACAACTGGTATGTTTTTTTTTTTTTKTTTKTTTTTTTTTTTTTTTTTTTTTTGTTTGGACAAAGACAAACAGATAGAGAATATTATTACTAACATTTATATATTGTTTAATCATTACTACAGTGGAATATCAACAAGTGCCTGTCAACCCAGCACCAATTAAAGCATCAAACTATTGACAACCAAGTCGTTGTGTCAATCCTTTATAATTAGTGCACCTAAATAAATGATATCATCGTCCACATATCAACAAGTGCCTGTCAACCCAGCACCAATTAAAGCATCAAACAATTGACATCTCTGAAAGTCATCTTCTACTAAAATCATCAATCCATAATAGCCATAACAGTTTATTAAAAAGCAGTATACGATCTCCATTGAGCTCTGTTGTAATTTCCAACTTTATTGGTGGAAAGGTGTTCCATCACACCATGATATTGCCTAAACTTGTATTAATCAATCAATAAATAATCCATCATCATTCGTAATCAGACAGATGTTGTAAGATGATGACCATCAGGAATCAAACAAGCTGCAACCCATCTATTATTGATGATAATGTCATTAATTGGAGTCCATTCGTTAGATTGAATAGAGTATCGATGGGGTTTGTCCTTACCATACAGCAATATAATACTGGATGTTGATCGATCATACAAGAACAATGGATGACGTCCATCGATCCTCCTGGAGGGGGACTGCATAGTTCGGTCAATTGCTCTGTGGATAGAGAGTAACGAATGAATCCCTTGACATAATTATTATAGGTAATAATATAAATATTGTCTTTGCCATCGAAGCAACTAGTTTCCAATTTTGGTTTGATTGTATCAGCCACTGCGACAAGCCTCTCAGTGGCCAGTGTTTGGATATTGAATGAGAGAATGCCAGAGATCCTTGGATATGTCTCATAGCGGTCAACAACAATGATTGAGTTGTTGTAAAAGTGAGCAGAATGGTGGCCCACTCTGGTTGGCAATTGTCCAACATGTTCAAACTGTTTAGTTTCAATGTTGAATCGATCGACCCGATCCAATGAATTTACACTACTAAATCCTCCAACGAGGTAGATATATTTGTCTCCATCGTAGCATGTTGCTATTGATTCAGCTCCTTCGACACCAACTATGTTTGAATGATACCATTGTTTCTTGGCCAATGAGTATCGATAGTATTGAGAATGTATATGTACCCCTCCAAACACATAGATATTCCCACGAGCATGTACAATCGAGTTTGATACTTCATCCACTTTACCAAACTTGAATACATCTTTGATCGTTTTACTCCTCAGAGTCACTAATGAGAACAATGAACTGTCCTGGCCATTCAGTGTCATGATGTGTCCAGTAGACGTCTTGCCAACAATGATCAGTTTGAAACATGATCCAATCTGCTTCTTAATACCATTCAACATGTTGATTCGATATGTCTCTACCAACTTTGATGAACTGACATTATCATAGGGTACTTGTTGCATGAGTTGAATGTGACGAATGATCATTGACATTAGTTCATCATCATTGATATTGATACTGGGTAGAGATTTGTCGTCAGCAGATGTAAAGTTGTTGATGAACTCATCGATTGATGTGCATTGTGAAATCGACTCTATCACATCATTGATCTCATCTTCATGGTTGGTCGTCTGTTGTCGTCCAATGTTGATGATTTGATTGATATCTTTGATCTCATTGATGATATTGTAGATTGTTGATTGAATGTGACATTTGGTCATTGATTGGTGTCTTGGCCCTGTGTTCCTCAGCGATGATCACCTTGATCAGTTGTTCAAAGTGTGATGTTATTGATGACATAGTACTCTCCAACGACTGATATGTTGTTGAACACAACTTCAATGTGCTCCACAGATGCTCCAACCTTGATGTACACCACATTGATTGTTTATCATTCTCCTCGATACTCTGTTTAATACTATCGACGTGATCAATCTTATGATCTTTAATGTGTCACTACATTACATTCAGGACACATCAATATTGCACAATCAAAGCAAACGAACTCTGTCCTCTTGTTGTGAACCTCACAATCCATCTTTATCTCTATCTCTATCCTATTTTTCCACTTAGTTTTAAGTTAATGAAATGAACCTCTCTCTCGCTTACACAACTTTAAACTTGAGGGTGATGTGAGATTGATCATGCACTGCAGTAACTCGCTCGAGAGTAGGCCACTAACTCTCACCTAAAATATCAGTATCGTCATATGATTGATTGGAGACATTGCCTGGGAGTGGAGTAATCTAGACTACTTTCCCATTTCATTGTGTATATATATTAAATATATATATACTTTGTTCAAGAACTACGAATTCTTTACTGGACAGTACGGTGATTGATGGTTCATTATGAACCGTTCATAATCCTTGAAAGACATAGACAACACAATGATGAATGCAGACTTCAAACCCAAGAACATCCCAAACCCAGTGAAACAGAGCTGGGTGAGTGTGGGAAGATAAATGTAAATTAAATAGAAATAAATTAAAAATAATTCAATTTGGAGATAGAGATTGCCCCAACAACATAACACACACATACCTAAACATATTATCATTTATCTAATTATCTCATTCAAACACTGTAATATATGTATGTACATTTACACATCACTCACACGACACATAATAATATACATCATTTATTCATGAATTAATGTATGAATGAATGAATGTGTTTCATTGCAATTGTGATGTAAGAGCACATCGATGTTGGAGATGGATCGTTGTTGATTGTTCCTTGTTTGTTGTATGTTCTGTTTGTTTGTCATTCGAACCGATCGGTTGTTTGTTTAGTTGGTGGTTGTTGGTTAGGTAGTTAGTTAGTACGGATAGTGTGTATTTGTATTTGTTGTGTTGTGAATGTGTGTGTGTGTTGCAGTGAGAGAGATACAGGAGAAGTGACGCGCCCGACTTGACTTGAATTTGACTTGACCTTGACTTCTTGATCCACTAACTCTTCATTCATTCCCTCATCACTCACTCACTCACTTCATTCAATCAATCAAATCATAGAACTCGAGAGTCTGACCAATATTAGGTGACCTTCACATACTAGTTAACTAACTAATAATAATAATAATAATAATATTTAAGTAATAATATATAATATAGAATAATAGAATAGAACAATGTCAGCGGATTCATCAACAACAAGAGCTATCCCATTCAACATGAGGGATAGGGATCACATCAACTTCTCAACTTCGCTCGGTGGTACACTGTACGGAACGACACCAGGTGGCACAAAGAAGGTCTACGACCGTTCTACAATGCTACACTATCGCAATTCACCACTGGCCAAGACTCCACCTCCTGAGCTTGCCACCATTCTCGAGGCCGTCAACAGGACTGCCACCGGTGGCAAGTCACCAAGACTACAACCAGTCCCCAACAACAACACCGTTCAACAGCCAGAATCCACAGCACAAAAGACTGCTTCCACTGCCAAGCCTTCAATCGATGAGCCAGGTAAGTAGATTGATTGGTTGAACAGCAACATAGCATAACATACATTGCTAACATCATCACTTCAACTCAAACTTTATAGAAATCTTTGAGATGGATGCTTAGACAGAGACAATAGCTTGTTGGACGATGCCACCATTGTAATTAGATATATATATAGCATATATACATAACACCATCATAAACACAAACACATAAACATTATAAACATAATCGACAAGCTGTCAACAAACAGCCAAATAACAGCAACGACTGCAACAATAACAACAACAAACAAACAAACATAACATCAACAAAATATAGAAATACCTCCTTGTACTCCAATTAAACAGCGATCGCACAACTGCGAATCAAACAACAATCAATCACAGCAACTGTAAATAAATACCTGATGACTGTTCATCATGGTTGTATTGGGTATATAGCCACCTGTATCCCAACAAACAACCGCGCCATCTAATCCCTCCTTCGCCTTCTACACAACACATTCTTTATGTCTCTGTCCATGACCATCATCGTCATCATCTCTGTTTATTGGATCGCTGATGTTATAGGGAGGGGGGGGGGATACATGTTCATGGAAGGATGGACATCCACTATCGCTTACTACTTGGCCTTGTGCCCTGCCCCACTACCTGTTGCAGGGTGGTGACCGTGTCCATGACCGTGACCATGATGATGGTGCCCTGATCTACGTCCACCTGTGGCCGGCTGATTTGTCGTGGTTGTGGTGGTCGTGGTAGTGGCTGCAGGTGCAGCGGCAGGATCTACGCCAGCGGCTGCCAACAACTGATCCTGCTTGTGCGCAATCTTGGGGTGTGGAGGACTGTTGTCCCTCTCTGGGTGGTAGGGGATGAGCGACGTGATCTTGCCGATGCCCTTTGCCCTGCCCTCCCTAAAGATCAGACGGCTGCCATCGTTGAGGAACTCTGGTCGAGCCATGTAACGGAAGCGTACCTTGGCCTTGTCACCGGTTCTGATCACGCCCTTGTCAATCCAGATGATACGGGCACATTGCTGCGAGGCGCCACAATGCACGACAGCCTCATAGTTGACCGTGATGGTTGTCGAATGATAGAGCACAACGATCTCTGCCTCAAACTCTCTTACGGCGATTGGTTTGGCCGAAGGATGAGTGAGAATCATTCCCTTGCGAAGTGCTGACCTCTTGATCTTTTTGAGGGCTACAGAGGCGTTCTGACCTGCTTTGACCTGTTTCACTGGCATCCTCTTTGTATGAATGCTCTTGACCTGTACATTGATCCAATTTCCAGAGTCATCTGGTCCAATCAACAAGTTCTCGCCAATCGTTATCCTACCCTTCATCACAGTTCCACTAACAACTGTACCAGTTCCAGTTACTTGCCATATTGAATCAATGTCCAACTGAGTTGTTCATTTGTGTAAGTATATAAGAGTGATGTTCATGAATGTTATATAACATACCTGAGATGGTTTATCAGCCAATGATTCCCAATCCTTCTTGGCTGGCAATAGGTTCAAGAATGTACGTAACAAGTCAAGGTTCTCACCAGTGACATTGCTAATACAAAAGATTGGAGCAATGCGTTCAGAGACAAAGTTTCTTGCAGCAACTACAACATCGTCATGATTGCGAATGACCACTGGCAACTTGCGAGAGCCAGGTGACTTCAAGATCTTCTTGATGTCGGTCAATGTGTCCTGGAGTACATTGTCTGGACAACGATCGATTTTGGTCACTACAACATAGACTGGCACGCGCAGTGCCAATGCAATGCCCAGATGTTCCTTGGTCATGCCGACACAGCCCATGTTGGCACCAATCATCAACATTGCATAGTCGGGCTGGTGACCCGTCATTCCAAAGAGTGTGGTCTTGAGGTACTTCTCGTGGCCAGCCAAGTCAATGAAAGTGATGATCTTGGAGGAGAGCTCGCAAATCTCGCTCGGGTTCATTGCGCTGTGCATGTTGTTGGTGTAGTTGACTACGTTGCCCTTGCTGTCGAATCCAACAATCTCCTGACTGATGCTGGATGTTCTGCCAGACTCAATCTCGTGCTTGTGACGGAAGATGTTCATTCTCGCCAAACCTCTGCCATTGTCCAGTTGGCCTCGAGTCAAGACACCAAGCAATGTGGACTTGCCCGCATCGACGTTTCCAACGACGGTAATCCTGACCTCTGAGAAATCATCGGAAGTGTACTTTCTGATCAGCACCTCTAGTACCTTGCCCTTGGCACCATTCCTCTCTCTGATTGTCGTCATGTCAGCGTTCAATCTTGATGCCATCCTTTTGAGCGTGTCCATGCTTGCGGCGACATCTTCGTCAGAGAGACCAGTGGCCGAACCATCGTCCTCCACTCCAATCTCATAGATTGCTTCGCCCATGCCCTCTCCTAAACGCCACTTGAGCTGGCTCACAAGGTGTTCCAGCCTTTCGTCGGTTGGGTTGACAAGTTTGAACTTGTACTCAATGTTGCCAAACTCAACCTCTGGAGCCAAGTTTGAGATTGGCGGAGTGGTCGTCGATGTGGCTGTCGAGGCATTGGATGGTTGAGGAGGGAGAGCAGAATCTCCATCACCATTGGCAGATGTTGTACTCGCTGTTGATGTAGTCGTTACATTGTTGTTGTTGTTGAGGTTGAGGTTGTTGATGTTATTGATATTGTTATTGTTGTCAATGTTGATTCTCTTCTCTAATGGGGATTGATCTTCCAGTAATACTCCATGTCCATTGGTTGCAGATGTTGATGATGTCGTAGTGGTGCTCGTTGGTACAACTGACACCAGTGTCACTGTATTATCGTGGTTGGTCACTGAGGTAGTTGACATTGCTTCTTCGCACTCCATAATAATTATAATAATAATAATATATATTTAACTATATCTAAATATCTATATATATACACACACACAATAAATATATATATATATATATATCCAATATCTATTTCCAAGTTGTCTCTGTCTGATTAATCCTGCTGTAATTAATTAATTAAAATGATTGAGTGATATGCTATCCTTTCGAAAGTTGTTCAAGTTGCCAATTGTATAGCTGTAGTTGTTGATTAAAAGGGTCACTAATGTTGTTGTTAATTATCATACTCTAAACCTAGATATCTATTCCAAGAGGTAATATTATAAGTTATAAGTTAGTTATAAGTACAACACCATGGTGTAGTAAAGTATGATGACAACAAACAACAACAAAGTAAGTCTGTTACTGTGACTGAGTGAGTGAGTGAGTGAATGAGAGAGAGAGAGAGGAGTGAAGTCGAGACCCTTGAACCTAGCCCCCTCACCGCCTTTGTTGAACAACACACTCACACTAATGCACAACCAACCACCACTCAGCCAACAACATGCTTCTCTCTTGACAACAATGATTCCATAAGTCGAAGTAATACATACATTCATATGAAGTTAAGCAAAGGGATAGTATATAATTGCAACACAATTTGTTTGTTTGAATGAATGAATGAGCTCATGAAAGAGTTAGATTGCCAATTTACCCAAGGTGACTAGAACAGCCAACCTCCCAGAGCGAAAGAGTGAAGCAAAGAGGGGTTGGTGAGTTCCAAAAGATTGAGAAAATGTGATGATTAAATGGGGAAATTAAATGTACCTGTGTATGTCATTCAGTCAGTCAGTCAGTGACAAACAGTGTGATTCAGATCTGACAAACACCAACACAACAGATACATGTTGGCTGTATCTTTAACCAACAACACTTTATGTGTACTTCAACAAATGACTTCTAGTGTTGAGTCCTAACACAATCATGGCCTCATAAAGTACAAATATGTAATTTGATCGCAAGTAAAGTATAGACAAACTAATGTCCATGGTCAACAAGACTGACAATGTCATGTCCAAGTCCAAGCTCTATACACGTACACAGGAGGTCAAACAAAAGTCAGTTCTCTCTCATACACACAAACACACATACACACACACACACACTGTCAGATAACCTGAAATAGGATTACCACAATGACGAATATGTTTACTCTTTGGACTTCCGGGCAATGCATAGTAGTTGTCCTGGACTTGTCCACAACAATGGTCAGTATGAATATATGAATGAATGAACGTGAAAGAATGTATGAATGAATAAATGAGTGTACACATTATACATTTATACAGATATATATATAATACACACATAACAAATACTACTTTGGAATGATTATAACATATATTATAATAATTCTACTGATTGTAGTATTGGCAATCAAACTCTATGAAGTAGGTCCATCCATCTTGTCCACACGCTACAATTGAATGACTAACACTCACACATTTGAATCGAAACAACAACAACTATTTAGTCAAGGTTAAAGTCAAAGGTATCACATTGGGTACACCCCGTGAAGGGTCAGATGAAAGGTCCCGATCCTTATGCTCATTATATTGAAGCATTGCAAAAGACCTACCTGCCATTTGACACTTCAGAGACATCTTTGGCATGGGACGCCTCAACATTGTCGCAAGATGACTTGGACCAACAAACTACACACAATCACAACGCATCATTGAGAGCATCGACAGCGTCAACATCGTCGACATTAGTGCGAGCACCATCATCGTCGAGAGTGGCATCAATCAATGACTATGTGCCACGTAAGCCACTGATACGTGACAGGTCCAGACAGTTGTTAAGGACACAGCGCAACGTACCTCATATGAAGAGGGAGTTTGACTCGGACTTTGATGGCAACGAATCAGAGGATGCCTATGAAGAGGAGGATGCCGTCCAACTAGTGCAACAACAACAGAGTGAGTCGTCCGGCTCAGAGCTGGACTCGGAGGGTGAGTGCACGGCCGAGCAAGAGATGCTGCACCAAGACTCTGTGTTCCGCACTGATGACGCACTGTCCTACAAGTGGTTCTTCAACACACCAATGATCCAGATCACCAATCTAGAGTCAATCCGTCATGTTCTCCGTGACAATAGTACAATCTACGAGAGGATATGGGGTTATGGGCCTCGTGTCCTTCAAGCTGGAGGTCAACTTAAACGATTCCTACGTGTTTACTCTGACGCATTGTCCAGTGACGAGTCACTCATCGACATATTCCCAGTGATCAACCAGGACTGCCACTCATTTGTAAACAACCTAATCAAGAATCAATCCGGCGAGTCATTATCCTCACAGAAGGTTATCAAAGATGTAAGATACATCCATCTCAATCAATCATTCACTCATTCAATCACTAACTTCAATCATTCAATGGTCCTAGTTCTACCTATCATTGATTGCCAAGGTGTTGCTAGGCGACAGTGAGGAATCACATCAGTGTATCAAGGCACATTACTTCACGTACTACAAGGGTCCAGTTGATCTCTTGTACCGAGTCGTACCATTCCTAACATCACTCCCAACAAAGTATGGCAAGAAGTATCAAGTAAGTAGTACACCAACATACCTCGTTGCCAAGCTTAAGCTAACTTGTTGTATTGTTTGGAACATCATTGTAGAAGATGGAGAGAAGAAAGGGATTCTTCAAGATGTTGGCAATGAAGGCATACTACAACGCCAAGAACAAGGTTGAGTATGAGGGTCCACTGGACGTCCTGAAGCTTGTCTCCAGGTCCAGTATCGAGGATATCGAAGGAATCACATTAGACGAGGTATGTTCTATCACTCCCGCACTGGCCAGCTCATCCACTCACCCAACCAATCAATAATAGATATTGTCATCATCATTCTTGGTGAATCCAGCATCAGTTATTGCACCAATATGTTCAATATTGAACATTATGTATACAGCGATCAGACTACCAGAGATACAGACAAAGATCAGAGAAGAGGTGAAGGAAGTAATGAATGGACGTAGTTTGGATCAGTTGGCAGTGGAGGACATTGACAAGATGGAGTACCTAGACCTTGCACTACGTGAGATCATGCGACTATTCCCACCCTTCAGCGACATCATTCCAAGACAGAGCAACACTGCTGACAGGATACTTGGATACAGAGTACCAAAGGGTGTATGTAATCAATCAATCATTCGTTTGTGTGCACTAACTAATCAATCGATCAATATGACAGTCATTCGTATCATGCCCATTCATCAAGCCATTGAGGAATCCACAGGTGTTCCTTGAACCAGACAAGTTCATCCCGGATAGGTATCATCATGAGACGAGGGAGGCCAGACTTGTGAGTGAGATACCATTCGGCTTTGGAACACGCAAGTGTTTGGCCAAGAGGTTATCAAAGCTCATACTCAAGACATTCATGATACACATGTTCTCCCAGATGACCATCCAGGGTGACAACATGGATTCAGTCAAGATTGAGATCAAGCCACAGACATGGATAGTACCTGAGCCACCCATCATATTCAAGGCACATCCAATATCCAAAGCCACACGAGCTGAGCAATAGCAGTTATATATATATATATATAAATAATAACTTTATATCTCTTACATATGTTGCTTCATACTTTTCCATCACTTGTTCAAATGAAATGTGATTATCCACTTTCCAGAAGTTTGCCTGATCAAGTAATTTGAAAGTTGTTACCGAAAGACTTGGATTAGACGAATGTCAATTGGACAGTTTATTGATCATGTTGTATTGACACTCAATCAATCTTACAATCATTCAATCATGATAAGTTCAATCATTCATACTTTATATATAATCTTTCAATATGTCACATGATGAGAATACTCAACTTTTGGATCAATCTAAAGAGTTGACCAAGGATGATATCAACAAGATAACAACTAGGAATGTAAATATAATGGTACTCATTGTGTTCCTTTCATCGATTGGATTCACTCTTGTAATGCCATCCTTGTATGATTACCTTAATCAAGTAAGTCCCTCATCACCTCAATCACACTATCACCCATATGATCAATCAGGATACGAACCAAAGTACTTATGATAATCATAACAGATGAATAAGGACTATGTTCATAAATATTATGGATTGGTAACGGCTATATATAGCTTTGGTCAATTGGTATCATCACCTGGATTTGGATATTGGGGTAATAGGAGACCAAAGATTGAATCTATAATCATTGCAACAATAATATCTTTGATTGGCAATGGTTTATATGGATTCACTTATGAACTTGGAGGTGTATCATTCATACCTGTTATATCATTGTCAAGATTCATTGTTGGTGTTGGATCTGGACGAGTTGCAGTATGTCGAGCATATGCTTCTGAACGTACCGAGGCTAGCAAGAAAACTCAAACAATGGGAAGGATGTCTGGAGCACAAGGTGCTGGATTTGTAATTGGACCAAGTACTCTATCACTCTATCTTTCCATCTCTAGTTTGATCATCACTTACTAATATTTCAAACAATCAATAGTTATAGGATATGGACTATCTCATGTTGACTTTAAAGTTGGCAATATTGTGGTCAATAAGTTCACTGCACCTGGATTCGCATCAGTTATACTTAATATAATATCAATGGTCATTGTACTACTTTGGTTCAAGGAGCAATCAGTTCCAGAACATCCTCAATCATTCAATCAATCAATCAACAATGACACAGACGACAACAACTTCATTGGTAAAGCTCAACAAGGTGATAATAGCCCTCAACAAGTGTTGCTGCCAGTGTTTGTATCGAATTACATGTTTGGAGTGATATTGTCGGACTTCTCTGTGTTTGAATCAATCTTGACGGCAATGACATTACATTTCTATAACTGGGGACCGAGTGATAATGGACTGCTGTTAACATTCTCTGGAGTGGTCAGTGTGATGGTATTCATTGTGATCTCTACACCCATAGTCAAAAGGTTTGAAGATCGAAAGATGGCCATGTTTGGCTACATCAACCTAGTTGTGGCACTCTTATTCCTTGCTGCCTATGACAATGGACCTTTTGACTTTGAGAAAGGTTTACCAAAATGGCAACTATTTGTTGGTGCAGGTATGCGATCGATCACTCGATCACTCACTCGATCACTCACTGACCCAACCCAATGTACTTTAGTGTTTGTCTCGATTGGATATCCAATAGCATCGTCAATGGTCTATGCGATATATTCCAAGATACTGAGTCCAGAGAAGCAGGGAACAAAGATGGGTTGGTTGACATCAGGTGGTTCATTCGCAAGAATGATTGGTCCACTATGGGCCAATGCATTGTTCAACATTGCAGATGATGTTCTGTACCTGACCTGTGCGGCATTCACCGTCACTGGTATCGTAGCATTATGTTTGTTCTACAAACAACTTGAACCAAGACCAGAGTACTCCTCCTCATCCTCCTCTAATGTAATCAAACCTGATGATGATTTTGAACATCATGGAACTGTGTCCATTCGTGACGAATGATATACATATACATGTATATTATGTATTATGTGTACAAATAAATAAAACTTTGTTGGACTTACTTGAACTGATGATGTTTGACAATCGTGATCATAGTCCTACCACCTCGCTTCTTTTTGCATCGTCCTAAAAAAACAATCAGAAAAAAAATCGCCCCAATCGCAAAAAATCTGGACCTCCATGTCCCCTCATCATTGAGTAAAGAGTGAATAGTCTTTCAATTCGTCCAATTGATCACTAGTCAATACATACACAACAACAAACAAACAACAAACAAATAATGAAAGTCATTGTACTACTCTTAGTCCTCGCTGTTGTCGTGGCTGTCAAAAGTAATCATTACTTTGATTGATGGCACAATGGAATCATTCCAATTGTTCAATCACTCACACATCTACATCGCAATCACAACTCCAATCAAACAATTATAGGTGACAACTGTACAACAATTATAACATCAATGGAGGTCCAAGCTGGCAATATTGGAACACTTTGCACAGGTTTGAGTGGCAACTTCCAGGAGTACTATGGTAACATTACAGTTCAGAACACTTTGGACTACTTCCACATCTCCATTGGTCACACTAGCGATGATAATGACGACTGCAACAAGGTCGATCAACTCTTTGTGCCCGCCAACTGGACCGACGGCCGTCCAGGACTCAGCGAATATACCACTCTGTTCCTCGGCAACACTTACCTGCCCGTCAACAGACAGCCCGCTGCCACCATCCAGTGTAACAACAACGTCGCAGTGGGCAGACCATGCATCATGAACGTCACAGCTGAGATCTGCGTCTCTTATCCAGAGGAGGAGAGCAGCTCAAACTCTTGGGACGCCCCAGGCGCACCCAACACCGTTCAATACTGCAGCTTCTGTGATGGCGTGTGCTTTGGCGTCAGCAAGTGTCATCCATATCCCACTGGCCGCTGTGTGCCCGTCACCAGAGCATGTGGCCAGGGCGAGATTGGCTTTGGCATCTTTGAGAAGGAGGCCGCCCAGACCTCGTTGGTCCTGTTCCAGGATGTCAACTGCACAACCCCAGCGTTTGATTCTTCAAACAAGACCTGCGAGACCTGTCTCAGTGGCGCCATCAATGGTTTCGTCGGATGTTCCAACAGTGCCACACGATCAACCGCTGTATTTGGACTGGGTATGATGGCAGTCATTCTTCTTCTTGGCTTCATTCTCTAACCCGAGTTCGAGTTGAGTTGAGAGAGTGTCCAAATCCCCCCTCCCTGCAATATAATTCAATACAATACATTTATAACACGTGTAATGTAGTTAGTTGATCATATGATCAATCAATCAATCATAAGAATAGGGTTGATTAATTGATTGATTGAATGATTGATTGGAATACCAATGTCGGTAAGTGGATTACTTTGTAATATACAATCATCGGTGAATGATAGAGTGTGATCATTTCCATCCAGATATGAGATGTTGAATGTATGAGAACATCATCATACTGTTCTGTTTTGTCATTGAGAGAAACTGATCTCAATAATGTCAGTCCCTGATCATTGTGTGAACAAACATAAATAAATATGTAGATGATTGAGTGGTTGTTGGCTAGGTGTGTGATGAAGGGTGGTGTTGGGTAAGGAAACGAATTTGATGTTAGACATCATGGTAATTATAAATACCATCATCAAGTTGATTATTAATTATCAATATTCAATCCTCCAATTGAAAAAATATGATTAAATATATATTAATTATTCTATTTGTTATCTTTATCTTCCATATCCAAGGTAAGATCATTCTCAAATCCCATGAATGTTCAACTAATTAATTATTTAATTTTATACTTATAGGTGAATGTCTGGATATTCCACCTAAAATTCATAACGTTGAACATGGAACATACCCTACCCTTTGTTACCCATTGAAGGGTCCAGGAGAGTTCAGTGCCCAGTTGACACTGACCACCAAGAATAATGACAAGTTTACATTGAGGGATGGATTCGTCTCTGATGAATCGGATGATTGTTCAACTTACTCGGTCCACTCGTTCGTCCACTCTCATACCAACAATTCCAATGGCCAACAAACTGCAGTTGTCCAACATGACTTCATCCCCATTCCAGAAGGAATGTCACCAGCCATCCAGATGGAATGTTCCAACTTCCACTATGACTGTATTTTGGAGATCAGTGGAAAGATCTGTGTATCACATGACACCAAAGACATCAAGGTAACTTTTTGTTCATACTGCGAGGGTACTTGTGGCGGTGATAGCAAGTGTTTGGTCTATCCTGTTGGCGAGTGTGTCAAGTTGACTAGACCATGTGGTACTGGTTTACAAGGTTATGCGATATTCTCTCAAGATACCTCCAAGATGAATGTCAAGTTGTCTCTGTACTCTGACTCTGTGTGTAGTCAAGTTGTCATTGAAAAGTCTAATGATTGTGAGAAATGTATTAGTAACACTCTCAATGGATTTGCAAAGTGTCCTGATATCATTATAGTACCAAATACCAACAATGGAAACCTAACCCAACGCCTACCAGTGACTCCTACTGAGATGTATAGACAAGATGGTATTGGCAATCTAATCAAACCATCTGCAATCTTCATCATGTTCATCTACATTCTTCATTTAATTCTATAATATTAATATAAACATTGCAATCAATCTGACAATAAACAACATGTGGTTGAGTTTTCAACCTATCAACTCAAACACTCACTAGTTGTAGTGTGATGTTGATCAAAGGAAACATAAATAAATGTGGGGAATTGATTGATCAAAGGGTTTAATTTGAACTATAATCAAATTCGTAATTAATATAAGTATGAGACTGTCTCTCAGATTAAGTAATATATTAAATACTTAATCTTTAAACAATGAACAAATATATTTTTTTACTATTTATCTTAAATATATTTTATTCCCAAATACAAGGTAATAAACATTTAACTTATTTTTTATTTGATCTGATCTAACTAATTTAATCTAATCATATTTAAATAGGTTTATGTAGAGATATTGTAAATGCTCAATATTCAGCAGGTGCACATAGTTATCCAACTATATGCTTCACMAATGAAAGGACCCGGAGCATTTAGTGCTGACCTGACCATGACCACTACAAACGATGATAGTTTTACCTTGAGAGATGGATTCGTCAATGATAAATCCGACAATTGTACTAACTTTGGTCTGGACACTTTCATCCATCATGCTACATCAGAAGGACAAGTTGCAAAAATCAAACACGACTTTACTTCCATACCCAGAGGATTGTCTCCAGCCATCCAAATGGAATGCCACAACATGATTGAGGATTGTAAACTGGTTCTCAATGGTAGGGTATGTTTCTCACGTGATACCAATGATATCAATGATATGGTAACATATTGTTTCTATTGTAATAATGCCTGTAGTGGCAATTACATATGTCAAAACTACCAAATCAATGAATGTGTTTCATTGTCCAGACCATGTGGAGCTGGTGTAGAAGGATATGCCATCTTCCAAACGAGCGCCACTAGAATGACCACCCAAGTCACACTCTACGCTGACTCTGTGTGTAGCAAGACCCTAGTTGAGGCAACCACCAGTTCATGTGATGATTGTCCAAACTTATCATTGAATGGATTCTCCAAGTGTCCAACACCTTCTACTACGTCAACCATCTCTACCACCACCACAACCATTCCAACTTCAACCTCTTCATCTACATCGTCAACTGGAGTTAACTCATCAACAAGTCTGATTCCAGTTGGTAAGGATGTCTGGACAGAAGGACATGATAACTCATCATCAAGACTTTCATCAATCAAGTCCCCACTCTTATTACTTGGATGGATGATAATTTGCTTTTTGTGGAACTGATATGATTAATAAACCAGAAATCATTCGAAGCAACTTTGGAAAGACTAGTCAAGAAACGGATACTAACCAGAGACACTCAACATGTCTGTTATGAGGCGGCATTCAGAATGAACTTTCCAGGAGCCGAAGCATCTATCCAGCGCACACAGCAACTACCCTTCAACCAACATAGTCTCACCAACGACTACACTGAATGAGTGAGATGGAAGACGAGATGACACTTTGTATGATCTGATTGAATGAATGAGCTTTGTTAGGGGACCATAGACTTTATCTTTTGGGAACTGATGAATCCACAAGTTGGGAGACGATCAAACAGTGTGTCGGTGATACGGTATAGATCCAAGCTGAATGAGGTATATTTCAGATGTATTCGTGAGAGCGTGAGGGTCGCCAAGTAAAATGGAGTATGTCTCATTAGGTTGTGATGATTAATCCTCAATATAAGCGATCGCAGTGTTGTAGGCAGTTGATTGGGGTATGGCCACTTCTTGACATCGCCCAATGTGAGCGAGGTCAACGTCGATGGGAAGTGATCGACCTATCGGTTGATTAAATCCATCGCCAAATTTTAGCCGCTTAAGTCCTTTTGGCAGTGTCCCTGGCACAATCGGCAGGTTCCATTCATTTGACCAAATGGTGAGTGATGTAAGACTGTCTGGCAGGCCCTCCAATTGGCCAAACTCTCCATTTATCACTAGTTTGGTCAATGTGAGAGGGTAGAAGATAGGGTCTGGCAGCTCATCGCTCGGGCTTGATCAATGTTGTCAATGGTACATTATACAATGAGAATGAGAGCCATTGTTCCATTCCAAACTCCAATTCCACAGATCGATCATACATCACTGCCATGAAGTCCTTGATCACATCCCAAAATATGATGCTGGGCCAAAATCATGTCCACCGGTCTCATTGAATCCATGGCTCTAACATTGTTCGCACTCAACATTATCTATGTCCATCTCTCTATAGTGTAAGGCTTGCCCTCATACACTGTTTGATTGTGATCGATTGATTGATTGTGTTAGTGAACAGGCTCAATCATTCGACTTGATCAAACATACATATCGCGGTAGGACTTTAGATTGATGATCTCATCATGATATGCTTGGTATCTCGATCGGGTTGCTGCGTGGAATCTGAGATAACTATGTCTACAACCAAACAAATGACGACACACCAGTGTCAACCTCAGTCGATCAGAATCATGCTGTGTATATACTACATATATCATTGAATGACACTATATGTCTTAGTAATGTATACTGAAGTGTCTCCATTGTGTATATATTACATGTATCATTGAATGTTTGAATAAATCTCAACTTGATCAAGTGGAAGACTCAGACATGACCTCGCAAGTTTCGAGAATTGATCTGGACGAATCATTTCGCGATACCTTCATCAGAACATCACTCGTGTGATTATATATACTTGTATTGATTGTATACAATGTTATTGAACAGATGTGCTCGAGATACATTGTCATTGGCATTGACAAAGTGCAATGTAACAGCATCCATAACATCACATCTGAAGATACCAAGTCAACATCATCATCATAGACCTCAACAACAGCAACAACAACAATATATTAACATTATAGATGGTCGTCTACTCTTTAGTAGAGAGTACAGTAGTAGTAGTAGTGGTAGAGGCAGAAGTAGTAGTAGTATTAGCAATATAAGTACAAAGACACAGAGTGAGATGGCACCTATACCAACAAAGAGAAAAGTTGATGGCTTGGGAACAGTACCCAATACAAAGAGTGCATATCGTCGCAAGGTAAAGAGGCCACCTTCAATTATCAAGCAGCTCAGTGCCATCAAGGATCTCGATACATTCATTGCAGAGTGCTCAAAGTATGTTCACTTATCAGAGTCGCGGAGAACAGTCAACTCACTCATACCCTTGATTCAATCAAACATTATAGAGTATTAGGAATCAACAAGTTGGATGATTGGTACAATGCATCAATGCATAAGTTCAGAAGGTTTGGAGTGGATCGCTTCTTGGGACCTTACCACGGGTCTATCCCGTTGATGTTGATCGAGCTGTACCCTGATCACGATTGGGACATTATGATGTTTAGGAGCTATATGACAGACCGCGACTTTTGGTCCAACCCTCATAATCAACGTCGTTGTCTCGAGCAGATACTGGAGGCTGCAGGCTACGACAGTGACACACCGGACAACTGGCACTTCATTCCCGTCATCCACTTGAAATGTTACCGAACCTATGCAACCATCGTAGAGTACTATGACGACGACATCATCACCATGCTCACAAGCCTGTACCCGGACCACGAGTTTGACTGGGACCAGATGCACCCATCCATCCGATTCAATCGCTGTCGCTGGCATCCGAGCATATCTCCGCAGTTCCAACTGGAGATGGATCGACTGATGCAGCAGGGCATCAACTGGTACACGATCAATCCGGACCACCCGATGTTTGAGGACATAGTGAGGTTGCACGGACAGTGCAGCAACTCGCGCAGCATCTTTGAGGAGATCATCTACCACCTGCATGAGCTGGAGCTCAAACCTTGGATCTTTGAGTACTACAACAACTGGTTCAGGCACTCAAAGAACATCAAGGACTACCTCATATGGTTGGCAGAGAATGAGGATCTGACGACGGCTGAGGACTGGTACGACGCGCCACTCGATCTGTTTGAGCCACGACTCGTGCAATCCAGCAGGTGTATTCCGACGTGCATTGTAGATACATTCCCGCAACTCAGTCTGGACCCAACGCGATTCAAGCATCTTACAATCAAACGAAGCAACTACATGAAGACACTCAACCTCGTCAATGAGTTTGAACGTATTAATGGTATCACCAGCTTGAAGGACTACTCAAGTTTGACGACCGAGCAGAAGACACAGCTCTATAATACGTGCAGCTATTCAAGTCTTATCGGAGCACTGGCCGCCATTCATTCATTCTACCAACCCTCAATGGAACTCACTACCAATGTACGCGCTATCTACCAAGAGCAACAACATTTAAAGAAACAACGACAACAGGCACAACAGATACAACAGACACAACCAGAACAACAGGGACAGGAACAAGCGCAGCATTAAACAGCGGCCATCTATTGTGGTCATGTACATTCAATCGAGAACAAGACAAGACAAGGCAGTGACAATGATATTGATTATGGACTGACTGACCATGGAATGCACCATGTTCCTAGATTTACATTATAAGAAGTTGTTTGAGCTGAGAGCGATAACTCTACTCACTCACTCTCTGTTTGTTGTTGTTGTTGATCCTAGAATAGAAGCATCGACATTATTGACAGGATGACCAGGGCAGCTGATGGCATGATCTTGTTGAAGGATGATACGCACATGAATACCAGTCCGGTCTGCTTGACATTGGCGCTCTTGCTATCGAGAAGATTGATGCATTGGTTGCCCTGTGGACAACCAAAGCAGCTGTAGACCTCCTTGAACTGATCTGAGCCCTCGATTGGTGTCATATATGTATTGCATCCACAGCATGTATATCCAGTCTCTAGACAATATGTTGTACAAATAGTCTGATTGGCAATCTGCATTCCACATGGATTTCCTTTACCAACGCAGGTGCAACTTGGTGGTGTTGGATCCTATAGTTATTGTTGTTGTTGTTGTTGTATAGTGCGATGACGTCATCAATCGATTAGTACTATGTTCAAAGATGTCAATGTCAATAGATGATGGATAACATACGGCAGCATGTGCAACATATGTAACGAGGCAGAGTGCCATAATGAATGTCAATGCAAGTGTACTCCTCATTGTTATTTATCTGTATATATTGGTTGTTTGTTAATGTCAAAGTAATCAAACTATAGTTTATATCTCTCTGTCTCTTTCTCCTGTCTAATAATTATGTGTAGATAGATAGATAGATAAATAGTGTAAAGATAGATAGGTAGTGGTATGGATTGAATGGATTGTGAAATGAACGAGATGACAGACAGACAGACATCATTGAGCAATCCAACCAACTCAACACCTCACATCACATCACCACATTCACCCCACACACTCACATTCACCACTCACTCCACAAGGTTGGTTAAATGTTCAACAACATCAAACAAATAAACATACACTATTGTGTGTGTATCTGTCGATCAAGATGTACTCACTATTCATTCACAAGTGTAGTCGTCGTTGTTCAGATACCGAGGACCACTGACATTCTACTCTCGCCGACATCATGTGTGTAGATTGTCCATCACATGATGTATGAATGAATGATTGAATGAATGACATTCTGTCATGTTTGTCGTTGATGTAATACACCGGATACCATCGATTTATTATTACCTACAGATTATCTTCTGTCTTTAAAGAAGTGGAAGAAGAAGAAGACTCTGTCTGTATACTACTCTCCTCTGCTGCCACTGCTAAAACATCATCTTCCTTCTTCTCCTCTTTGACATTATGTGATTCCTCTGGTTGTCCAGCAATGCTCGATATCTTGGTACCATCATCTTCATTCTTTATGTCATCATCCATTGGTTTGTTATCCTCGTCTTTGTCGTCTTTGTCGTCTTGATCGTCGTGCTCTGCATCGTCATCCTCCTCATCTTCATCGTCTTCATCGTCATCATCGTCATCTTCATCTTCATCTTCAATATCATCATCATCATCTTCTCTGTTTCTCCTTCTTCCACCACTTTTACTTGATGATGTTGTAGTTGATTCTTGACTTTTATCTGACTTGTCGCCTTGATCTCTGTTGTTGTTCTTTGGTATCGAGCGCGGTACATCCAGTGTTTTTCTCCTGCCTTCCTTCAGATCAATGAGGTCGGCCAATGTTACTGATTGAGGTGCACGACGTGACAGTGTAAAGAACAACTGTGGCTCTGTGACGGTCTTGAGCGGGAACCTATCCAACATCTTCTTGTGTATATCCCATTTCCTCGTCATCAAGTTATTATACAACTCCTCCTGTTTCAATATGATCTCCTCATGATGTTTCAATTCCTTCTCCTTGATATCCTGTACCTTCTTCTTCTCTGCTTCCAACAACTTTGCTTCATTCTCCCTAACCTCATCCTCTATCTTCTTCTCCACTTCTTTTCTCTTTGCTTCCTGTTTGTTCAAGATTGATTGAGTTAGAGATCATTCGTTCAATCAACCAGTCACATGATACATACTCCAGCAGTCTCTGATTTGATATCCTTTTGAAAGTCCATTAGAGTCCTGTTGAGCATGCCAAACACTACTCGACTGCGTTGCTTGCCCATGTCGGTAGACTTGCTCAGCTCTTCTTTCTTTTGTTCTCGCGTTGCCTCTGCATCTCTTCTCTCACCCAAGATGTTCTTGTGCATTTTAGATGTTCTAGTATCGCCGCCGCCACTATTGATGTTACTGTTGACGTTGCCACCAATACTACTACTACTACTGCTACCGCCACTGTTTGATGAGGCAGTACCACCTCCTCCAGCTCCATTTTGATGTAACTCCTTCCTCTTGTTTCCTGTGTAGTTTGGTAGTTTCTCCTTCTGTTCAAGATGCTCCAGATTATTCTCGACACGTTGTTTCTCTCGCTCCAATTGTCTAAGTTGTAAATAAGCATTATCCTCTATATTCCTTCGAATGAATGGTCTTGGTCCACCTCCACCTCCACCACCTCTTCCACCTCTACTATCGTCTCCTCTATCATGTTCTCTTCCATGATGATGATTATTTGTATATCTACCTCTTCCTCCACCACCTCTATCGCCACCTCCTCCTCTGCTACTATTATAACTCATGATAATAAATAATATAATATATAATGAATGATTGATTTAATGAATGAGCAATGTCGACAAATGAATTGAAAGTGTGAAGTCAGCTGACTTCAAAATTGAATGAACTTCAAGTTATGACTTGTTCAAGAGATTAAATCAAATAATCAAATGATAGTTAATAATCAAATATATTGTCATCTGATGTATATATATGTATTATGTATATCTTTATAACTTTTTTCATTCTATCAACTATGTTGACTAAAGCCCGGGCATTCAATTCCATTCCTTTTAATGCCTTTGTTGATTTTTTGAAAGAAGAAGATCAAACATGTCCAAGGGCTAGGATCAAAATTAAATGAGTGAATGTTCATTGTTCTTTGAGCTCACCAGACAATATCAAACCAGTACTAAGTCCCCGCCCATCTCATGTTATTAAACGGTGTCAAGTTGTCTGGTAAATGTCTGTCCGATCGTGGTACTGGAGTATATATACCAGCTCCACTGTCGACAACATCAGGCCAACAAATAGGCTTCGTTCGATTCATGTTTCACCGGGCTGGCACATATAGTGCACACTGTTTGTGTCGCAAGTGATGTCTCCACAATAAGAACTACCTCCTAACATAATGTAACGGGCCATTGTACAATGATTCGTTTTGGGCTGTGGCGAACTCATAAGTCAAACCTGTTACATTATAAGGGGCGTGTCGTTACGTTTACACCTCGGCTGCCTCTTCAGACTATTGCTGTAGTCGACCAGCTAACGAGAGGGTGTGGTGGTAGGCCCGCTGTACGGAAGGCGATCCAGGGTCGTCGCCTTCCCAATACACTGGGGATGCCAGTCCAAGTGCTCTTGTTCTCGGGTCGATGGATAGTAGTAGTAAAAAGTTACAGCCGACATGGTATTTAGTTCTCGGTCGGGTCAGGCTGTCCAACATATATTGTCGATGGCCTCTCCTCCGAGACCTAATCACCTATGTCCCATCCATCTATCACACCATCTCTAACCCTCCCCTCGCCCAACCCTTACCCTTACCCTAACCCTTACCCTTATCCTCGCCCTCACCCTTGCCCTAACTCATTCAATCAACAGTATGATGTATTTATTAATCTAAGTTAATATTTGAAGATACCTCCATTGCTACGAGTGATGACAAGTGCTTGGGTATCATCAAGTATTCTAATGTTCAATGGAAGATGTATGGTATGTTTGGTTGGCTGGCGATACTTTAACCTAATGGTTGTTCCAGGATGGAACAAACTGATGAACTGTGACAATGATATCTCCGAACAACCGACCTCGCATAACACAGTCACCTGTCTCAACGTGATCGGATACTTGTTGCTGTTAACAGCTTGGCATCCATTGTATAGAATACTTCCAAGGTGTGTAGTTGTAAGCTTCTTTATGCCATGGCAAAAAGATAGACACGGGTGATCCCCAAACAACATGGTTGGTGTAATAAATAGTTTGGTGATGGATGGCGGAAACATGTATCCACGGCAGAGGAAACTGCCATTGCAGCCAAGTTTGGTTAGGCCAGGTGGGTAGTTGTTGTAGTTGGGGTGGAAGTTTGTGTAAATGAGTGATGTAAGCGTCGGTGGGATCTTGCACTCCCACGAGGCCGCTCTCAGGTCGAGGCCGACCAAAGGCAAACTACTCAAGTCGAGGCTCATGTTGAAACTATCCATCTTTAGATATTTGAGTGTCGGTGGAAGATGATTGGCAACATCAATCAACTTATTGAATGTTTTAAGTTCAAGTCTGATGAGCTGGCTTGGTAGGGATCTAGGTTGGAGATCATGATCGTATGTATCCAATCTCAGACTGGTCAGTGTGTCTGGCAGTACACCAGCCCGGAGTGGAAAGTTGTACCTGCCAAGGTGCAACAAAGTCACAGATGTAGGAAGCTTTGGGAGTGTAGCACTATTATTATCCATCAATGTCAATGCTGTCAAAGAGGTCAGTCCTACAAGCCACTCTGTCTGGTCACAACCGGTAAGGATCAGTGTTGTGATTGATGTTGGAATGCATCCAAGTGTAAAGTTCATGAACCTGGGTGCCGACAGCTTTGTTACAGATTGTGGAATGGTTCCAGGTGCCAGAGGTTGTAGAGTGTAAAGTGTGAGTGATCGGACTGATTTTGGAATGGTACCAGGTGCCAGGGGTTGTTGGGTGGTCAGTGTGAGTGATCGGACTGATTCTGGAATGACACCGACTGCAACCGTGCCCTTGACTCCCAGCATGATCGTGAGTTTGGTGATCGAATCTGGTAGTGATCCTTGGACCTCTTTGTTGGCCTCTATCGCTAGTGTTTGAACAGAGGTGGGAGGGAATAAGCTGGCATCCATTGGTTTCCTGGCATTGATGATAGTGAGGTTGTTAATCTTCATTCGTTTGAAGCTTGGTGGCATTATTCGAATGCCCTCCCTTTTGACAAAGATATATTCATGGATTGAATGTTGACCAGAATCGAATCGGAATGATGTTGTTGAGATTGTCGGGCCACCGCCATCATCATCATCATTGTTGCTGTCCCAAACTCGACTTGATACCTGACTCATGAGTGTATCACGTGACTTGTATATATGATGACAAGTGAGTATCAAGCTAATGGTATCCAACGAACCATCAAGATGTTTGATAATCTCGCACATAATTATCGTTGGTAAGTTGACAATTGATGGTCCTCTACGATCGTCGCACTCACTTGGTATATCATGTTGTAGTTGTTGTTCGACTTGATGTACTAAGTTGAACAAGTATGTATGGAGAATTGTAAAGTCTTGTGACTCTTTAGACTGTCGTTGTACATTGACTATTGATGATGCTACCTGATTGTTTAAACAAAGATGAAGTCGACACAAGTCTTTCTGATGATCACTCATCACCATACTAGTGGTGATCACTTCAAGTGCCAGCTGAAGATGTCTTGTGATTGATTCTACTATCATGGTCATATATATATTTGATTGATTGATGATCAGCTGATGAATAAATGGTATTTTTTATTTTGGTTGATTGGAAGTTAGAATTTGATCAGACCTCCATGACGATCGTAGAGGATGATGAGCGCGGTGTGATTATCCAACATTCTGATGTTGTACCAGTTCTCGAAATGTTGTTGTGAACCTGGCCAATGTCTATTATCGAATGATCTGATCGTTGTGCCAGGTTGCAACATATTGATCATAATCGATATTATTGCGCTGGGGTATTTCGCGACGGTCCGAAGAGTATTTGGATACCTGTACTCTCCAATGTTGTTGACGAGTGGGCTCATTGACATGGTGAGGCGTTGAAGAGTTGGTATGACTTGATTAGGTAGCACATGCTTATCGTAGGAACATAGTTCAGTGACTGATTTAGGTGGCGGTGAGCAGTCATGATCACCTCGCAGAGTGATATTGCGAACTGATGGCGGGAGTCTCGTAGTGGAGAATGATAAGTTGTCACAGGTTAGGTCTGTGAGATTGGGTAGAATCGTCTCTGACTTGAGCGAGAAGACACTAAGTTTGGTCAGAGACGCTGGGAATTGGTACTCTTGTTCAAAACTAAGAAGTTGGAGAGTCACCAATGGGAGATGTCGCAGGTCCACTGGATGATTGAACAGGCCCATTGTTAGAGAACATTTCCAGATTGACAAGGTTGGTGGGGAGCGCACCAGGGTAGAGTGGATGGTTGAATGAATCCAAGGACAGCGTTGTCAGTGATGCTGGGAGCCTAGGCATGAGGACTTGATCAAAGTGGTCGAGCGATAGATCGGTCAGTGAGGCCAGGAGGTCCAGCTCTCCCAAACCGTCTCTTTGCCAATCCAACCTAAGAGTGACGAGTGAGCTTGGAAGTCTGTTGCCGGTCAGGATGGTATGCTTATTTATTGGATCGCGATATTGATTGATTGATTGATTGAGTGATCCACAAGGATTAGGGTATGTTAATCAGACCTCCAGGACGATCGGACAGGATGATTAGAGCGGTATGCTCATCCAACACTCTGATATTGAACCAATGATCTAGATTTTGTTGACCTTGCCATTATCTATTCTCGAGTGATCTGATCGTTGTGCCAGGTTGAAACATCTTGACCACAATTGAGACCATTTCCTTGATACTTCTTCTATCGGAACTGATCAATGTCCTAAGAGTGTTTGGATAGCGATAAAGTCCAATGTTGTTGATGAGTGGCTCCATCGGCATGGTGAGCCGTTGAAGTGTAGTTGTCACTTGATTAGGTAGTACAGTATTCTTATAAGAGCATAATTCGGTGATTGATGGGGGAGGCGGTGAGTGGTCATGTTTACCATGTAGATTGATTCTGCTAACAGTTGGTGGAAGTCTCGTCGTGGCAAACGATATGCTGTCTTGACATGATAGCTCAGTGAGATTGGGCAGATCAATGTCGTACGTGATCGAGTGGATACCAAGTGAGGTTAATGACTTCTTTGGGAATTGGTAATATTGTGTAAAATAATTTAGATTGAGAGTATTCAATGGGAGGTGTCGCAGGTCCACTTTATGATTGAACTCGACCATTGATAGGTGTGTCAAGGATGTTGGTAGAGCACGTTTCTTAATTGGTTGATTGTAGCTATACAGCTCCAGGGTCTGCAGCTTGCTTGGGAGCAATCCCTCTACAAGTTGATGGCTATAAGAATGCATGTTCAGACTGATAAGATTGGCAGGGAGAGAACCAAGATGGAGTGGTACATTGAATATATCCATGGAAAGCGATGTCAGTGATTCTGGGAGCTTGGGCATGGGGTCTTGATTAAAGTTGTCCAGCGTTAGATCGGTCAATGAGTCCAAAGACTCCAGGTCAGGGAATCCAATTCCAAAACAGTTGGCCAAATTAAGTGTAACGAGTGATCTTGGAAGTCTGTTGCCGCTCAGGTCGGTAGATTCGTAGATGTGAAGAGTTCGCACTGAGTCTGGAATGGATCCAGGGTCGATCTGATCTGCTTTAATCTTTAGATCGGTCACAGACTGAGGGATGAGACCTGGTGCAATGATCGGACAGTGGAGAATGAGTGTGGTCACAGAAGATGGGATCAAGAAACGTAGAGGCTGGGTTTTGATAGCAATCATTAGCGTGGTGACTGAGTCTGGGATGCTTCCGGGTGGGAGTGGGTGAGCGATGCGCAAGGTGAGATTGGTGATTGTGTTGGGTAGTGATCTGATGATGTCATTGTTTGTGATGATGTCCAGTGTTTTCAGTGTGCTTGGGAATAGGTTGGCAGTGATTGGTCGATTGACAGTGCGTAGACTTAGTACCGTGATGTCCTTGCTTAGTAAGTCGTCATCCAGTGTTTGTTTTGTTTGACGTTTAGTTGTAGCCCTCTGTAGTTGTTGTGGTGGTGGACATGTGACTTCATCGATCAACTTCTGGACCGAATCTAAAATGTGACGTTGATCTTAAGCGTGATGCATTGATGATTGTATCACGCCATTTGTATGTATACTTGCATGTGAGTATCAAACAAACTATATCCAACTCATCATCAAAGCACTTGACAACCTCACATAACAATATCAATGTTGTTGTTATTGTTTTCTTGTTGTGTATCATATCAAATAGATGGTTGTTTAGTATTGACTGTTGTTCTTGTAGGAGTTGTTGTTGTTGTTGTACTTCTATTATTGATGTAGCAACATCACTGTTCAAGAATAGGTGTAATCTACAACTATCCTTCTCTTGGTCACTCAAAGTACATTTGGTGATGGCTTCAAGAGCCTTCTCTATAGCCAACATCGATGTTGTTATTATTATTATCTATATGTAAATGTCATTATATCTTTCAAGTCCATTCGGAATGCTGACATGAATGATATGAATGTGTGTGTGTGAGAGGCTAGCCTGCTGATTTCTTGGAATGAGATAATAGTCCTCCATTGTGATACTCTGACAGAATGAGAGAGGTTGAGTGGTCGATCACGCGAATGTTCAGCATTGGGAATGGACTTAACATTGTCAATGTAATAGGTCTATTCTCTAACATTCTTATTGTTGTACCTGGATGGAACATGTTGACAATGTCTGATATGTTGGGTTTGGTTGAGCTTGGAGTCATTATAAAAACTGTCCTCAATGTGTCTGGGAAGTGACCCATGTTGTAGTTGCTGATGACAAGGTCACTCATTAGCCTTGATGGAATTGCAAGATGATGTAGACCCGGTGGAAGTTGTGAACATAGCACTGATATTGATATTGTTGTCAAGGATGTGATCCATGAAGGTATGGAAATAGAGTCAACTTGGCTATAGGCATTGATATTAAGTCTACGTAGTGATGCTGGATACACAAGGTTCTTGTTATGATTAATGTTTAGAAGTTCCAGATTGATCAGGGATGGAGGGAAGGTATACTGTTCATCAGGGGATGTAGGGATGGAGAGATCCGTCAGTAAATGAAGATGACTCAAATCGATCGAATGAGTGAATGCTGGCAACTCAAGGTATGTGAGCGAGGTAGGTAATTGGGTGGCCACATTGATTGATTGATCGAATAGACCGAGGTAAAGAGATTGGAGATTGCTGTTGGGTAATGATCCTTCTTGTAGTGGATGATCATACTCGGCCAGACGTAGTTTAACCAAGTTGGTAGGTAGTGCACCTGGAATGAGTGGATGATTGAATGTGCCCATGGACAGAGTGGTCAGTGATCCAGGGAGCTTGGGCATTGAAGGTTGATTATATTCATAGAGTACCAACACTCTTAACGAGGTTAGTCTAACCAAGAGATAAATGTCAACATTATCAATGACGGCTAGATGGAGTTCGGTGAGTGTGCATAGTGGCAGCTCGAGCTCAGACATTGACAGGTTGGTTGGAGCGTTCATCGTCAGATTCCTAACTGATGATGGGATTGATCCTGGTGAAGTATTTTCTCCATCGATCTTGAGCTTTGTCACTGACTGTGGGATGAGTCCAACTGGTATTATCGGACATTCAATCGTTAGATTGGTCACTGATGGTGGAATGACTCCAGGGTTAAGTGGTTGATCACAATGTAGATGTAGGTGAGTGACCGAGTTTGGAATGACTCCCGCATCCAATGATTGAGTACATGTGATCATTAGTCGAGTGAGTGTTGCAGGTAGTGATGTGATTGGTTGAGTCGATGTAATGTCAAGGCTGTGAATTCGATAGGGTAGTGAGTCGAATGATAGACATCTTGTCTCTGGTTGTTCATGTACTAATAACATTGTTATGTTGTTGTTGTTGTTTGGTATAGGTTGGTCGTGCTCAATCACTAGGTAGTTGATGTCATCGATTGACTTTGTACCAATACCGAATTGAAATGGTGATGTTGCCTTGGGGAATACACCTGGTTCTCCATTATACAATGTCATTGATGATGATGATATTATAGTGTCACGGTTGTCGTACATCTGTTTACATGTCATTATAAAACACAATACATCCAGTGCATCATTGACATGTTTGATCACCTCTCTCAATATTATAATTGGCAGGTATATCAATGACATTATTATTATTAATATTATTGTTATCTCAATGAATGAACGAATGAATGAGCGATGATTGAATGATGGCTTTTGTCTTGAAACCCAAATTTAGTAATTTTCCAGAATTGATGGCAACAAACCATAAATAATATATGTTTCAAACTTATAATCTTTATGTATTATTAATAATGAATGATATTACAAGATCTCTTAACAGCAATCAAAGGATAATGAAGAAAAATAATAATCAAAAAGAAAAAAATATTACAAAGAGATCTGTCCACAATCAATCAAGTATTATAATTATTTATTGGAATGATTCCATTCATTCACTCGTCATTATTAATATTAAAGTCATAAGATAATAGGCCACCATTATGAAATGGTGATAGGATTAGTGTTGTATGATTATCCATAATTCTCATGCTCCACCAAGTCTTTAGATCTTGAGCTAAAGCGAATTTCCTGATGATTGTGATGCCAGGAATTTGGAAAGTAGACAACACAAATGCATGGTTCAGATCCAAATAGAAGTTATCGCAAGTGATTCTAACTCTTCGCAATATGTTGCAATCATTCATAATTGAATCAAACTGACTAAGGTCCATAATGGACAGTGATGTGACAGATGGCGGTATGTACATGTCTTCTGACGATTTGTCTGTGATTATAAAGTTGACAAGACTTGGAGGTGAGAAATAGGGTTGGTTGAGTAAATAGCCATTACAACTTAGTCTGGTGAGGCTTGGTGGAATAGCGATTTGAGTCGGATTGAATCGTGGAAACAGGAGTGTTTGCAAAGTTGATGGTAGTACCAATCCAGGAGCAACGATATCTACAACACTGAGATATTCCTTTGGGACATGACTGTTCAAGTCGTCAGGTTTGTATACATCAATTGTCAGGTGAGTCAGTGTCAATGGAAGTACATTGTGCTTGATTGGGGCTATGTATTCGGTCATTTTCAATGATTGAAGTTTGTTGGGCAGTGCTCCTGGTTGGAGCTCACACATCAAACCATTCAACTCTAGGCGAAGGATACTGTTGGGTAGTACACCAGGTTGAAGTGGATGATCAAAGCTCGACATGTAGAGAAATAATAGATTGTTTGGAAGTGCACCTTGTTCCAGAGGATGTGTGTAGTTCATCAAGAGAAGATTGAGCAGTGATGCAGGGAACTTGGGTAGTCTGGGCTGATAGTAGTAGACTGTTAAGTGTTCCAATGAGTTCAATGAGGAAAGGAAGTCTAAATTGTCCATATGGCAATGGATACGCAGCTCTGTGAGTGAGTTGGGAAGTGATTCAATGATCACTCTCTTGAGATGAATGAAAAGATGTTTGACGGTTTGAGCGAATGAGCTTGATGTCAGTGTCGTTATATCGGTATCTGCTTCACCTTGTTCATCATCATCATTATAAGGTGAGAGCACCACCCTTGACCTGTCCTGAATGACATCATCATTGCCATAATCTCCAAGAGTTGGATAAACAATGTCTTCGAATGATTGAGGGCCAACTCCAAATCTGAATGGCGAGCGGAGTACTAGATCGAATGATTCATCATCATCATAACTGAATTCATCCTYCCTCTCGGTCGTACACTTCGAGTCGTGATGCATTGAGTAGTGTATCTCGCCTACTATAAGTATATTTACAACAGAGTATGAAGCAGATAGTGTCCAATGCATCATTCAAATGTTTGATTACTTGGCATAATAAGATTGGTGATAAATTTATAATAGTTGTACCGACACTTGTTGTTGTTGTTGTAGGTATCTGCTCACAGTGATTGTCACTCATTATATCTATCTCTATCTCTTTGTCTTGTTCACTCAAACAAAAGTATGTGAAATGATCACTTTTTGATGTCAATGTTTATTTTGATTGAGTGAAAGGATACCTCCATTATGAGAAGGCGAGAGTATAAGTACTGAATGTTTGTCTAATACTCGCATGTATAACCAGAATACCCTATTATCAGCCATTATGTTTATCCTTATTGTTGTACCAGGTTTGAATAGACTTGCAAGTTTGGAGTTGGGGTACAAAGGTCTGTAAGGTCCTTCACTATAAAAGTCAGTACCATTGAAGATCCTGACCGATCTCAATGTGTCGGGATAGTCTACATCAAAATCAAGTGCCTCAGAACCAACTAAAGACAACTTCTGGAGTGATCCTGGTATGTGCTTCAACAATGGATTGATGGATTTGTCCCAGGTGTCAAGATTCAGCTTCATTGAAGTGACAGTCGATGGAATATAATCGGAAGTATATCCATCCTTATAAATAACTGGTTGTTGATGGCGGCATTGGCATTGGATGTTTGTTGATGAACTTGCCACCAAACACCAGTTTAAAGAGGCAAGGTGGTATGTTTGTGTTGTATGGATAAAAGTTCGGATGTATGAGGGTGACTAATGTTGTTGGAAGTGTTAACCTCCTCTCCATATTGTCGAGTGATAGATGGACTAGTGGGACATTGCTTAGATCAAGATCGTGATTGTATGCCATCATCTCCAAATGTGTTAGTGATGATGGTAGATCACCAACTTTCATTGGATGATTGTATTGTTGGAGGAAAAGTTCCTGAATACTATTGGGTAGAGATCCATAATGCAAACGAATATTCAATCTATTCATATGTAGTTTGATTAGATTGTTGGGCAGTGATCCTGATACTATTATATTGTTGAATTTCTCCATGAATAGTGAGGATAGGGAAGTTGGCAATTTTGGAATACTATTAATGTTGTCTATACTCATATATTTCAATGATCTGAATCCACTAAAGTCAATGTTGGTAACTACTCGGTTTGAAAGAAAGAGTGACGTCATTGTGTTTGGGATGGTATCAATTGACAAATTGGATTGGCTGTTCAGATCTATCAAGAGACATGCTACCGAGTTGGGAATACATCCTGGGGAGAGTGCCAAATATCCAGATAGATGAAGTTGTTTTACAGAGGTTGGTATCAATCCACTGGGGAAGCCTTGACTTTGATGATCTTTTGAAATTCTTGTTATTCTCAAATCCACCACAGAATCTGGGATTATTCCAATCCTTGGGATAAACCCATTATCAAACTCAATTGTGAGTTTGGTTATGGTGTTGGGAAGTGATCCGTCGATCAAATGTTGATCGGAGAATTTAATGTCTAAGGTGTTGAGGGCAGATGGAAACTCGACTTTGGACAATGGTTGGTCTTCTCCTCTCAATCTCAGTGCCATTGATGTCTCATCATTCACCACCGGTGGATATTCACAAAAGTCAATGATTGATTTGGTACCAATTCCAAATTTGAATGGAGAAAATAATTGAGGTTGACAATAATTCTTGGGATAGTAAATTAAAAGTTTGGAAGAGTTGATAAGAATATGTCTCCACTGGTATACATGTTTACAAGTAATAATTAAACAAATTGAGTCAAGTGCATTATTAATAAACTTTACAACATTACATAATAAAGTCATTGGTAATAAAAGAAGATTTGTTGGATATGTTGTTGCATTTGTAAATGTTGATGTTGTAGTTGTTGTATTTGATGAGAGTTCATTTGAATGATTAATAAATGATTCTATTTGTTTCATTTCTAGAAACAGTATTATTGATACTAAAATTATATGTATGAAGAATAACAATGAATGTGAATTAAAGAATGAATTAAAGTATATGTGTATGAGTACATTCCATTTATGTTTGTGTGTATGTTTCTGGATATTTAGTTAGTAGAATGAAATGACATTTGAACTTCATTGGGATGCAAAAGGAATTCGACTCTTGGTGTTTGGGAGGGAGCAAACTTTTTATTTTTCATCAGATAATCACATTGGTATTCTTGCTAAGATAATAATTCACAAACATAATTCACGTTATTAATAAATTATTCTATACTCTGGACTCTATCTTATTTATATATCTAGATTGAATGATACTTTAAAATGATACTTCATTCAATCAATTTTTTAAATACATCAAGAAATTATCTATCTCGATGTATCTTGGTCGGATGAACATTTGGAATGGTCTAACCAATTGGATTAAATTACTCAAGTAGTAGAGATCTAATCCTTAATAAAGTAGACAGTTTCAAAATTCCTTGAGATAAAGAATTATAATGAACAATAAAAAAAAAAACAAAAAAAAAAAAAAAAAAAAAAAAAAAAAAAAAAAAAAACAAAAAAAAAAAAAAAAATATGATACCTATTGATCACCTGATGACTGTTGGAATTATATTTACAACTCCTGGAATAGTCAGTGAAAGAGTGAGAGCCACACATCATATTGTGCACAAGAAGCAAAAAAGGTGACTGTGGTA